AAACATTGTCTTGAACAGAGAATATGATGTTTGTCCATGTCGTACAACCAGTAAGCATGGTGGGGGGTGGCTGGTAATTTGGGGTCTGGTTTGAAACCACAGAACATTAAGTCCTGTTAGAATCAATTGTGAAGTCAATTATCTGACAGATTTGAAGAAACTGAGTCGGGATATAGAATGGTTTTCCAGAACATAAATCTGCCGCAGAATGGTCAAAAACAAAAGAAATTGTCCAATTAAAATGTGTATCATGAGCTATTTTAGGATTTTGCTCTTGCAAAAGCTTAAAAATGTACACAAGTACCTACAAAACTCAACATAACAAATAAGAATGGATCAAGATGGCGTAAAAAACAAACACAAGGAACCGGATTAGTTTTGGTCACTGTGCCTGTAAGCCCAGCCAAATCATGGCACTGTTAATCCACTGTTTCTGTTTCAGCTCAGATTTATGTAGATTCATTCAGACATTAGCTTTTGCATGTTTTTTTTATACATACAACTTTGTGTTATACCAATTGCTTTGTTTCCCAGCCTCTATTTGCCATTCTCCTACCTCACATAAAACAAGTTTACATTGAAATGAAGCATCTTTTTGTTTCTTGTATTTTCTTGCACCCAACGTACCCGCTGTGTCGGACTGTCAGGAACAGATTTGTGGCTCTGGGGTAGAAATACCTGTGTAAAAAGTCAGTTAGCTACTTCATAAGTAAGCCTTGTTATAATAAACTTCCATAGCTGAGGTTTCCATGTTCCCATGAGTCATAGCACAAATATTCAAGCTATTTTACTACAAAGAACTTTTCCTGAAGCTAATAACAAGCACACAATTACCACAAGAAATCAAACCTAATAATTCCTGCTCAATTTCCTTGTTTCTCTCAGTAAATGAGTATTTTCAGTCGTATGCACGGCTCCTCTGGTCATCAGAACATCTCATCACTCACCAGACAAGCAGGGCTGCTTTCCCTCCCTCAATACGACTCAAGTGAAAGTCAACAAGGAGATTAAAATTAGCCAAAAAAATGACCAAACGTGGACCATCTGGAAGGCTGGTATGCTTCTAGCTCAAAGACAGAAAAATCAGGATTAAATCAAAGAAATTGTGCATTTTTAGAAGGAGTTACTCCCTCGTTAAACTTTTAGCTTCTTCCCTCTCTGACAAACTCTCATTACGCATCAGTTCTCTCAGGACTTGTTCGTCTACTGAGCAACAGGTTCAGCTTTTTTCTTGATTTCAAGCAGAAAAAAATTGCGCATATCAGCCGTGTGTGTGCACAGTACTGCAAACACGACGATAGCAGTTACATTTAACCTTCAACAAGCTGCCTTTATTTATGTTTTCCCATAACAACTTGCTTTATCCTGTAGCTCCAGAAAATGTGTCACATGGGGATTATTTTCACATGTTTACTTCATGCTATGAACGTTTTCGGCACAGTTTATAATTCATTTGACAGAGATCCTTTAAAAGAGTTTAACTTATAAAATCAACAAAGGGTGGACTGATGGTCACAGATAATATAAACATGACAGCGGCTCAGAATAGCCTGTGTACCGCTTTCACCATCCCTCATATATCAGCACTAAAGCAACCAACCCTGACATGAGACTTTTCCATCAGCGGCGCTTACGGTGGACACAACGGCAGCACAGCGCCCTGCTGAGACCCTCTAGTATGTTTTGTTTTGAGAATAGTTCAGGCTGGGGTGCAGAGTTTCCCTCCCCTCTTCCTTGAGGATGCAGTCCGGCCAGCAGCTGGTTTCCATTAGCATAACTCTCCAGCGGAATGACAGGACTGGCTCATGTGGGCAGAGTCAGACGCACGGAGGAGGCAGACGATGAGGTCGGTCGAGTAGACTAAACCATCTTTCAAAGTGACACTGGATTATCTATGATTGCTTCAGATTAACACAAATACCAAAAAAATATATATCTATAACATTTGACTGTTGCCATGCTAGCTCAATCTTTGGCATGTTCATGCACATTTAAGGTCAATCAGCCTGTAAACAGTCTGTTGAGTCTGTAATTTGAGTACCACACCTTTGCATTTCTGCCTGGTAATTTGCTTCTGTTTTCCTTCTGAGCAGCTGGAATCTGTGGTCGTATTTAGCAAAAGCTAATCTACAGTAGCGATCGTGCTGCACTTCATGCCTCGCTCCAGAAGGTATTTTTCATCTGCAAACTTAAATATTTACACAGCATGACTGGAATATTCCCACATGCCTGAGGATAACTTTATTTGCTTTTTTTCTCAAGAGAAGATCAAAACCCTCCTGTCTGCATATCACGCAGGTGCCAGAGGACATTTAGCACCAAGACTGACAGCAGAAGGAAGCAGTTAGCCTGGCTCTGTGCAGAGGTAATAAAATCTGCCTACCTGCACCTCCAGAGATGTGTTCAGACTGTTGGCAGCTCTGCCTTTCATTACCAGCATCACTGTTTATATTCATCTAGCAACTTTTGCACTGAAACCAAGCAAACAAGCTGCTAAAGAGGGCTCGCTCAAGCACCAATACATGACCTGGGGGCTTTACACAGAAGTATCTCTCAGCCAAACATCTTCAAGCTGAGAGATATTCCACTAGGCCACCCACAGACGTCAAGGTTTCTGCTTTAAAGCTGGATTACATAGGTTAGAGATTTTGAATTTATATAAAAATGCTTAGATTTGACTATCTGACCCTGTTCTATGAAAAAAGTAGACACCCATAGTCCCTCCCCTGGGCTCTACAGCAAAACTAATCATCTACGTGAGACTTGAGCATTTCCACACGAAGAAGCAACAAACAAAAGTGCATCCCAGTCCCCAGCATGCACTACAGGATGACGCAGATACTTCTCAGTCAGCTTAGCACACCAACATAGCTTGAACGCTAACTCAACCTAAATTTAATTAATGTTATTCTGTAAACGTCAAGCTAACTGAGGAAGAGCAGGGAGGGAATGAAAAGGGATTTATCGTTTGTGTTTTGGAGCTAAGTGGTTGGCGTAGCCAACCCTATGCTACATCGGGCTATTGTTAGCCTGTTCTAGTGTTAGCAACGATCGCTAGCACCAGTTCTTTGATGGTTTTAGATGTCCCCGTGCTTAAGCACTACAGATTTGACTAAAGCGAGTGATTAGCCGTTTCTGCAGAACCCAATGAGGACCAAGGAGATAATTCAGCAGTTGGAATCAGGTGTGTCTGAGCAGGACCATGTCAAAAAGATAACTTTTCTGTTAGCGCTACAAAGCTATTTGTGTGTGCAGTATGAGACGTGGCTTTCAGCTTCTTCCAGAAGAGGAGATGAAGCGGGAGGCCGGTGTCGGTACAAGATCTGCTCGGGTGCAAGATCGGCTCGGTGTCCGTCGACTGCCGATGACGTCAAAGTAGTTGATTGGCTGAACATGAACCTTACGGAATTACATAATCACGTTACATTGTTATCACGTTACGTTGTTATCACGTTACGTTGGTCCAGGCAAATTTTTCTGTTGGAAAGATGGACAACTTTTACAAAGAAATCCATCATTACCTCTTTGAAAATACACTTTTAGCATAGAGCTGCGTGTATATTAGGGCTGAACGATTAACTGCATGTGCAATTAAATTGCGATGTGACAAAAGGAGATTTTCTAATCGCAAAGGCTGCAATTTGGCAGTGAGTGGTTAGCACAATGCTAATATACGTGGAAAAACCCATAGGACTGCTAATGCTAATATCAACGATTACATTATTACAAATTATGAATTAGAAACGTGCCAAATGATTACATTTGGAGTCTAATAGAAAGTAAAACTACCATCAATCAAATAAGTACAGACAGATATTTTAGTAAAGCCAGAAAACTTTTAACTCCAGAGTTTTGGCTAGCAGCTATGAGCGTACCTGAACCACGCATGGACAAGACGTCAAAAACTAAACACAAAATACTTCAATAAATGGGACACACTTCTTTCCTGCGAATACAATTTCACAGGTGTTGCTAATACCTATGATCCTTCAAGGGATGTGCTCAAAGAGTTCAACATCATGAATACAATATAGTGTTTTATTTTACAAATACCATTATAAACACAAACTCACGTCTCAAGAAACATTATTTTAATAACGAAACGGCAAAATTCTTTCCAACAATATAGATGTGTAGTGTATTTTGTCCGAGTGGGTTTGCCGTACTTTGACGTCATCGGCAGTCGAAGGACCCCGAGCCGATCTTGCACCCGAGCAGATCTTGTACCGACACCGGAGCTGTGGCTGTTTAAATTTCTAAATCTCCTCCTCTATGATGTCAGATTTGAAAGAAATGATAACTGATACTCCTCTTTCACGTGTGTGAGCTGTATGACTTACAACTTAGATGAATAACGAGAGCAGAGCACAGCAACGACAGCCTCCCTCAGCTGGTAGCTCTGCCTCCCACAGTGAAACAGCCTGAAGAGCATCACTAATAACACCAGTGAAATTTACAGGCCTGCTGTGGGCCTCCGTAATAAAGCAGCGCAGCATGGCTGGTACCCTCGGGATGAGGAGCCTCGACGTGGAACACAAGACTAAATCATAGAGAGAACACAATGAGGGGACTATGCAGTGACACAGGAGAGTCTGTTTCCTGTTTTTGCAGGCGCACATTTGAGCAGCAGGGTTTCAGGGACCATCACACTCCAGAAGGTTAACTTAAACCTAAACCAACATGGTGACACAAAAAGCTTCCCATGGAATTTCTGCTGAACTGAGGCCTGCGACCCCTCAATGAACTCTAATAAGCAACAAAATAGCTCCTCTTCCTTTTGTTATTTACAAATTTCTCTTGTTCTTCTGGGTAAACGGACTGAATTGCTCGAAGTAAAGTCAAAAATGAATAAATTCAGAAGTGAAACAGGCCTCACGAGCAAATATCTCTAGTTGCTGTAGGGGTGGGAGCTGAGTAGACATCAGCTGCGCACCTGAATGAGGGCTCGGGTGACCTGTCACAAACACAGCCAGCTGAGGAACTGCACAAGCCACTCTTACCTTAACGTAGGCAGTGTAACGCCGGCACGCCTCTCTGTTGATGTCCAGGTTCAGCTGCTGGCTCATCTGGCTGATCTGAGATCCAACCTGAGTGAAGTAAATCCTGGGCGGCTGGCTCTTGTGCCGCTTATCCACATCAGCAGTCAGGTTGTACAGCAGCTCTGGGAAGAGACGGAAACACGGTTACAACCCTGAGCAGCGCTTTATGCAGTTTGGTCTTCTGGTAAACGCTTATTAAAACATTGCGGGAGGGAAGGTTTCGGTGGGTTTAATGACATTTCCCAGAGTTTGCTGCTGTAGTAAACAATCCTTCATTAACGAGGCAGGGAAGGACGTGAAGTTCAGCCAAACAAAAACATTTGTGGTGATACTTTTATGGTTAAAGCTGAACTAAAATTAGGATTAACAATGAATTAGGTTTGATGTGCAGCTGTTTGCAACGAGGGACAACATTTAAAGGCTTCTGGCTGTTTAAAGTCTGTTTCTCTTAAAGAATCAGCCTCTTTCTGAGGTGATTTCCTGTAGAGGGTGTCATACTGGTAGAGCAGTGGGAGGGGTGGTCAACACACCCAGTTTGGACCACTGTTTCTGTTGTCCCACTGAGCAAACACCATGAGCTCATTCCAGAGGAGGTGAAGGAAGGTTTCATTAAGTCACCAAACACATGGTGCTTCAATTTCCATGGCGATGGCCAGACGGCTACACAGAGAGGCTTTATTCCTACAGACCAGGACATAATCATTATGTAACAACAGGGCTCCTGTTCCCCTGGGGGGTGGGGGTGGACTGACCACACCCAAACTCTAGAACAGGGCTCGCTGAAACCACACCAACACGTTAGCCAACTCAGACGAGTAAGTCAGACTGACCGTGTTGATGACATTTCTCAGAATTTTTTGTTTGTGTTTCACATCATAAAAAACCACATTATGACAAAAATGGGTTCGGTTGCTTATCATGATCCAAGGCGCTTTTCTCATCTGGAAACTTCTAATTTGCATGTTTACTGGGAGAAAGACGCGGTTAAAGACAAAAAAATATGTCCATCCATCCATTGTCTGAACCCGCTTGTCCATGTAGGGTCGCGGGGGTGGGGGTGGGGGGGGGTGCCTATCTCCAACGGTCAATGGGCAATCAGGCGGGGTACACCCTGGACAGAGAGCCAGTCCATCGCAGGGCAACACAGAGACACACAGGACAAACAATCATGCACACACACACACACACACACACACACTCACACCTAAGGACAATTTAGACAGACCAATTAACCTAACAGTCATGTTTTTGGACTGTGGGAGGAAGCCGGAATACTCGGAAAGAACCCGCGCATGCACAGGGAGAACATGCAAACTCCATGCAGAAAGATCCCAGGCTGGGAATTGAACCCAGGACCTTCTTGCTGCAAGGCAACAGCTCTAACCACTGCACCACTGCGCAGCCCCCATAAAATATATATTTAGGATATTTAACATCCACAAGTTTTCTTTGTGCAATCTATTGATCAGAAAGACCAAAGATAGGCTTAAATACTGAAATGATATCATGTCTACTTCCACTTACAGATTTTAAAAACTGAAACCGTTTTTCTTGGTTTTTACTGGATCACAACTTTTTTATTTGAAGGAGATTTCTTGGTTGTTGTTTCTTTAATAACCACAGAAGTAGGCCTGCATCTATCTGAAAGTCATTTTTCAATGACTTTGCTTTGTTTTTGTTAGACTTTAACTTAAATAAAAGTCAGAGCAAAATGCATCAAAATCAACAAACCAACTAACCAAGCAATCAGTCAGCCAGCCAACCAACTAACCAACCAGCTAACCAGTAAGCCAGCCTGCCAACCAACCAATTAACCAGTCAGCCAACATACCAACCGACCAAACAACTAGTCAGCCAACCAGCTAGCCAACATTTATGCAGTTTTGTCAGGGAGGCCCAGACTTTCCTCTTCCCAACCAGTTGGACCAGCTCCTCTGGGGGAATCCCAAAGTGTTCCCTGGTGAGCTGAGATACATTGTCCCTCCAGGGTGTCCTGGGTCTCCTCCCAGTTTGGTGTGCTGGGAATACCTCACCAGGGAGGGGTCTTAACCAGATGTCCTAGCCACCTCAACTGGCTCCTCTTGATGTGGAGGAGCAGCGGATCTATTTCAAACCCCTCCTAGATGACCAAGCTTCTTACCCAATCTGTAAGGGAGAGCCCAGCCACCCTGTGGAGAAAGCTCATTTCGGCTGCTTGTATCCGCAATCTCAATCTTTCAGTCACTACCCAAAGTTCGTGTCCATAGGTGAGGGGGTGGGAATGTAGATCCAATAGTTAATCAAGAGCTACAGCTTCCGGCTCAGCTCTCTCTTCCCAACAGACCGGTACAATGCCCACATCACTGCAGACACAACATCAATCCACCTATCGATCAAAAAAATATAAAATGTAAAAAAAAAAAACTTTTTTTTCCCAGTGCAGTCTTTTATTCAAGGTTGAAACCATGCCAGCTGCTCTCGAGTTTTCTTTCTTCTTTTTTCTCCTACTTTATGTGTAAACTTAAAAGCACAAATGATCTATTCATCTCAATCTTTGAAAAACATTAAAAAGCCCAAAAGGGAACAACAGACCCAGAGCTTGTCAAACATGACTTGAGCCTGTCTCACCGATTTGTCCAGGCAGCTGTCTTCCCCTGAAGAGCATGCAGACGGTGACGTTGAAGCAGTTCAGGTTCGGGTGGCCCTCGTGGCACTGTGGCACGGATATATTGATGGAGACGGGTAAGAAGATGGAGACATCCACTGTAATGATAGGTCGGGACCTGAAACCACATAATTCCAGTCAGAAACACAGTGTTGGACAAAACTGATCATTTAAACCACCGTGGAGTTAAAATAAGTAAAAAGTAAAGCTTCAGCATCACTCTCACCTAAGCAGCACCACACTGTCTGCCATGAAAGCTCCGATTGTGACATCTGCAGCAAAGACATGATTGATTTGGAAAACCATAAAGCAGATATGACACGAATGCAAAGTCTGCAGTCAGCAGTCTTTACACCTGCAGATCCAAAACAATGCTCAGAGGTCTTTAACCATCGTGCAGCCTCAGCTTGACTTTCAGCTGTGGAATGCAGTAAACAACATGCTTCTGTCACGAGTGTCTGCTTGTGACTGAGAATAAGAGGCAGCAACCATAACGGTGTAAAAACAGATTTATGCCTTTTAAACACGTGTTTAAGTTGATTTCACGGTTAAAGAGAACCTGGTAGAATCATGTTGTACCTGCGTATCCATTTCCATCCATGTCCACATTCCCAGAGATGGACTGGCCAAACATCTGCAGACCAGGGCTTACACTGCGCCCAGCCAGTTTCTGGAACAAATGGTACCAGCCTTTAGGTAACTAAATATGGATATGTGAGCCAAAACAGACAGAGCTGTGCATGATTTGTTTTTCCAATATGCTTTTTTTATTTTTTAAGTTCAAACGCTTGTAACCTTAAACTTTCAGAAAAAAAAAATTGAAAACAACAAGAGTGAAAAAATAAACAACTTTATTTAGTTTTCCCATGTTGTTAGTTTGGCTTATTTGAGTTATTGTTTTTAGAAATTTGGAAGGAATCCGGCCTGATTAATTTGTTTACTGACGGCTCTCAGATGAGGTAGTTTGATCACCTGCTACAATTTTGATGCTTGTTTTGTGAGATGAAAACCAGGGTGTGACTCATAACTACTGGAAAAGACAACACGTCCCAAACGTCTTTCCCCGAGGACAGCCTGAAGAGTGGTGTGTCCATTCCCCCGTTACTACTGAGACACTAAAATTGACAGAGTGGTTTGCAGAATGGACCAGTGGCCTAAGTTACAGAAGGGAGGGGGAATTGCTGTGTGCAGTGGTTAAAAGTGAAAATATTTAGTTTGAGGAACATTTTCTGGTTACTTAGGACTTGTTCACAAGCTCTGCAAGTCCAAATCATCCCAAAGATAAATCATCACCTGTCACTTTGTCTGTGACCGTTTTATTTGCCATATAGCATTTTATGAATAACAAAGACTGGAAAACAGTTAAATAATTCACAAACAACACTTACCCTTATAAACAAAAATGGGTGAAGAATGGAGAAAAAGCTGATAAATTATAACAAATAGCATAAAGCACATGGAGCAGCAGAATGCCATCACGTGTACAGTAACATTTTTAAAGATATAAAAGAAAAACATGGAATTTTTTTCATTTCTTGACATTAAATGAAGACTTGAAGGATTAGTTTTTACATGTATGAGAAATAAATCAGCTAATCAGTGGAACTGGATTTTGGTAGTTTCTAAATATGAAACCTAAAAGCAGCATTGTGAGAATTGGAGTGTGCCTAGAAAAGAACCTTGAGGAACTCCTCACATAAGTGGACTACAGAACCTGAGAAACTCCTTTCTGTCAGTTATCATTTGGATGATTGTAGTTTGTTTTAGACACTGGTCAAGCTGAGATAAAAGTCCCAACAGAAGAAGGTGATTTGGAACCCATAAAAGTGTTATTAGGTGGCATTGCTTAAAATTAAACTAAAACTTATTGGAGATGTAATTTTTTTCTCAGAAAAGTTTGTCAGTTGCATAAAACAATTTTTGGGAATGGGTTGGTAATTGGACTAAGAAGATGGATTTTCCCACGGTGTATTTAAAGGTGGTTGGAGCACAGCCTGAACTGGTCACCTCAGTAATGGTCACCTCAGTACCGAGGTAAATTCAAAGGTAAACAAACAAAAAGACAATTTCAAACCATAATAAAATACAAAAAGTAATGCAGAACAAATTGGAAATTTGATTGCATGTTTTTACTGCATCATGTCAGATAAAATAATATTTTATTTTCTTACCATGGAGTATTTTCTGGTAATCCCTGTTGCATCTCCGTGATAGATATAGACAGCTCCTCCATAGTCGTCCTCTTTAGGTGCTCCTATGGCCACGTCTGAAGAGACAAATAAGGAGAAAAAATGTTCCAGTGAAAAGCTGGCGCACAAACGTGTATGAATGTGTAGAAATAGCCTTCATTAACCTTCTGTTCACTTTCAACTGGCCAGTGCTTAGGAAATAAGCTCTCAAAAAAAAGAAAAGACTTGTAATACGATAATTAAGCATTGTTAGTGACCAAAAAACTCATGTGACTCATGTGAATCTTACACGGAGATGAAAACGGGACAGGAGCATGAGACGGACGCCAAGTTGCGCCTTCAGATCCACACCGTGGAAGTGCCAGGAAAACAGACAGGATAATCATAAGTCTCTAAGTGTGAGGATAATTTGGTTTGTGCCTACGCTGCTCCTGTATATATGAGTGCCAATTCACTCTATACTGCAGGGGGAAAAAGACAAGCTTTGACACACCTAAGGATAATGTCAACCAGTGGAGCTCTCTTTGTTGCTCCATGTGGGGAAAATAAATGCTGGAACTTACTTTATCTGGCCTTGGTGGTGCAGATTAAAGTTTTCTCATCTTTTTGTTTAAAATACTCTTCACATACCAATGGCAACCAAATAATTAAATGTTTTAGCAAAAAAAAAAAAAAGAATCATTTTAATCAGCTCTGAAACTAAAAATCCTGGAAAACCCTCATCCAATCATTGTGAACGTCCCATTCTTAATGACTGGATCCTGATCCGTCCATAAAACTGCCCTCTGACCTTCCCTCCCCTCTCTACACTTACCCCTCTTTGTGTACAAATTGTGCATTATCAGCTTGGAGCAGCTGAACAGGAAGCTAACCTTGACTGTCTAATGTAACGAACTGAAAGTGCTGTTGTTTGTTTGCAATTTTAATTTAAGGTGTTGTTTCACATGTTCTGTTCAGAGTCTTGCTGTATTCTTGATGGGAAACCTGGTAAGTGACGGACCTGTTGTCTGTGAGCGCAGGCTGTCCTTTGTCAGCTGGCAGAGCTGTCGGTTGGTTTTTTGCCTTAGCACTATGTGTGTCGGAAGCCGCTTGAGAGGAAAGAGGGAGTGGAAGGGGGTTCGGGGCAGATTCTAGAAGTTTTAACCTGTTTTTTATGGAGTTCTTCCCAGATTGTTGGTGGCGCTGAGCTGCTGTTATTTTGAAGCTAGGAATAAACCACGAAAGCTGAAAACACCCTAATTTTTCACCATAAAAATGTCTCACTAGGCTATATTATTGGCTGCATGGTGGTGCAGTTGTTAGCACTGTTGCCTCGCAGCACAAAGGTTGCAGGTTCGAAACTCGGCTGCGGCCTTTCTGCGTGGAGTTGCGTGTTCTCCCCATGCATGCGTGGGTTTCCTCCGGGTACTCCGGTTTCCCCCACAGATCACAACATGCTCTATAGGTTATAAATTGTAAGTCGCTTTGGATAAAAGCGTCTGCCAAATAAATAAACATAAACATATTAGCTGTCAAGCTAAACTGTTATATGGTTATAGACGTGCAGTTATGCAGGAATTATTGCAGAAAACTTGCCAACAATAGGTTGAAAATGTAAAACTGAACCCTCAGGAACAAGCATTCTGTGTTCCTGTATCCTGGAGGTATGGCTAAAAGGGGGTTGGACCTTTTGAATTGAGTATTTTAAAAAAAGTAGCTTCCTACTTCCTACAGCAAGAAAAACGCCTCCTATTAGATCTTGTCTTTTCCATTTTGTTGACTATATCCTGCTGGATAATTCAAGGTATATTTAAATTTGCACATATAAAAAAAAAAAAAAATGAATAATTTTAATTGATATATTAGCTTTTTTTAATTTGTGATCTAAAAACAAAAGATGAAGTAAAAACTATACATTCTCTGAGACTTTTAAGTTTTTATACAAACCTTGATAACCATCGTCATCAATGTCTCCAATGGCAGCCAAGCACTCTCCAAAGTGTGCATTGAAAGCATTGTCACCAGTCAAAACTGCATCCTCCTCCATCACCCCCTGCAAAAAAAAAAAAAAAAAAAAAAGATATAGATCAAGCTTTTCATTGTAAAACTCAAAGATCCACTTATTTTAATCAAACGTTATAAATGTACAGGTAAAAGTATCAAATTAAACAACACTGCTGAATAATTTACTGCTTTATTCTTGCTGTTGCTTGGTTAGACATGGATTGAAACGTTACTAATGTATGTGCGTATTTGAGGAAGTGAAATCAGTCTGCTGGTTATAGGTGTCACATTCCTTTTCCACTCATGTCCAACTCACATTGCCCTTGCTGATGTACACAGAAACCTGGCCCTCGTCCCGGAGCTGGCTGTGCATGGGTGCCCCCACCAGCAGGTCTGACAGGCCGTCCTGGTTCAGATCAACTGCACACAATGAGGAGCCAAAGTAAGAGCCCATCTGGAACCAAGTCGAGCCACAGAGCATTGGGTCAGATCACAGACAGTTCCTCAGCAATACATTCACACTAATCACACTTTTATGGATTTCTTTCTACGTTTAAATCTCTATCAGCATAAAGTGACTTCCCTTTAAAAGCATTAGCTACCCTCCCTGGTTTTGGTCTGTGGCGAGTGTGCCGCTTCTTTAAGTCTGTTGCTGCCTGAATAGACATAAACAGTGCAGTTCTAACAACAAAACAATAAGAGCAGCGTGTCTGCAGTGGATCTCAAGGACCAGCAACAGGATTTCTAACAACTAAATGTTTATTTGGTTTCTGGTGTAAGGGAGCAGAATAAGTCAACAAAAATAACACAACGTCATACAATAATTCATAAAAGCTGATTTTTAGAAGGTTAGATCTTTGTGTTGAGCTTCCTTTCAAACAAGACTTTCATTCATTTATTTAATTGTTTAGCATTGTTTTATTAAAGTAAAGTAAAAGTGAATCTAATCTTTAGAACAATGAGACGACATCTGAGTTTGTACCATTTTCCCTGAGGCTTGAAAACTCCTCACCAAAGATGCACCATCAAGTTTGAAAATGTAAACCTGTCCAGGAGAGAAACAAAATCACTTTAGAAGGCAACACGAGAGGATTTGAACTCAACAGCCATGCATGAGTGAAAAAGAGAAGAAACTCTTACTTTTCCAACGCCGTTGTGCTGAGGTGCTCCAGCAGCTATGTCTATCATATCAGGAGAGGAGAAATGACCAGCAGTCACAGCGTAGCCTGCGGAAGCAAAAATAATATTTATACTACAATCAGAAAAATCCAACTAGCTACAGAATAAAAATTCTCCAGCATTGTTTAATATCTCAAAAGTGTAGCAGATCTCACCAAGGTAGCTGTATCTGTGAGAGTCGATGGTGTCTTTGTTTAGATTGTATAAGGTGTCAGTCGTTAGATTGTAAACCTTGACTGTTCCAGTCCAGTAGTATGATCCGGGAGCCCCCATCACCACCAGCTCCTGAGAAGGAACATGCCAATAGTCTTAAAGAGCACCTGTGCTCAGTATTTCAACATCTGCTGTCGTCTCTATGAACGAACGCAAGTTGTCCTCTGAAGAAAATAAGCTCTGGCGCTCCTGTTTCAGGAAGTAGAAGTTAGTAATGAGCAGAAAACGGCAGGGTTTGGAGTCTTATTCATCATTATCCATGATATTTGGACATTTAACATCTGATTGGCTAACAGCAACGTAATTCTTCCACTGCCTCCACTCACTCGGCACTGTTGTCGTGTTACTTGCAAAAATAACACAAGCCTAGAGGAGTCGTGTCGTGGAACTGCTAATGCTAATGGTTAGCTTCTACTAGCCAAGACATACCCTGCTCTCTCCAGGCTGCAAAATTAACACAGCCTGGTCGTGAGCCAAGATGGGCAAGTCCATTAATGCAAATTTACAGTGTGACATAGATCTGTATGGCTTTTTCTGACGCGAGTATTTCCCTGACTGTTTTCTTTCTGAGGCTAATGCAGGAAACAGAGATTATAAGAACATTTTCATGTTCAGCCTGCTTATGAATCTCTGAGTGACAAATCACATTTGAAACATAGCAATTATTATACGTGTACTAGTGAACGTTCTCTTTAAGACAGACCGATTGGTGCAATATGCTCCTAATCACACATCCACGAGGCCTAACGGAAGCAGTCCAAATCAAAAGGGAAAGTCGTAATATTCCCACAAAGAACAAAAGAGGAGCAGTAAGGATGCTGTCTTTGATTTCACACACTGAGAGGTTGTTCATTATCCCAGTTAGTTCCACTGTGGGGGAGGGTTGGGGTATGGATTCACCTCCATTTCTTCTTCCACACAAACAAACTAACCAACACAGTCAGGACCTTACACAGCAGGACGCCTTCCCCGTGCAGTGGCGTCAAACATCTGGGCACCACCCGGCGTGTGGAGCAAGGTTCAGACAAGGATACAGCCTTAACAGTTGGATGTCTTTGCTTTCAATTCCTCACATTCTTTAGTTCAAGGAGGGGGGTGGAGTTCAAACGCTTTAACAGATCAACTCTGGCATTCCTGATCGGTGGAAAAAACAGGTAGCTTGATGTTTTCAAAGGCAGTGGTCGTTGTGGAAGCCAGGTCATGCTAGCAGATCATTTGAAACCATTTTCTAGAGAACTTTCAATTTACCTGAAAGTCACTCACTCACTCACTCACTCACTCACTCACTCACTCACTCACTCACTCACTCACTCACTCACTCACTCATCTTAAGCACGTTTCCTCAGTAGGATCACAGAAAGCAGGTGTCTATCTCCAGCAGTCATCGAGCGAGAGATGTTGGATTAATCAGTGACCGATCATTACTAAAGTATAAAAAGTTACTATGAACCAGGCATGAGGAATAAAAAAATCTAAATAATGATAATGTGAATGGATTTTTAAAAAGTCTAAAAAAGGAACAAATTTTGCAAGATCAAAATCTTCGCTTTTTATTAAAACTAACCCAAACAATGAACTCAATAGTCCTCTGCAAACACACGTGTATGCATCCTAATTTAGACTTGTGTCTAAATCGAGCATCACTGAAATCTGAGACGTGAAAAGGACATTTGCAGAGCAAGGCACTCGTGCCTAACACCAGGATTGCATCCTGACGCTAATGCACTGGAAACAAATGGTTTCCCCACGTTTTTGTCTACAGCTGCAGCTTTACTGACTGAATGCCAAACATGCTTTAGACAGCAAATGGATTTTTTTTTAATGCATGAAAGGATGTGATGCGTGAAAATCACAGCAGTGTGTAGAAGCATCAGCAAAAAGTTAAAAAGTCCTGCAGAGGTCACATGAACCAAAGCGTATCTGCAGACCAAAACATAAGCTAACACTTAACAGAGGATAATCAGCAGCGTTTTGGTGGCCTCTGGTATAAACCCCATTTGAAGAGTTTGATTTTCCACATCATTTGACATTTTAAACAACTGTGGAAAGATATCATTCAGCTAATTATACAAAATGCCTCTGCTAACTACACTCTAAAAAATAAAATCTTGAATTTACTTAACCAAATTTTGTAAATGGGTTTAGCTAAACCTAGCTGCTTAAATGTAAAGTATACATTTATTTTTAACATATAACAATGTTTAACAGTATATCTTTGCATTTAAGCAACTAGGTTTGATGGAACCAGATGACCTAACTTGGGTGAATAAATTCAACATTTCATTTCTAATCGGGCTTTTCCACCAAATGCACAAGCAGCGCTTAACGTAATAAACACATTTTACCCACAAACTCAGTAACACATCCTTTCCCAATGGGAGCGTCACAGATGCGAAACGCCAGCGAAAGCGTTCCACAGGACCAGAAGGTCACAAAATCACTGGAGACCACACGTGATTTCAGCAGTTCACAAAGCATGCAAGGAGAAAGATGGCAGCATGCATCCAAAAAGGTCTGTGGCAAGTTTTCTGTTCTGTTCACCTCTGCTGTGGAGGTTTCACAGGTAATGATGTACTTTGTTTTTACCAGTTAAAAAGCTGCGTGCGACTTTTACTTTTCAAGTTTTCAGGTGTGTTATGCTGCTTTCTTGTTTGACTTCCTGACTGGCTCAGTTTAAACTGCTGAGCTTGACGCGTTCTGGAAGTGCATTGCGTAAAAAAGACTCTAAGCATAAATTTAGAGGAGCAACATGTCACTACGCTTCTCAGACATATCCAACCATCCACTATAATTTGAAATTTAAAGATAATCTGGAGCATTAGTTATGCATTAGAAGTAATTTCTGGTAAAAAAATAAAATAAAATGAAGCTTTTTGAGAAGGGAACAGTGCAAAGATAGTATAGTGACTACTTTTGTTCTCCAAAATCAAAATTTGAAAAGAAATGTTTTATTTCAATTACCAGAATGGACAACATAAACAAATACACTCTCTGCTGATGAGATTCAACCCCTGTGTTTGATTAGCATGGTTTTATTCTGAAAGTTAACAGTTTATATTTAGCCACTTCCTGTCCCTGACACCTAATCGGATCTCTGTCCTTTCCCTCTCGTTCAGCTGGACTCGCTCTGGGTCAGCTGGATTCCCTTTCCACACAGAACTCCCCCATCCTGACAGGAGACTCAGCTCTACTCTCTCCTTCATCATCTCAGATTGCTGCATGTCCTGCTGGTGACCTCACATTACAAGCTGTTTCATAGCGCCATCAGAGGAGTTCTCTGCAGAAACCATTTGGAAAAACACACATGCTTAAAAAGTTATTGCCACATTTTTGCACAAACGTTCTTTTTCTTATTTTCTCAGATGATTTTGGTTTGTCTGATACATATCCATGTAGAAGTTTGACAATCAATCTGTTATTTGATAATCCAGCTATTTAAAAAGTAATTTACTTCTCCGATATTAGTATAATTCTTAAATTTACTGGGGAAAATTAAAAATAAATAAATACACACACACACACACACACACACATATATATATATATACACACACAAATATGTATATACACACATACATGTATATATATGTGTGTATATACATGTATATATACATGTGGAAAAAATCTTGGGATACACATATATATGTATATATATATATATATGTATATGTATATATATATATATATATATATATATATATGTACCTGAACACTGCTTTTAAATTTGGATTAAATCTTTCAGTGTATCAATTAGGCCTGGGCGATAAATCGATTTAATGAATTAAATCTAATTTTTTGTTGCGGGCGATTAAAAAAAAAGTCAATCGGATTTTTATGTAATAGCGCCATTTTGGCCCCCCCGGATCTTCCGTAGCATTAGTTTCAAATAACCACAACAACAACGTCACAAGCACGCACACAAAACCGCAACAGCAAGCGACTCTATGGCCATCAGTGAGAAAGGAATGAAGTCATCCGTTGTTTGGAACCGGTTTAGGTTTGCTGCGATGGACGTGGAGCGTGGCACTTTTATTCCAAGAGGGTGTTCGTTCATTCATTATTCATCTCAGAAATGAGGGTTACATTTGTCTTGCTTGTGATTAAATAAAAGACAAAATTGGCTTTAAGTGCCTTCCATTTGTGCTTATTGCTATTCTTCATTATTGAGGGGGAGAGAGAACCAGAAAAAAATCGTGAAACAAATTAAAAAATATAAAATCGGAGATTTCGTTTTTAGGCCGTATCGCCCAGCCCTCGTATCAATATTTTCTTACATTTATGTGATCCAGCTCGATCTCGCTACTTGCCAGCTAACTATATGATAGTGGAGGTTGAGCATAAAAGTATGTTGGTGTTCCTTTTCGGGAGTTAGTATTATTTTAAAATTGAGTGAAAAGAAGAAGAACAACACCACAGTGAAATGCTGTCCTTACCTCTCTGAAAACAGCAAAGGCTGTTTAGTTTGGCCCGGGCTTAACGTTTAGAAAATAAAAGAACTGATTTGCACAGCGAAGGCGATCCGTAGGATGTGAAACGGTGTACAAGAGCCAACCTAAGTGGCTCATACAATTAGCAAACTGCTTTTCTAACATGATGAAATTATGCCCATATTTGTATGCATGAAGGGGAAAATCCATTTTATGCAAAGCACATGAAACAGACTAATGCAAGAAAATGAACCGGTGAGCATAACAAAGTAAATGAAAGCACAAAAAATAAACTCCTTCAGCACTTTCATTTACCACAAAGAGAACTGACTGATGAAGTTTCCAAGGTTTCCAGGCAGCAGCATAAAGACTTGAACGAACAATCTCTATTGAAGATTCAAAGAAACGAGGGATTAGACGTGTTGTGAAGACGAACAAGCGCTGTTACTGACCTCTGTGAAAACTCCCGCTATCCCAGCTTGGCACGAGCCGTGCTCTTCCCCATACTTCTGCTTATAGTCTGCAAGAAAAAACAAACCGCAAATTATTTCACTGTGTGCTTAAGCCAGCATTAACCGGAGTTTTTCCTGCATTCCATATGGAGCTAGTGAAAGAGCCGGTCCCATCCAGGAGGAATCCAGGGGCACAAGGCAGACTGAAGGAAGGGGTACAACACTGTTTTTTTTACCAAAACGACCAAGAATAAGAGGCGTGTGCTTAGGTTACATAAATGATGAGCTTGGATTTGAGTAAAACGTGCTGTAAATAGGGTCACATGCAGAAAGTAGCAACAAGAGGCAGCAAAGGAAGTCTAATGCTGACCTGGGAGCACAATTAAAGTCCATATAACAGCCTCTGACAAATGGCTCCATGTCAAATTATAGACTAAGCATGCAGGAGTAAAAAATATTTCTCAGTACATTCATTTTTTATGTAATAGAAAACATGTAGGAGGAAGAGGTTTGATTTACTACGACATGTTGCCTCAAATAAACCTCATTTCTGAGAAATCCAGCCTAAATCATCGCTCGTTCAAACGGGCTGTTGTTGCACCTTTGTGGTAAAGCGTTTCAAAACACAGAAGTTACGTTGGACTGGAAGATGGATCAAGCTTCAAGGCTTCGCCGCTGCTCCTGCCAGGACACCACTTACAGCCCAGAACTCCTCCTGGTGTTTGAGATAACGCTCAAAGATGAAACCTTTAGTGATAAACAAATCTGAAAACTGGCTCAAATCTGAGATTCTGGACTCAGATTAATCCATGAGATCACTCAGTAAATAAGAAAATAAAAACAATCTTTATGAACATTAGTAGTGGATAATAATTTCTATACAAAAGGGCATGAAGTGTAGTTTGATGATTGTGACTAAGAGGTTTTATAGGAACAAGCAGAGGCGCCTTATCCATAAGGGACGTTATGGTGTCACCCTTCCTGACATAAAGGAAAACAATTCTTAAAAATAACATTCATTTTTACACATCCGTTTCACCAGTTGTGTCTCATGAAACAGCAATTTTCCTCCAACAGACTTATTTAAATTATACCTGGGGCATTGGGAAAAGCTCCATCTGAAGTGCAATAAACAACCGATCGTGTTCAGTTGCTAGGGAGAACTGGAAAATTTTTGGCAAATCAGCATCACTGAATTTAAAGCATCTGGAGTGCTGGCTACTAGCATCCATGCTACAGGAAACAGCTAGCTAGCATGCTAGTAGGTGCTGGATAGCACCCAGATAATGTGGTAGGAAATCGATTGCATCTGCATGTAAACGGCTCAGTCGAGTTCATGTCGGTAGCATGTCAAGACCACGGCTCACTTCCGTGGGCTTCTGATAATATCACTGCCACAAAGTAACTTGTGCAACACCACCAAACGGTACATTAAATACCAAACAAGCTGTGCTGCACTGTTATCTATTTCTTCGGCCATTGTTTCCCATTTTCACTTTGTCTGCTTCACTTCGCCAGTGTTTGTTTACTAGACTGCGTTGCAATAAACTAACTGGAAAAATACAGACACAAAGGGGTGCACGTCGCCACCTACTGCACCGAAATGGAACGAACTTCATGTGAGGGTTCAGTTTTCTATCATACATGGAAAAGGCTGGATTGACTTAGATGCACATGTAAACACTCTGACTCACTGTCATACCTGTAACTGTTTCAGTAAAATGTGTTTCTTTCCTCTCATTTTAAGTGATTATAATGTTCAAAACAGTGCACGCTTTGAGGTGTGCATGGTTTGAGCAGATGATTAACTGAGACACAAACCAGCGTAGACCAGCATAGCTGGTTACCAGTATATGTTGTATTTTGGTGCTGGTAGGCTGGTCCAGCATACGATGCTATTCCAGTATGGAATGCTAGTGATGGGAAGCTGGATTAGCATGCATGGCCAGCATCCCATCTTGGACCAGCACCAAAACACAACATATTAATCAATCGATTGATTGATTGATTGATTGATTGGTTGTTTGGTTGATTGATTGATTGATTAATTGAAGAATTGATTTCACCAGCCACCACCATCCAAAGGTGCTCTTGCTTCTACTGTACCTTCATAACAAGGGATGAGCGGTTTAGTGCTGCCCTGAAGTGTCGGGGAGATGATGGAGCAGTATCCATGTGGAAGGATGTGCTCTGATTCATAGTAGACGTTTTTCCAGCGGTGAGCACAGGCCTGCAAGAGAAAACCAGAACTCATTCGGTAAGCACGAACACATCAGACCGTACGCAAGCCTTCCCCCAACCACGCTGAAGATTTCCTCCTCGCTGAGCTGGAGTCAGTCCGTCTCTGTGGCTGTCAAATGATCGTCAATGAGAGAGGGAGGATTAAAACTCGTCCATAACCCCCTGACCATACTGTAACGGCCCTGGTCTGTGGTGTGAACATCTCTGATGCAGTCTGAGGTCTGTGTTTGCCAACATTTTCACATCAACGTTTGTGTTTTAAAGATTTTTCGGTTTTCAAAAGACAAAACTGCTCCTGAAACAACCAACTGGAGGAACCAGAAGTTCAAACATCCCAGAAAGGAGCTGAGCAAAACTAGATCAAAAGACAAAAAACAAACTCCCACTTGAGCATCCTTCTTCCCAAAGAGGGAGAGTTTCTTAAACTGACGTATGAAGCTCTACAACAATATTGTGCTGTTGCTCTTCCAAAATGAGAAATTCCACAAATCGATAACCAAACAGGATAATACAGTCTAGAGTCTGAAGTTAGTGCAAAACAAACCATGTGAATGTGTTAATATGGTAATAATCCCCCCACCCCCTGGGGGACTGGCTGTGGAGCTCCTGTGGCTCTGGGGGACAGCTCTGGATGCCTCTGTGCAGACGAAGTCCACTTAGCCCCCCCCCCCCCCCACACACACACACACACACACACACACATAATCACAGCAGAATACAATACACAGACAGAAAATGAGACCTCAGCAGATTGCTGGCATCAGATAACTCTCTGGGAGAGAGGTTGGAGTTATCGTGCTTGCACAGTTCAAGTTAGCCTGCACTTTCTTAGCTTTGAGGAGTTCACAAACAAAGCATTCACTGAACGCACTTATGAAATCACGGTTGCACACATCTGCCTGGCAGCCGTCTTTCTTCAGCACGCGGAGGCACAGCAACATGTGGCTTCACAGAGAAAACTCCTGTTTTATTGTGACCTCATCAGAACGGCCAAAGAGTGTGCAGCTAAAAGTGTGATGTTATGCAACCGAACGCCCACATCCCCAGGGCTGACAACTCCAGGAATCACTCCGATTTTAGACAAGCTGATTGACAGGTAATGCAAAAGGGTCGGAAGCCGACACATTCCCTCAAAGAAAATCCCACTGAAAAGAAGAAATGGAGGACAGAATACAAAGATCTGGACATCATCTGAGGGAGGAATTCTCTCTGACATTTAAATCAAACATTCACCTGTAGGAGCATGTCACTTAGAAACAAACAAAAAAAAAAACACGTCCCCATAAAGCCCAGCTCACCACTCGCCCACCACAGGAGACGGGGTGGCTGCCCATAAATGGGATCACCTCAGTTGAGCTAAAGCCTATAAACAAACTCTGCCAAATGTCACCCAGCACCTCTTTGACTTTAAAGGGGACATATTATGACTTTTTTTTGTTTCAATAGTTCCATTGTCAATAACAAACATGTTCATTTAGTTTTTTGCAACAAATCCCTCTTGCATGAAGTAATTTCAGTGGTTTTGCCCATGACATTTTCAGTACTTTCCAGAATTAGCCATTTCATGGCTTTGTCACTTTAAGATTTCAAGCTGGAGCTGGTCACGATCACCCCTGCCCTGCTCGTGCTGCGATAAGATGAAGCTCCAATATCCGGGAGTAGCTCGTAATAGAGTTGCTGCTTTTCCAGCAGCAGCTCTCTCTTGCATTCTAGTTTCCTCATTTGTGACATCACAAAAGGGGGCTTTTGAAACTGCTTGTTTTTGGCACATAGTTCCTAAAACACAACACTGACAGAAAATGGATGAATAGATTTTTTAACATTTGGCAGAACAAAAGGATGCATAAGGTGAGTTCTGCATTGCATGTCTCCTTTAAAACTATGTTCTCTCTCTCTCTCTTATTGGCAGAAACAATCTTCTGATTTGCTGACTCTTGCAGCTCATCACACGAGGAGAAGGTATTACAGAAATATGTAAACACAAGACCATTTCCACATGGCTTCTGTTCTTCCAGCTTTACATATGCAAAAAGTCACTAAGTTCTCTCGTTTTACACTCTTTGTTTTCGTTCCTACTTGTGCCAGGCAAAGCTTGTAAGACTGGAGAGCTCAGGGGGTGATGTCAGGACCAGCTGTGGTTTTAAAAGCGTGGTTCATGGGGAGACATTTGTAACGATGATGCTGGTTTCATTTGGTCTGTTTTTATGAGCAAATGTGGTTAAATAAACTGTGGAGGGAACTTTGGTTCTGTGTCCGTGGACTCACCAGGATTTTTCCATTAACTTTGTCCTGACGAGCCAGGCTGACCCCCATCCACTCGTCAGCCCTGTCTCCTTGACACGTCTTCCCACACGACTCCCTCGGCTTGTTTCCTGAAAGACAACGAGAGCAGTTTGCAGTTGTTGAGTCATCGGGATGGAGGAACAAGTCATTAGTTTCTTCTGACTGGGCCAGCTGACAGTTTAGCATTTTATTCATCAAACAATCTGAAAAGAAAAAAAAAGGATTGGAACTTCTTTAGGGCTAAAAATAACTTTTTATAACCAAGAGTCTGTAGAGAGTTAGATTCTGATTAAATTATGTAGATTTGAGTCAACTATCTTAGAGATAATAAAGAGAAAATGTAGCTGTAGTGATTGGGAAACGGAGCGTGGTTCATCGTCCTCTTATGCACCATTTCCCAGTTATCACTACAGCTACATTTTCTCTTTATTACAGTCAGTGACTTGATGCAATTTGCTGGGTTCCTTATATAGGAAAAAAAAATTTCTGATTGGCTTAATGAACTGACCTGAATTGGAATGTTTACTATGTGAAGTGCCTTGAGAGGGCACTTGTCATGATTTGGCGCTATAGAAATAAACTTGAATTTAACTGAATTGTCATTTTCTTGTGCAGCAGAAGAAAATTTTTTGCAAGCTTTTTTAAATTTCTGTCAGCAGTTTTCCCACTTTAAAATTCTCACTTCACTTCATCCTTCCTGTTAACTGATCACAAGTTTTATCATAAAAAACTTCAACTGACCAGCTCACCGTGACAGAAATATTAACTTTTGGAAAATGTTTAAATGCTTTGGTCCATCTGCACAACAATCAGCACCACACTTCTGACAGAACCAACATCTCTGGCCCAAATTAGTACACAGTAATCAATGAACCCTTCTCTCGGAATGCTGCAATCCACAAACGTGATCCTGGTCCGGACGGCTATTCAGCATATTTTAGTAGTTTCTCTGCTTCAACACATTATTTTAATCAGCAGATCATCATCAAACTTCTGCAGAACTAGACAACCTTCTGAACAGGTGATTCAACCATTGAATTATGTGTTTTAAAGCAAGGAAACAACAAAAACATGCTAGAAAGCTCTCCAGTGACCGGGGTTGGGCATCCAGCAGGCAAGGGCAATGGACAAGTGTCCATATTTCTATTACTGATGAGCCACCCGATTCAAATGTTATCCCACTGAATGGTTATTATCATCCTGTCATCCCCATTCAATGGGCCCAGACTGTCCCGCATTTGAAGCAAGTGGATGAGCACAAAAAGTTGTTCTGTTATTTTGTTTGTTTGCTCTGTTTTGTCTTGGTTACTCATTGACTGAGCCCAGAGTTAATATTAAAGCCATGCTTGCACCCTGTCGTTCCGGACCACAGAGCTTGAAGGGTGGTGGGTGGGGAGGGGGTCTAAAAAGGGACTAAAAACTCAACTCTTTTGGCTCATGTGCTTAGAAAATATTAGCAGAAGCATAAATGATATGAATGACAATATTTACGAATGTCTGCACACAGAACCCCCTTTCTTCTGCATTTGCAGCTAAGTGCAGAAAAGGGTTTATTATTCTGATAAAACAAAACAGATGCTTGAGGAGTTTATGCAAAAGAAAGAGGCGAAAAAAAACTGAAAGAAACCAGAAAAGCCCGTTTGAAAGTGCACCAGATCTGTGCAGATGTTGTTAGTGAAGTTGTACCGACCTCTTCCCAGATCCATTTCTGTGCAGCGCCGCTCTGGGTTGCTGTGAACTCGACACTTAAACACAGCTCCAGGAGAGTGCACAGAACTACTGAAGAAAGAGTTTGCCATAGGTGCTCCTACTATTATCCTGCAGACATGAAGAGGGGAGAGGACGGAACGCACACACCTCATTTATCTCCAGATTGTCTCCGTGAGACCTACTAAACAAATTCCCATTTTCCTTAAAAAGGGATGCACAACACATGCAGGTTAAACCTTTACCACATTCAAACAAATAAAAGAAATGCTGCATGACAGGGAGTGAAAGGGAGCAAATTAGACTCACCAGCGTGTGTTGTCATGATAATGCTCCAAAACAGAGTAGCCGAAAAAACTAGAGTTTGGTCCGCGGAACACTAAAGGATGTTCTACATCAATGTTGTATGAAAAAGACAGTGAAATAGAGAGAAAGACACAAAAAACTTGCTGTATTCCCGTTGTGCGTCCCAGCAGAGGAGCCATCCCTTTGCGCGTCATGCGTAAAAATGCGCTTAAAGAGCCAAAAGTTACCAAAAACGACAACAACGAGGAGGGGACGTCCGCTCCTGAGATGTTAGACTTCTAAAAAGTCTGTTTCGGATGTTTTCTCTTGGTTTGGTTTAGTGGGTGATGGCATGAGCGAAGTCTCGAAAAGCAAAGTTGACGGTCCGGTAAAAACGTGCGTCAGCTTCTCTCCATTCTGTGTCAGTCTGGGTAAGTTGTTGCTCGCAGCCTCCGTGACGGAGATAGAAGCAGCGAGAAGTCACGTTTGCGGGAGAAATCCTGGTGAAGAAAACGAAGGAGATGCTTCTCTTAAAATAAAAGCATCAGGGTCTGTGACCTGAAGTGCGACAGCTGATGGGGAGTCGGGGTTTTAACGTGAAAGATCAAACCGGAAGGCGTCTTTTTTATTGCGGTCCACGAACTCTGGTGAGAGGGGGAGAACCGAATGGTTTTGAGGCGTAAAGCATCACATTTCATCAGTGGGCTTTATTGGGGCTCAACCCACCGGACGTGAGAGAAGGGGAATCTCGGGAGCGCGCTGCTGCCACCTACAGGTCAAGATTAACAGAACACAACTTTATATTTGATCATTTCAAATGTTTTGATAATATTCAGATAAGATGTGTATCTTGGAGAATCAACATGGTCCGTGCATGACTTCATCCAACTGTATTTAGCTACCTCATTTTTAAAAACACGTGATGATGCTGAGCTGTCAGGGAACGAGTTGAGGAAAAAAAGCTTAAAATTAAGCTAAATATCTAAATTTATTTCTTTTAATCGTCTCTCTCTCTCTCTCTCTCTCGCTCTCTCACACACACACACACACACACACACACACACACACACACACACACACACACACACACACACACACACACACCAGATCTCTCTGTAATTCCTGTGATATAATGCAACAACAGGGCTGACCCTAGCACTAATTTTATTCTTGCTAGTCAAAGTTGCAAATAAAAACAACCATGTTGTTACCAGTAGAAATATTTTAATTTTGCACTGCTCACGGTAGCAGCATGTTGTAGTAGCTCCGTTTCATATTTTTCTATTTTTTTAAACTTATTTTCCACCTTTTTGGGTAAATATTACATTTTTTAAACAGCTATTCTCTCCAGCTTTGGATGCTGTGCAGCTGGAAGGATGTTTGCTTTTTTTTTAAGTTTGATGCTACAGATCTGTAGCTTCACATCCCACATCATGCAGACTCCTGTTGACCCATGTGAATAAGCACCTGTTAAAAGTGCATGAAGTAAGAACCCTATAAGCACCCCCCAGTAGAAGTATAAATTAAGGGAACTAATGCAAATGAAAAACTGCCACTTATCTGACTGGAGCAACGTTTGAGTTTTTACCAACATCCTTGCAGACTGGATCTATTCAGTGATGCTTTGTCACCGATTCTGTTCTTGCATCACTATTTCCTGCAAAACCCACTCAGATCTTTGACTGAGCCCCAAGGAGAAATAAAAACCAGCTTTTCACATCAGACACATGACCAATGAGATTAACTTCTATTTAAATGCCTGCATTTCTGTATTCATCAAAAAGTATACTAAACAATAAGAAAAGTAGTTCTAACATTCTCAAGAAAAATATTACAAACATGATGTGGCATCATCTTTAAAATGCCGATTTCTTGTTGCATGCATTGCGACAAAAAACATTAAACTGTGAGCAAAAAGTAAATAAAGACAATTAAAGTGTAAACATCGTAAAAAAGGATAAAGAAGTGACAAAACGTGATTGGTAAATAGTTTCATATTGTATTTATTAGTCTGAAAAATGTGAAGCAAATCACTAAATGCCCTATATTACAGTTTGTCTTTTTTATTATACAATTTACACTCTTGGGTTTGGATTTTTTAACCATTTTAAAATATAAAGTGTAAAAAAGCTGTGAACAAAAGAGGTCCAGAGACCAGAAGGTTAATTTAGTGCAAGAGCAAAGTTGAAGGGTCCTTTACAAAATAACAGGTGTGATTCAGACAAGAGCACAAAACAAAAACATAGAAATCAACCGACTGTCGGCGTCAGTATGCGAGATCTTTTATTGCACAAGCCAGTCTGTATAAACACAACAGGAAAGCCTCTTACCTTGATCTAAAACATAAATAAACTTTATTTTAATGTAGATTATGGAAGATTTTCATGTTTCTGACAAAATACCGAATTCCCTCATACTGTACTCACTCACACACGCACGCTCGCGCACACACACTCATAAAAAATGAAATATGGAAAAGCGCTTGATATACATCATGGCTGTCTTCTCCTTCAGCAGCAGCAGAACATCAGAAGTCAGACGCTCATCGTAACCAAGGCTGTGGAGGCATGAAGAGAAGATTAATGCTGATGGAGCTACTAAAACTCACATCTGAGGGGTTTACAATGTGCTCGGATCGTAACAAGATGCTTACGATTGTTTTTGAATCCTCTTTGTCCAAAACCTTCTGGGCTTGGTCTGGAGAAAACTTCAGCATGGAAGTAATCACTTTGGCCATCGTCTGTAGAAAACAAGAGCAGTTTCCTTTTAGGAAAACGTTGGATTTTCCTTTCACAAATACAAGATTTGGCGACTGCTATCTTTTACACATCACACAGATCAAATCAGAGCAGCTCTGAGACAATTAAAGCATGAGAAAGAACAAAGGAATGAAAATTATCTCCATAATCAACTCCAGGCCCATCTGCCACCGAGCATACATTTCCCCATAAACTGGAAGGATAATCAGAAACAGGGCTCCTGAGTAGGAACCCGCTTGGCTAACGATGAACACGGCCAGTGTGGCTTTAAATGGCAAATCTGCGTCATGCAGGAAGCTTGTAGGCAGCCTGCAGCACATCCTCCACACAGGGGAGGTCTGCCGTGCTGCCATAAAGAGCAACTGTTTGGTGAGGAGCAGGGAGAACCCCGCTGAGTTTAGGACCCTGCAAACAGCACACTTAAGTCAGGGAGATCCCTGTCAAGCATCATAACCAAGACTGAACACAACCTGACTTTTATACGGTGTCTGAAAGGGCTGTGAAGGTCGTGCTGCAGACAGAGGTCACTGGGTAAAAACTCAGACAGACTCTTTAAGCCCATGCTGTAGTTCTTCTTTAAAACACAGAGCAGTTTTGTTGACCCGTTTTCCCGCTACGTTTCGTTTGCGGCTGCAGACTTCCTCAGGCTGAGGAAACGAAACGTAGCGGGAAAACAGGTAAACAAAACTGCTGTGTTTTAAAGAAGAACGGCAGCATGGACTTAGAGATACGACACAGCAACAACACACCTAAGATGTTCAAAGAAAAATACGGACGACAAGGAACGAAAGACTCTTTAAGCATTATTATCGACTTGGTGATTCAGAATCGTTTCATTTGTAGGAAGAGAATTCGTCCCAAATGTTTTTGAGTGAAACTACGTGAAGTTTTTAAACGTCATATTCACTTGTTTATCCAAGAAATCTGCTGTATAAATTAATGAGTTGCTTTCTGTGGGGGGAGAAAAAGCTCTGGCGCTCCTGTTTCAGGAAGTTGAAGTTAGTTAGAAGATTGTTTTGGGGGGCGGAGCAAAATTTAGAGTCCATTACCCATTTACATTCATGACATGCAAGCATCTGGCCTCTACTTGGCTAAAAGCAACGCGACTCTTCTGCTGCCTTCGTTCACTCTTCTATCTGAAAACATTCATGTATTCATCAGCCTTTGGATGTTTCCTATGCTGCACCTTCTGCACTGTAACTGCTCACCCTTTAACTTTAAAGTATTTTTTTCCAGATTAATCTGTTCTCATTTTATTTGTGTACTTTGATTGTGCTGTCACGTTACTTTGATGCTCGTGCTATTCTTGCTAATTCAAAGCACATCGAATTGTCTCTGTGTATGAACTGTGCTGCAGAAATAAGGCAGCTTTGCCTTTCTTGTGTAAATAACTCAACGTAGATGTTTTATCTCGTCAAATAACACGAGCCTGAATGCTCCACCATGTTGTGGAGTGGCTAATGGTTAGCTTCTATTAGCGGAGATGCTATCTCCTGGCTGCAAAATCAACAGTGCTTTTTACAAGATTCACTGTGCCGGCAAACCGGCGTAATATTGCAACAGTGCCTTATAAACGCGCCGTGCTGGCATGACGAAGGGTGAATTTTATGGCATTTGTTCCACCTTGCTTAGTAGTAACATTGCAGTAAATGTCTTATAAATGGCGATTGCGCCTCGGTGCAACAGAGGGAGGTGTCATGATGACGTGGGGAGTTACTGCAGAGTTCCGGCCAACAACTATATTGAAAATTAAAGTAAAAACGGCAACCTGAAGCAATGCAGCGCTCCTGGAGCTTCTCTCCATTAGAGCCGGAGGTCAGATCACCAGAGACTGCACAGGGAATGTGGGGGACAGACACCTTTAGGAGCGGCTTGTCCCAAAAAAAAAAAAAAAAAAAAAACCGTAACGAGCACGGCTTCAATCGCAACAAAAAGCAAGATCGCCATCGCCTAATCTTTTGTAAAAAAGACACGATTGCGCCACATTACTGCCACGGACTGACCACTCAAACAACCTAAGGCTCCCCAATGCCGCCATGGCGTTGTGGCAAATTGGCGGCATTGTTTTGTAAAAATGGCTAACAACAGCTTTTTGTGGTAGCAAGCCAAGGTGGGCGGAGCCATGAATACTCATTTTCCCTGTGACAAATAGAGAAAAGCTTTCCCCGTCCATTTCCTTTCTGTGGCTAATGCAGACGAAGGGGGTTGAAGAAAATGTTCAAGTTCAGCATGAAAAGAAAAGAACCAACATTACACGTTTGTCAGTGTAACACACCCTTTAACACAAACTAAACTGATAAAGAGCTAAATATTAAATCGTTTGTTTACCGTCAGAACAAAAAGCTTACTTTTGTCTCCCGTCCCATCATGTATTCAAACAGCACTTTCCTCAGGTACTCCATCTCAGTGGGCTCCGAGAGCGTTTCAGCAGCGTTGACTCCGGGATCTACGAAAACACACCAGAAACGTTTAAATCTCACCTCAGAAGGATTTTCTTGCTTAACGTTAGTAGTGAGTAAACATCTTGCATCAAATCTGCGTTGGCAAACGAACGCGTCTACAGAAGCACCTTCTGTGTTCAGGCACAGGCCAGGTATGGGAAAGAATGACAAGTCTCAGCGGGAGCGATTTACAACACTGAACAGTGAAGGTTTTAATCCTCCGCCCGAAGCTAAAGCATCATCAACCCACTAAAAACCACGAATGAGAACATTTGTGTTAACGGCCTGGATGAGTCTGGTAACGCTTACGGTTTTACAGCTGAAATATCCAATCAGGCTAAATTTGTTTACTGAATAAGTAAAATCATCAATCAGATCACAATGTGTGTCTGAATTCCTGCTGAGTGAGAGAGTGCAACCAGAGGAGGGAAATAAATAAATAAACGAACAAAAGACAGATGGAAGGGTACCAATAACTCTTTGATCTTTATCAGATTAACAGGTCACCAATAAATCCACTAGCCTTTTGTCCTTTTGACCTCGTTTTGCCCCGACTTAGCAAAGTCTCTCACCACTCCCACCACGCCGCTGCAGAGCTGAAACCAGCCATCAACAGCTGTCTAAACTCCCAGGTGGTCCGATTCGGTCTAACAGAGACCTCAACCAACGAGGAAGACGTAACCCAACATAAAGTCATTTGTGTTCAACAGAACTCAAACATCTTTGGTGTTTGATAGACCAGAGGATCCTTTTACATACAATCCACAGAGGTTTACCCCGACCTTTACCATAATGGTAACCTACGCGACACAAGCCGAACCACAATCACAACCACAGCCTCAACTTAACCTGGAAGCCTACAATCGAGCTCGGCTGACCAACGCTCGGCCGAGCCAGATGACAAACAGAAATCTTACAGAACTTTAAAACGTTGCTGCAACTCAGACATGTTTACACGACATATAATCAGGTTTTCTGTGTGAAACGGACTAAACCCATCAGCATCTGCTACACGTTCTGAACGGAACATTAAAACGTGTCACCTTGGTTCTGCTTATCCACGAGGAAATTGAAGCATGAAGCAGAACTAAGCTGTTCGTGGTGTTTAGATTACCTTTGTATGTGCTTCCCAGATGAGTTACAACCATGTTGCGGTGGGCACTTTTTATGTTGTCTTCAAGCGTGTGAATCTAGAGCGGAGAAAGACGCGTTATTTTTTACCCTGTGAGTCAATTTAGTCTTGAGTGTTGATGGGGAGCTTTTAATTGTCCATCCTTGGGGGATGTTAGCCAGGAGGGAAATCCGTGGGAGGCGTTGGTCGGATTGTTTATGGGGTTAAACCAAACATAAACAGATGTGTGCCTCAATTAAGTCATTTTATGCGAGGCCATGGATTTCTGGGAAAACATCGCTTTTGAGACATCCCACCATAAACGACACGTACTCGTTCGATAAACTCCTGCTCCTTCAGTCGAGCCTCGCTCAGTAAAGTCGTCTTCTCAGCAAGCTGAGCCTGTCGGGTGGGACGGAGAAGAATAAATACCACAAAACGAGAAATTCTGTTGGAATTTATATCTTAAATTACAAAAAGGATAGAAACAAGGATAAATGTACCTGTAGGTCCTCTGGGGTCACCTGTACACACACACGGACACACACAGAGAGAAACGATAGTGTTTGTTAAAGTGTCTGGTAGCTGAAAGTAAAAACTGTGAACTGGGATGAAGGAAGACGAGGATGAAAGTCACAGAACACATCAAAAAGTTTGTGCTTTTAACAGGATAACTGAAATTAGTCATGTCACTGCCCATCACTTCATTATATGGTGTAGACCTCTGGCTCCTTCATGACAAATGGTTAGTGAGGCCCAGAGTTAGAAGAGGCCCGCCTGAACATTAAGCCTTACAACCCCCCTCACAAGTTATTACCTCACCTGGGAAAAATGCATGGAGCGCTATATAATTCAGAGTTTGTGTGCACCCATGCATGTGTGTAAGGCTGGAGGGGAAAAAAACACTGCATGGGTCCAACAGCACCTGGGGACATCTCCATGAAGTCCTAACTGGCCTCAGGTCTATATTTGGTGTGAATATTCCTCCTGTGGTATTAATTTGAGTCTGTGTCGCCTCATATGATGATAATTGAGAACAGCGATCGGGGCCGGCCGCTGCCTCCCCGTTTCTGCTTTCTGAGAACATTCCTGACTGATTCAAATGAGCTTGCAGCATCCGGCGTTCCTTGGAGAGCCGCCACAAGACCCCCAGTGAGACACGGATCAGGACAAAGAAGCAAATCGTCCTTGGGCTTTTAGACGAAAACCTTCGATTATAAAGCAACAGAAAGGAGAAAACGATTGCTGATAACTGCCGAGTCTGCTGACCTGGACGTGAACATTCAAAGAGGTATTATCAACAGTAGTTGTGTAGTGAAGCGAAAAGACAAGTCCTTCACTCAGAGCGTCTAGTGCCTCCATCAGACCTCATCTTCGTCCCAGAAGGAATATTTTAACGTGGCCAGAGACTTCAACAGGATTACTGTAGAAATGTCATCTAGCTTTCTGAGCCCCAGTGAGGCGTCTGTAATGGCTGAAAGGATGAATGTATCTCTGCAGCTTTGTAAAAGAAGAAGATGTCGCTGGTCCCAGACCAGTCGTACCTCTGAAGTGTCCTGGCAACGTGCTTGCAACTCTTCCAGTTGTTTCTGAACCTGCCACACTCTGTCTCCCATCTCCTCCTCTCGACTCTAAAATCCAATAAATACATCCAACTGAGTCATTTCCCATGCGTCATCTCAACATCACAGCTTAAATATGTCACCCCGTTGCAGGCTTCCCACCCTTACTTTTAACCCAATTTTGGGATTTTAGTAACAGAAGAAGAAAGAAGTGAAACAGAAAACTTTGAAAAGCATCAAAGTTTAGAAGTATAAGTCAAATCAGATTTAGTTTTATACCCACTTTGATGTCATTACGAGTCAGTTCGAGCTAGTATGTTTTCTTTTCTACTAAACACAAATAAAACCTGGCCTCCAGCAGCGAGGGTGTATAGTAGATTTTTAACAATACCTGTATAACTTGTTCGTATCTCTGAACGGTTCTTTGCAGATCGTCCTCCTTCTGGGAAATCACCTTCTTCAGCTGGCTGGCTTCTTCATGATGGGTATGGATTAGCTCGGTTTCGACCTCCTGGGCCTTGGCTGAGTCGGAGAGGAGGAAGAAACCAGACTTAGCTTCTCATTTTAGATCTTTAGTCTTCATCGATCTGTTAATTTTGAATTAGTAACAAGTAGAGATGGAGGACATTGACCAAAACATATATCTGGTTTTTTAGTTGAATTCCGATACCCGGTACATATCTCAATATTTTACTTCTTGGAAAGTAGTTACGAGTCATAGTTAAATGTCTTGAATTTTGTTTTAGAGGTTCAACTCAGTTCAGTTTATTTATATAGCATCAAATTGTGACAAGAGTCTTCTCAAGGCACTTCACAAATTAAACATTCCAGTAAAATTCAGTTAATTAAGCCCATCAGTAAAAAGTTTCCTATATAAGGAACCCAGCAGAGTGCTTCGAGTCCCTGACTAGGCCGCGGTTTTGGTTTTAGCAGTGTAATAATATTTACCAATGTGAATAACTATATAGATTTGTGAATATTGATTTTATGTTATTTCATGAGATTATTTTTCCCTTCTATATTAAGACTTGTGCAAAAAATCCAAGAGCTTTCAGTTTGGAAGACGTTTCAAAATTCCACCTGTACTAAAAGGTGCATTATGCAAGGATGAAGTAAGACTGACATCCTGTGGTCAAATGTGGGTACTGCAGCCCATTTTCTAAACACTAGTGACACTCTCATTCGTTCTGTGGGTTTCATGGCGGTTTCCAGCTACGGACCAGCAGCAGAAGAGTCTAGATGGTGAGTCATACACGGTAAGTTGGTAAGTAGATACATACATTTCACTGTATTATACAGTTGTTGGTAATTGAAAAAGCAGCTTGAGATATTTGGTAACGAGGCATAAAAATGTGTCATTCCACACTGTTTTACATAATCCATCACATTTTTTTTTGCCATTTTTTGAGAAAAACTAAATTATCTTGAATCTGTTCGTCTCACCGATGGTCTCCTTCATAGACGTGTCCAGCTCCTTCTCTTTCAGGGCCATCTGCATGTTGAACTCCCTCATTAACTGCTTTATGGTAGAGTTGTGTTTCAGCTCTGCATCTTCCAACTCCAGTCTAGAGGTGGTAAAAAGAACACTGGCATCAGAAAGAAATGACCTCCACAAAGGATTTACGCTTGCAAAACTTAAACTTACTTTAATTGTTTCTCATTCTCCTCTAGTAACTCTTTCTTCACGCACTCCAGGTCATGTTCATGCTCCTTCCTCAGCACCCGCATGTCCTTCTGTAACCTGTTGAAGTCCTTCTGGATTTTCTCCTTCTCGTTCTTCATCTGAGTCAGTTTACTTTGGAGTGCTTGCAACGACTCTTCATCGCCATCCAGTTCTCGTACAGGAGGGTGATAGCCCACCATGCTGGCGGTCTGCTGTACGCTGCTACATTCCACCATCACCTCCTGGGCAATGTTTGAGGTTGCTTCCCGCTGATTGAGCTGGGCTTCTTTCTCACATATTTCCTCCTTCAGGCGATTTATTTCAGCAAGGAGGCTTTGATTCTGCTCCTCAGCTTCCTTTAGCTTAGCCTGAACTTCCTGCAGGGCTGATTCTGTTTCTTTGAGCTCGCTCTGTTGCACGGCGTTCCTCTGAAGTGATGTCAGCTTGTCTTCATACGTGACTCTCAGCTCTTCTAAAGACCCTTCCTTCTCCAGCCTCTCGTTGCTCAGAGTCTGCTCCAGGGTTTTCTCCTGCTCCTCCGAGACCTTAAGAGCTTCTTCAAGCTTTCTTGTTTTCTCTTCTAATGTTTCCATTTGTTTTTTGCCCAAAGCTTCGTTGCTCTTGTTCTCCTCCAGGCTACTCTGAAGAGCCTTAATCATCTGCTCTTTTTCCTCCAGCTGTGCAGTCAGCTGCTTTTTAATCTGACTAATTTTCTGCTCGGCCTTCTTCTTCAGCTCCGACACTCTCCGAGCACTCTCGGCTGACCACCTTTCTTCGGTTTCTTTCAGACTCTCCTCCTTGCTCCTGATGACTTCGTCCTTCATCCTTTTGAATTCCTCCGTTTGACTTTGGAGCGTGTGTTTGCACTTTTGGTTTTCCTCCTCGAGCGAGCGCAGCTTTTCTACCATCTCTTCTTCCAGATTACCGTTCTGAGTGCACTGTGTCTGAAACTGCTGCAGCTGCTCCACCAGCGCCTTCTTCTCATTCTCCCTGATGTCATGTTGCTGTTTGAAGTCGGACGCGAGCTGCTCACACTCTTTTGTTTTTGAGACCAACTGCTCCTGAAGCTCACCGAGCCGAGCGATATAACCATCGAGCTCCGAAGTGAGGTGGCTGACTTTCTGCTCTTTTTCACTCAACACTTGATCCATCTCAGATTTGCTGATAGACTGATTGTCAATAGCTGCCGACAACCTTTGCAGGGCTTCGTTCTTCTCAGAGATCTCCTTCTCCAGGTCTTCCAGCCTTTTCTGCAGCGATCTAATCATGTCATCATCCTGGGTGAACTTGGTCTCTGTACTCTTCTCTTTCTCAGACAGGCTGCTCCTGAGTGCATCTGCCTCCTCTGAGGCGTGCTTCCTCTCCTGCTCCAATCTCTCAATGCTCTCCTTCATCTGCTGTCGCTCCTTTTCACTCTGCTGCTTCAGCTGAGTTATGGCTTCCTCCTTGTCTTTGATGCTGCTTGCAAGCTGGTTGTTCAAATCCGCGACCAGACTTTCCAAGTCAGCGACGTGCAGCTCGTTTGTTTTCAGACTTTCTGATATGACTCTGTTCGCTTCGCTCAACTCCTCGATTTTCCGCACGTGCTCACTGATGAACAGAGAAAGGTTCTCCTTCTCGTGCGTTAAGGCTTTTATGTGCTCCATGTGAACGTTTACCTGAGCGGTAGTCTGATCTAATGAAATGCATAGGTTCTTGTTCTCCTCTTTGTGCTGGAGAAGGCTCTCCTCTAAAGTGCAAACTCTGCTTTCCTGGGTGAGGAAAACGTTTTTGACGCGGCCTAACTTTTCCTGGCTGCACAGCAGCCTGTGGTTTAGCTCTTTTAGTCGACCCTCGACTCGTTGCTGGATTTCATGAGAAGAACAATCTATTTTAGACTGAACCTCCAGACAGTAACGGCCTGTTTGGTTGACGAGTGCATTTAGTTGCTGCTGGAACTCGGCTTCCTTGGTTTGTAGCTGGATGGTCGTTTCCTTAAATCTACTCTCCAAGTCCTCAGTTTCACTCAGTCTAGAATTTCTCAAAGCGTTAAGCTGGTTTTCGGTTTGATTCAACTTCTCAGACAAAGTCTTGATCTTCTCCAAACGCTCTTCCTCAGTCGTCTTCAGCTTGTCTTGCAGAGTGTTTCTCTCACTCAGCGCCTGGTTGAGGTTTCTCTCTGCCGTCTCCGTCTGCTCTTTAAGCAACGCTTCACCCTGAGACAAACTTTCAAGCTTCACCGCTGCTTCCTTAAGTTTCTCCTGCAGCTTCTGCACAGTGGTCTCTCTGATTGCCAGTTCCTCTTTTAATCCTCTCAATGTTTTTTCATTTTCCTCCTTGTCTCTGCTAAGCTGCTGAGACATTTCCTCCAGGTCCCGAACCTTCTCCTGTAGTGTGAGTGAATGTTTCTCTGTGAGCTCTTCCTCTTGCTGCGCCAGCATCTCCTGCCAGCGGCGCTCTAGCTCTTCGACCTCGAGCTTCTGAGTGGCACAAAGCTTCTCCAGTTCCTCCTTATGGTTGGCTTGGAGCTCTGACACGGCGTTGCTGAGGCCCTGGGAACTCTGAGCCATTTCTACAAATTTCTCCTGAACTTGCTGCTCCTTCTGTTGAAGCTCCTTCTCTTTCTTTGCCAGCTCCTCTTTCATGTTGTCTTCAGTCTGGCGGAGCTTTTTCTTGAAGTTCTCCTGCATTTCTTTGGCCTTCTGCTTGAACTTTTCCATTTTTGTTTCCTGCGCCTTCAGCTTGGATTCCAGCTCGGCTTTAGCGTTCTTCAGCTTCGTCTCGTGCGCGGCTCTTTCATCGTCCAGCTGTTTCTTGAGGCGTGCTTGCTCCTCCAGATTTCTGCCCAGTTCTGCTGCATGAAGCTTCTCCTTTTCTGAGAGCTCATTTTTGAAATCTTTTAATTGGTTCTCCATTTCCTGGAGCAGCTTCTCCTTTTGTTGATGTTCATTGTTTGACAAATCCAGCTGATGCTTTAGATCAGTCAGCTCCTTCTTACACAGATCCAGATCCTCTGAGACCTTACCAAACTCTGCGTTTGACTCTTTGAGGCTCTTGTTTTCTTGCTGAACTTTTAAAAGTCTCTGCTGCAAGTCTTCATATTTCTTGAATTTGGAATTTGATTCCTCCTGTAGTGTTTTTTCTTTTGAGATGAGCTGTTCCATCTCCTTTTCCTTTTCTTTCAGAACTATTTTTAGCGCATTAAGCTCCTGTTTCAGAGTTTTTTCTACACCTCCAAGTGACTCTTCATGCTCGCGTTTGACATTTTCAAGCTCAGCATAGTGCTTCGTCACCTGATCCTGGAACTTTCCTTCGAGTTCCTCTTGAGCGACCCTAGAGGCCTCTTCAGCTGCCCCCAACTTCTCCTCCAGAAGTTGTTTACTCTTCAAAGCCTCTGAAAGCTCATCCGACAGCGACTCCAACTCGGCCTGCTTCTCATCCAGTTTCACTAAAATCTTCTGGTTCATGTCTTCAATGTGAGCTTGGAGTTGAAGCTCTTTCTCTTTCAGAACAGTCTCCATTTCAGATCTGTGCTTTTCCTTGAGCTCCTCAAGAGTGGTGTCACTCTGCTCCCTCAGAGCATCCTTGTGCTTTTCCAGCTGCTCCTGATGCTTTTCTTCCAAAGCGGTGATTTGCTCTTTGTGTTGATTCTTCAGCTCTTCCAGCTGACTGGACTCTTGGTGAGACAGGCTGGATTCATCTCGAGAGATCTTGTCCACAGAGCTCTCCAGCTCCAATATCCTCTGCAATTATATCAAATGTAGGTTGTTAAAACAAAACAAAATGCATGAAAGCTGCTAAAATATTTCACTGCAATACTTTCCAAATAGCTTATATGGAGTCACCAAATATTTTACAAAGTCTACAGGGATAAAAAATTCATTATTTTTATTTATCAAATACAAAATTTGCCATATATATTTCCTTCTCCGCTTTTCCCCGACAGAGAATTTTCCACATTTATCAGCTACTGCACAAACAAGTATTTTATTTTACCTTAGTTTTAACACCATTACGTCATTCTGTTTTCATAAACTGAGTTTAAAAACAAAAAGCAGCTCACGGTTCTTGCAGTTTCCAGCTCCAGCTGCAGCTCTTTAATCGTATTATCGGCTTCTGCTCTGACGGCCGTTTTCTGCAGCTCCACATCCTCCAGGGCGAGCGAGGCCTGCTGTTCTCTCTCTTTAGATAACTGTGCAAACTCCTCTCTGCATTGCTCCTAAGTAGTAAAAACATTGTCAATTGTCTAATTACTGCAGTAAGAATATGTCACAACCTCTAATGACCAGTAGGAGCTAACACCTACCACTGCTTTGTTGATTCTGTCTTTTATTTCCTCCTCTTTAGCAGCCAGAGCTTCACTGTGGGTCTTTTCCAGATTAGAAACATTTTCTTCTGATAATTTCTAATATTTAAAAATTGCATATTTATTATGTCTTCAAACATACTTTGACTAAAATAAAAGAACACAAAATATTTCAACATAAAATTATTTTTGATGGACTTTATGACAACAGAAAATTAGTTTAAATTAATGATGATGAAACTTTCTGTAACAATAACTTCATCAAACTAAAAATACTTGAATGAGTCTTTCTGACCTTCATTATGGTGACAGCTTCCTGTTTGACACGCGTGAGCTCCTGCTGAAGATTCCTCCTCTCCTCTTCACTCGCCCTTTCAACTTCCGTCACTTGCTCCTCCAGCTGAACCTGCAGCTGTTTTCTGGCCTCCTCTGCCCTCTGAGCTACGCCTAGAGCCCGCTCCAGCTCCTCAAAAGCTTCACAACATAAACCGTACTCATCGTTACCAAGATTTCTTCTCAGAATGACTTCTGACTCGATTGTTCTCACCTGATTTCTCAGCCTTTTCTTTCTGTTCCTGTAGTTCCTCTTTCTGAACGGTGACCTGATGCAGCCGCGAGCGCAGCTGAGCAATCTCCTCTTCTTTCATCTCCAGCGTCTCGTGCATCTGCCGCTTCGTCTCAGCAATGACCATCCCCTAAAAAAGTCACACAAAAATTGTAAAAAATTAGGATTTCTATTTGAAATTGACAAACTAAGTAAACATAAAATCTGAGCGAACCTTGTCTTGCTCCAGCTGTTCAATCAGATTCTTGGCATCCCGCAGCTGAGTGATCAACTTGGTCTTTTCTGTTGTGTGAAGTTCCTTAAAAAAATTACAGATTTCAATGAAAACGTGACTGGAACTAATATATAGCAGCTTAATTATAATATTTCTGATTTCTTTCCTGTGTATGTTCTTGTCATATAACTTGAAAATGCGATGTGTTCTCTACCTCTCAGGGTGCCTCGCCCGCAAACCAAACAAGTCCAGCTAAACCAACAAAGCCAAAGAAGTTGCAAACTTCAGCTTGAAAACTGATGCCATGAACAGCGTTGCTCTTAATTAAATTTCTGTATTTTCCATGTCTGAAAAAAGATCCTATCCCACGTTACATTTAGCTCTTTTGTTGTTAAATTTCACATAATGCAGCCAAACCTTTAATGTTTTCAGCACAAGTGTTATAAGAGGCAGGTGTGTGTGTAATTGAGAGAGTGAGAGTGAGAGTGAGAGAGTGAGAGTGAGAGTGAGAGAGAGAGAGAGAGAGAGAGAGAGAGAGAGAGAGAGAGAGAGAGAGAGAGAGAGAGAGAGAGCAGCAACCCAAAGTCATGTGACAGAAAGCAGCAGGAGGAACGGAGCTGTGCAGCTCATGAACAGGGTCATTTTTCAGGGAAAGCACTGAAAAAGTTCATTATTTTTGGTACCAATACTAAAGCGGTACCAAGTTTTAGTACCCGCCCTACTGCAGCCTTCTGTGCAATTGCAGCTCTTATCTTTACCGTACCCTTTTCTTCTTTTGGTTGTTACAGTGATTCAAGGTATTAAAGCTTCATTCATGAGGAGTTTTTAACTCCAGATGAAGATGCTCAGAACTGCGAGAGGACTTATTCCTCCAAAACACTTTAAACAAAAAAAAAACAAAACAAACGGAACTAAATTACAGCAAAACGACATCAATCCCAGACTTTAAATCTATTATTACGGTCTCCTCCCAGCTGTAAGCAGCTGCCATCAAATGCTGCAAACCATCAGAACAGCTACAGACATGCTACACAAGCCAAACATACCACTGAAGCTAAATGTTTTGAATGCAATGACAGCAATGGTTCAGTTATGTCAAGCCGACATGACATGAACCCCTCACTGTGGAGCCGGGCCAAGGAATGTGGATATCTGGAGACGGAGACCCACATAGCAATCTTCTGTCACACAGATAATGGACTCACATTATCAGTGGACCATAAAGACTCTGGCAGATACTCTTCAGCACATTAATTAGCCCAAACACCGCTCAGTCATTAGCAGCATCTCAGCCCTGCCTCCGTTTAATCAAACCTCTTCATAACTAGTTTACTGCATCATTAAATTCCTCCGTACGTCCAGCCCGAAGAGAAGAATTTGAATTATTTGGGCTATTCTTTTTAAAATACTGATGAAGAAATGATGTCTACGAGCCCCAAAATTTATAGATTTGTTTATCTCACTAAAGAACTTGGCACTGATTCTGTGTTATTGTAGTTAAAATAAAGAGTGTGAACCTTCATCTTCTCCAGCTCCTGCAGGCGCTCCTGCAACTGCTCCTGCAGAGTTTCGTTCTCACTGCTCAGCTGTGTGCTCCGCTCCTTGTGCGTACGCATCACTTCTTTGCACTTCTGCAGCAGGTTCTCCTGCCTCTTCACCCTCTTCTGTAGAGCCTCCATGAGTTTGGTTGGATCACTGTTGCCCTCTCCTGTTCAGAAAATTAAAATGCAATTGTTGTAAAATAAAATCTTTAGCTCCGTAGAACAAAAAGACACACTTTCACTTTTAAGTTGATTCACATATGAGCAGATAAAAACATTTCTTGCCCTCGGTGCTCTCTGGCTCCAGTCCTTCCTCTTTCGACGGACTCTGCATTACAGATGTAGAACCTTGAGCTTCCCCAGACTGGAGAACGTCACCTTCAGCAGGGAGCGACCCATCTGTAGAAACCCCCTTAACTCGCTTCTTTAACAAAGCAACCTTAAAAAAAGAAAAACAAAGAAATTAAAACTGCTTTATGACAAAATGGGTTTCCAGTGTTCCACACCTTTAAGTGGGTGAGTGAAGTGTTTTTCAACATTATACAGTTAAAGACACCAAGTTGGAGTTCTGATAACTCAAATAATAAATAAATGAAACAGACATTTTTAAATTTCGTTTTAAATGTTATGTTTATGTATTTAGCAGACGCTTTTGTCCAAAGCGACTTACAAGTGATAATCGGCATGTTGCCCTTGAGGCTAACAACAACAATAACAACAACAACAACAACAACAACAACAAACAATTTCCAGTCAGTCGTAGGTGGCAGTGAGGCAGCATGATGAATCATGGAGAGGAGGGAACAAGGAGTGGACAGTAGAGAGGGGGGACGGGTGCAGGGAGGGTGCTAGTTTAGAAGATGCTCTCTGAAGAGCAGGGTCTTCAGGAGTTTCTTGAAAATGAAGCCCCTGTTCTGGTAGTACTTGGTAGGTCATTCCACATTTGTGGAACGATGCATGAGAAGAGTCTGGATTGTCCTGAGCGTGGTGTAGGCACTGCTAACCGACGATCCTGTGATGACCGGAGCGGCCGGGCCGAGACGTAAGCCTTTGCAAGAGGATTCAGGTAGATGAGAGCCGTACCATCTCGGACTTTGTATGCTAGTGTTAGCAATTTGAATTTGATGTGTGCTGCTAGCGGTAGCCAGTGGAGCTCAATGAACAGAGGGGTGACGTGTGCTCTTTTTGGCTGATTGAAGACCAGACGCGCCGCTGTGTTCTGGACCATTTGAAGAGAACTCACAGTACAGGCTGGAAGACCAGTTAGAAGGGCATTGCAGTAGTCGAGGCGGGAGATGACGGTAGATTGCACCAGGAGCTGGGTGGCATGTTGTGTTAGGTATGGTCTGATCTTTCATATGTTATACAGCGCAAAGCGACATGAACGAGCAACAGAGGCAACCTGATCTTTAAAGGTCAGGTGTTCATCAATCACAACACCCAGATTTCGAACTGCCTTTGAAGGAGCCAGAGATAGGAAGTCGTTTTGGATTGAGATATTGTGCTGTATGGATGTTTTTGCTGGGATGACAAGTAGTTCAGTTTTAGAGAGGTTGAGTTGGAGATGGTGGGATTTCATCAATTTTGATATGTCAGAGAGACAGTTTGATATTCGTGCAGAGACAGTGTGGTCGTCCGGTGGAAATGACAGATAGAGCTGGGTGTCGTCTGCATAGCAGTGGCAGGAGAAGCCATGTGATCGAATTATCTCACCCAATTAGGTGGTGTATATGGTAAAGAGAAGAGGTCCTAGTACAGAGGCCTGGGGGACTCCTTTTGCAAGATGGTGCACGGTAGAAGATTGTCCAAGCCAAGATACACTGAATGATCGTCCTGTGAGGTACGATTCAAACCAGGCGTGTGCTTTCTCTGTGATGCCCATGCTAGAGAGTGTGGACAAAAGGAAGCCATGGTTGACAGTGTCAAATGAGGCCGATAAGTCGAGCAGGATAAGCACTCAGGATTTAGCAGTCGCTCTAGCTTCTTTTAAGGATTCAGTCACTGCTAACAGAGCAGTTTCAGTGGAGTGGCCCTTTTTGAACCCAGATTGGTAAGGGTCAAGCAGACAGTTTTGTGAGAGGTATTCTTTGATCTGCTTGAAAGCCACCCTTTCAATGATTTTGGACAGAAAAGGGAGGAGAGAGAGAGAGAGATCAGTAGTTCTCCACATGATTTGGAGGAAGAGATGTTTGTTTTTAGCAGTGGTTTAACCTGAATGAGAGAGGTGGCAAATGTACCGGATGTCAGTGAAGCGTTGATCACATGTGTGACTGCTGCGGCTACTGTAGGAGCAATAGCTTGGACCCGCTTAGTCGGAATGGGGTCCAGTGGGCATGTAGTAGGGCGGCTGCACGTGAGAAGCTTGGGCACACAGTTCTCAGTGAGAGGGGAAAAAGAGGAAAATGAAGCAGTAGGGCCTGAGATGGTTGGGCTAGAAGGAGTTTGTGGTAGCGAATGTTCAGGAGTGGCCAGTTGAGTAAACTGTTTGCTTATAGCTGCCACTTTGTCAGTGAAGAATAAGGCAAAGGTGTCAGCTGATAGATTGTTGGTAGGAGGTGGAGATGGAGGGGTGAGCAGAGTTTTGAATGTCAAAAATAGTTTCTGAGAGTCAGTAGAGCTGAGAATTTTGTCAGTGTAGAAAGCTTTCTTTGCACCAGTGGTGCTGGCAGAGAATGAGGACAGTAATTCATGAAATTTCAATTGATCACCAGGATCTTTTGTTTTGCGCCATTTCCATTCCGCAGCTCTAAGATTGGTGCGTAGAGCCCGGAGGGTATCATTTAGCCAAGGGTGCGACTGAGAGGATCTAGCAGGTCTAGTGGCTAAAGGGCACAAGTTGTTGAGACAAGAGCAGTGTGTGGAGCAGAGAGACTCGGTGGCATCATTCACTTTATAAGCAGAGAATGTGCTGGGAGATGGAAGAGTGGAGGCAACAAGAGAGGAGATGTGGTTGGGTGCCAGATTGCGGAGGCTGCGGCGGAATGAGACCATTGGGGAGGAAGCAGTTGACCTTCCATGTAGTCATGCTGAAATGGATGAAGTAATGATCAGAAAGATGCAGCGGTGTGACAGAGATTGTGTCTATGGCACAGTTTCTGGTGAAAATGAGGTCAAGTGCTCTTCCAGCTTTGTGAGTTGGAGGACTTTGTGCTAGTTTTCGATCAAATGATGACATTAGTGACAGGAAGCCTGATGAGCTGGGATTGTCCAGGTGAATAATCATGTCTCCAAGGACCACTGTGGGACAGTCGTGCTCAGGAATGGAGGAGAGCATGGTGTCGAGTTCATCAAGAAAGTCTCTTGAGTTGACCTGGTTGGCGATATATGACAACCAAAAAGATTTTTTTCAGTACAGTTACCTGGATGGCATGGTATTCAAAGGAGTTGTATTTAGTGATGGGTAGCAACTGACTGTATATCAATCTGTTGGTAATTAACACGCCCGTTCCACCACCTCGGCCAGATGCACGAGAAGTGTGGGAGAAAGTGTGGTTAACTGAGAGAGCAGATGGGGTAGCATTGTCACATGGTTTGATCCAGGCCTCAGTGAGAGCCAGTGCATCGAGTGACAGGTGGTTTGCATATGCGGTAATGAAGTCTGCTTTGTTTACAGCATATACAGTAAAATATTGTATATGATCCAAAGTGTCCTCTCTGTTAAGAAATTCTTAATTTTATTTTGTGAAAATCTACTGATGATGCAAAAAAATCTACATCAATAAATGAACCATGTACTAACAACTAAAGTCGTCATTTGCATTTTTTTTACTGTGTGGGCATCGGAACGAGCCCAGCACCGTGAGAACAAACACCCTAGCTTTAAAGCCAATCTTCATCCGCATACGTCACACGTCACGTGATCAGGAAGCAGAAAATCCATGTGTCAGGAGATAGTTTTGGGCCGCTGCTGTAAAAAAAAGTGAGGCGCAAACCGGAAAAGTTTCTGCCGATCACAATTCAACAACGGATTATGAAAGAACGGATAACGCTCGAAACGCAGGGATTCTTCCTGATGTAAGAGGTCAGTCTACGCTTTGTTTTGTTAGTTTTGGCGTTGACATCATCATAGGGTGCAACGTTCTGTGACTCTTAAAAAAAAAAAGTGAAAACGCTGAAAAACTCTGGCAGCGAAGGGCTTTTCGGATCAGGAAACGGCTGGCAGTGAATGAGTTAAAGACCAATAATCCATTCAATTTTTGTAAACTTAAAACCAAAATCTTTGTTCCACTTTTTCCCACCCTTCATCTCTCAGCTGAACGCTCACCTGTGTTTGAAGGACAGTGATCATCTGGTCCTTCTCCTCTAGAGCCGCGTCAAACTCATCTTGTAGATGTTTCTTAGCCTGCTGGTCCATGTGAAGCTCCTAGAGGACATTAACAGAGTTTATTTCCACGTACACCTTTAGTGTGAAAGATCGATGCCGACACAAGTAAAACATGCCGTCACCTCACGAAGCTCTCCGATCCTGCGGAGAGATTTATCTTGACTCTGACTGAGGATGGCCTGAGTGGAGCGACAAAATAAATCTAATTAGTTTCCAAAAGATGTTTAAGGATAAAACCAATAAAGGGAAAATAAATAAAGACTATGTCAACCAAATTACCTGCGTTTTCTCTTTTTCCCGATGGACTGTCCTGTATGCAGTAACCAGCTGCATGACAAGAAAAAGTTTGTGCATTTCACTGAACAGTTTGTCTATTTTAATCATCTAGAAGCCGTTGTCTGCGGGCGTCTCACCTCGGAGTACTTCCCCCTGTACTTCCCCAGGCTCCTCTCGACTTGAAGCAGTCGGTGCAACAGCTGCTCTTTAGGAAGAGACTCGACACTTCCTGCCGGCTCCTCGGCTTCACTCTCAATATCTGAAGGCGGATCGTATGCGGGGGCCACAGGGGACTCGTTTTCACCCAAAAGCGTCAGCGACTCGCGTGAGGAGCTTCGAACCAGGTTTTCTTTGGAAGAGGAGCGGAACAGACTTTCTGCTCGACTCGCACCGCCACGAATCAGCGACTCCACTGAAGGAACCTTCAGCTGCAGCTTCTGGGTAAAGGACTGTGACTCCTCTTTCTGTTGTACGCATAAAAAGTGAATTGAGCGGATCACCAAACAGGTTACAGCATTATACAAATGTGCTTAAAGAGCAAGTCACCCTCAAATCAACTTTTTTTTCCTGATAAACTATATAAAAGCGTGTCTAATCGTGCTGCAGACACGTGTAGTCAATAGTTTAGCACTTAAGTGCATTTTAGTTCAAATTTTTATTTTCTGCCTAAAACTGTCAGTGTTGTGCTGTTGTCAGGTAAAAACTCTGCACTGCATTTGAATTTAAATCTGCCATTACTATTGACTAAGAGGTACCCTAGAACGTTAGCTAGTACCATATGATGTCACAATGATGTTGTGAGCCTGTGTGTGTGTGCATTTGTTAGTGGCTACGCCCTCTTGGTCTGCTAGGCAACAGCATTTGTTGCATTTTTCAAACAGGAAGTGGGAGTTGAGTAAGAATCTGGTAGGGGGTGACTTGCACTTTAACGTTCTTAGATGATGTATAAAACGTACGTAAGGAGAAGCACTTCCATCCCCATTGATGCTCCCTCTGGGGGACCTGACGGGTATTTTGGAGGCACTCTGCAGAATAAAACCACATGATGAGAGAAAGAAAAGCTGTGAAGATGGACTTGTCCTGGAGCCAGTTAGTAATCCACACCCAGCATGGCCCTCCCTGATTACTCTGGAGGGAGCAATATTAGTATTGCTGGGAGCAATGCAGGGGCGATGTGTACCCTCATGCAATTTTGGAAAAACAGAGGGGTTAAATACAAAAAAGAAGGCATCTCTATCATCTAATAAACAAAAAAGGGGTTAAAACGTCACTCTAGAGAATAGCCATTAGGTCAGGACAGACAGACACATTGAAGTCAAGCAGCACAGCTGGAATTTGGATTAAAGGTGCTTTGGCAGTACGGTCTGAAGCTGTATTACAAGAGCACAAAGGTTTAAATGAAGTGAGTCGATATTCAGCAGCCTAGCTGGTTTAGTCGACGTGTGATCAGCAGCATCAGAGAAAAAGACTGTGTTCTCCTCACAGGTTACGCCTTCTTCTAGGTTACAGAGAAAGTCAACATATTCGCTTTCTTTCTCAAAGGATGGTCATCAGTCACAGATAACGCTAATTTTCCTATCAAGTTTTATTTACTAGAGCAAAAATATTCATCTCCACAGTAGAGTAACAAAACATTTACAAGATTATCTGACTCAATAAGCATCTTGGAGAGTTTTAGGAGCAGCAAACAAGGATCTAAACAAGAAAGGACCTCATCTTCAGGAAAAAAGCTGTTAGGCAAACCTAAAGTCTACATAAAATAAGCAAGCACAAGAAAACCACAAAGCAATGGGTCTCATCACATTTCACACACCAGCTGATTGGTTGTTTTACATCATGCAAAAAAACAAAAACAGGTGGAGAACTGAAAGGCTGTATTTCTCCAATACAACAAGCTCAAACATCTCAATACTACATCAAAAACTCGGAGAAACAGATTTTAACGAAGCTCTGACTCCAACCTTCTGACCTACAGAGGACAAACTTGGCTCATAAGCCACATTTCTAAATAAATAAATATTGATTGTACTAAGAAAAACTAATTGAGATTTATATGAAAACATTAGACATCAACATCATGTGGGGACATAGTGTTGGTACATTACAATGAGATGAGTTTAGGAAGTTTGAAGAGAGTAAATGTGACTCCTGATGAATCTCGAAAAGCACAGAACACACCAGACATCACACACACACACACACACACACACACACACACACACACTACAGTCCACCTAGGTGAAGCCAAGCTCACTCACTTATTTTTAACTTGTTTCATAAAGAGACTGATTTTATTTAGTCAGTTTTCTAAATATCGCAGCCAAGTGGGGCTGAAGGACCATTTAACTGAATAATCACCACGTCCTAAAGAATGATCCACATGAGCAGAGATACATTCTACAATAAATGTAAAACTAACTTTAGATAAAGTTTCAGTGTCACTATGACTGGAGTTTTACAGCAATCCAAGTAGCACAATCAAGTTATGTTTGCTTAAACTGGCTTTTTTTTTTCTTCTTAGTTGTTGCCAGCAGCTAATCCCAGTTAAAGGTCTCAATCACTCGTTTTTGTTAATAAAGTTGCTGTGGTCTCTAGGATGAGTGAACTTTTGGGGACAAAAGCTCTGGTGCCCCTGTTTCAGGGGGTAGAAGTTTTATGGTTGAGTAGGGGGGCACAGCATGTCAGGACTTGTTGTCCACCTCAATAATATTCATGAGACACAAACATCTCACTTCTGATTGGCCAACAACAACATGACTCTTCTGCTGCCTTTGTTTACTTTTTTTCTTGCAACGTTGCTGTTTTACCTCCACAAACAACACAAACCTGAATGTGTGCCACCATGTTGTGGAGTTGCTAATGCTAACGTTAGCTTCTACTAGACGAGACGTGCTCTGCTCTCTCCTGGCTGCTAAACCAACCAAATCTTCCGTGGTCACAAGCCAAGGTGGGTGGGGCCATGAACTCTAATTTTCCCTGTGTAACTCATAAAGAATATAAGAAAGTTTTACAGTTTCTCGGTGAAGGAGACCTACAGATAATCAGATCCAGTGTTAAAATCTCAGTCCCAACTATCAGAGATAACGCTTCTTATAAAGAAAATTTTGGATTTTACAATAATGCCGTCAGTAACTTTCCTTCTACACAGCCCAACATGCTAACTTAGCAGCTAAGCCTTTTGCATGAGCTCTGTTTACAATGAAATGTAACGTAGACGTGTTCAAATCCACCCTACCAGGAGACTGTTTGTCTGGTAAACAAAACTAATTCAATTCAATTCAAAAATACTTTATTAATCCCAGAGGGAAATTGATTGCTGCAGTAGCTCAGAATAATAATAATAATCAAGTTGTCAAAGAGTTATTGTAATGTGGATGTAATGATGAAATAGGTCCCTTTACTAGGAGAATGTTATAAGCATTAATACACATGAGCATTGTTAATTACAGGAAACACAATAAACACTCTTCACATGTGATGTTAACTGACAACCGGATCTGTGGGTACGTGTTTTTTTGTTAAAAAGCAAGTCACCCCCAAATCACCTTTTTTCCGATAAACTATATAAATGTGTATCTAATCGTGCTGCAGACATGTGTAGTCAATAGTTTAGCACTTTAGTGCAATTTAGTTAAAATTTAAATTTTCTGCCTAAAACTGTCAGTGTTGTGCCGTTGTCAGGTAAAAAAAAAACTGCACTGCATTTGAATTTAAATCTGCCATCGCTATTGGCTAAGAGGTACCCTAGAACGTTAGCTAGTACCATACGTCACAATGTCGTTGTGAGCCTGTGTGTGTGTGTGAGTGTGTGTGTGTGTGTGTGTGTGCGTGTGTGTTTGCAGCTCCGCCCACTCGGTCTGCTAGGCAACAGCATTTGTTGCATTTTTCAAACAGGAAGTGGGAGTGGTAGGGGGCGACTTGCTCTTTAAATGTATACACCAACAGTCACATTTTTAGAACTCATTAACAAAACAATTCTGAGTGCCTAAATCCTTTATCTAGTAACTTGTAATTAGCCAAATATGAAGCACTTTGGCTTCATTAACTAGTATAGCAAAGTTTTATTTTATGAGGAAGTGATGCGTTATGATTAATAACAACAACCTGGCTGAACTCACTGTTTAATTTTTAATACTTTATTCGCAAAAAATAAATAACATCTTTTAAGCTACAAGAGCAGTCACAAAGGTATTCTGAGCTCTTTGTTTACTTGGAGAAGTTTCACACAATCTAACTCGACATGACTCAAATAAAGCCTGGTTCATGCTTCTCCGTCAGCTCCGCAAGGGACAGACACGATCGGATTGACGGAAGCATTTTGCTCTCATACTTCTCCGTCTCCTGAAGTGTTGCAAAGCAATTCCCCGGCAGGACAACAGAGGGCGTAGCGCTGTTCTGTGGTATCCTGTCATGTATCGGTCCAAGATAGTGTGTTTACATTATGTTTTTTTTGTATATAAGAGACTTTTTAACAGACACATTTGTCTCTCATTCTCCTCCACCTCTCCATGTGCTCCCCACCTCTAAACCCACATTTCCTGTCATTTCCGTCCACAAATAAAACGTTTGCTGCGCATCTTTTCACTCCTCCAGTCACGGGGGAATTACACGTTCATGTGTTTAGAGTTTTTTCGCGAGGTATTCTTCAAGCTTCTCCATGTCTACCGCTAGTTATCCTCGGCTCTCTTTATGTTTTTGAGGGCGCAATGGCGGTGCTGTAAACAACAGCGGCGTCCTGACCAATCACAAGCTTGCGTAATCCGTCTCGTTCGACGGAGGTTTAAAAAAGTGAGCTTGACTCCGTACATACAGTGGGGCAAAAAAGTATTTAGTCAGCCACCGATTGTGCAAGCTCTCCCACTTAAAATGATGACAGAGGTCAGTAATTTTCATCATAGGTACACTTCAACTGAGAGAGACAGAATGTGAAAAAAAATCCATGAATTCACATGGCAGGATTTTTAAAGAATTTTTTTGTAAATCAGGGTGGAAAATAAGTATTTGGTCAATAACAAAAATTCAACTCAATACTTTGTAACATAACCTTTGTTGGCAATAACAGAGATCAAACGATTACTATTGGTCTTTACCAGGTTTGCACACACAGTAGCTGGTATTTTGGCCCATTCCTCCATGCAGATCTTCTCGAGAGCAGTGATGTTTTGGGGCTGTCGCCGAGCAACACGGACTTTCAACTCCCTCCACAGATTTTCTATGGGGTTGAGGTCTGGAGACTGGCTAGGCCACTCCAGGACTTTCAAATGCTTCTTACGGAGCCACTCCTTTGTTGCCCGGGCGGTGTGTTTGGGATCATTGTCGTGTTGGAAGACCCAGCACGTTTCATCTTCAAAGCTCTCACTGATGGAAGGAGGTTTTGGCTCAGAATCTCACGATACATGGCCCCATTCATTTTGTCCTTAACACGGATCAGTCGTCCTGTCCCCTTAGCAGAAAAACAGCCCCAAAGCATGATGTTCCCACCCCCATGCTTCACAGTAGGTATGGTGTTCTTGGGATGCAACTCAGTATTCTTCTTCTTCCAAACAAGATGAGTTGAGTTGATACCAAAAAGTTCTACTTTGGTTTCATCTGACCACATGACATTCTCCCAATCATCTGCTGTATCATCCATGTGCTCTCTGGCAAACTTTAGACGGGCCATGACATGCACTGGCTTCAGCAGCGGAACACGTCTGGCACTGCAAGGTTTGATTCCCTGCCGTTGTAGTGTGTTACTGATGGTGACCTTTGTTACTGTGGTCCCAGCTCTCTGCAGGTCATTCACCAGGTCCCCCCGTGTGGTTCTGGGATTCTTGCTCACCGTTCTCATGATCATTTTGACCCCACGGGATGAGATCTTGCGTGGAGCCCCAGATCGAGGGAGATTATCAGTGGTCTTGTATGTCTTCCATTTTTTGATAATTGCTCCCACAGTTGATTTTTTCACACCAGCTGCTTGCCTATTGTAGATTCTCTCTTCCCAGTCTGGTGCAGGTCTACAATTCTTTTCCTGGTGTCCTTCGAAAGCTCTTTGGTCTTGGCCATAGTGGAGTTTGGAGTCTGACTGTTTGAGGCTGTGGACAGGTGTCTTTTATACAGATAATGAGTTCAAACAGGTGCCATTAATACAGGTAACGAGTGGAGGACAGAAAAGCTTCTTAAAGAAGACATTACAGGTCTGTGAGAGCCAGAGATTTTCCTTGTTTGAAGTGACCAAATACTTATTTTCCACCCTGATTTACAAATAAATTCTTTAAAAATCCTGCCATGTGAATTCATGGATTTTTTTTCACATTCTATCTCTCGCAGTTGAAGTGTACCTATGATGTAAATTACTGACCTCTGTCATCACTTTAAGTGGGAAAACTTGCACGATCGGTGGCTGACTAAATACTTTTTTGCCCCGCTGTACTTGCATGCCTGCCGGAGCCCTACACAAGGACGGATAATGGTGTTGCGTGTCTCCGCACTGACGCAGACGGAGAAGCATAAATCAGCCTTAACTTCTGTCCTAATTAACCTTTGAATAAAACATTAACTCTCCAAATAAACAGACTTGTTGGGAGAAAGGACAAAAAAGCAGGGTCTGGGGTCTACAAGGCAAGCAACTACGGCTACCTAAAACAAAATGTATTGAAGTCTTAGACGGGCGTTCATAACTGAGAGGTGGGGTAATAAACCAACACAAGGCAGGAAGCACAGAGGACTATCCCACAATAAACCACATCTTCCATTAGATGCAGGGCTGACCTACATACAAGATGCCTTCTTGTTGCTAAATCTAATGCAAACAGGAGACAGAGAAGAGGGAACAAGCTGTCCCTACTTGGGGCCACAGTCCTCTAATTCCTCAAATGCGCAGAAGACGGGAGGAAGGAATGGGACGGGAGGAGGAGAAGGAGAAGAAAGAAGCGGCAGGAAGTGAGGGCAAACTCACCACACTGGCTACCTGGGCCGTTTTGGGTCGTTTTGAATGGTCCAGAGCAAAGATAGTATACTCAGAGAGAAAAGCAGGCTCTGCTATCATCCCGGCCAGCATCTGACGCCGTCAGTGCAGTAACGGGACGAAAGGTGGGGAAAGGAGAGGGGACACAGAGAGCAATGAGAAAAACAACACCATGAGAGTGGAACAGCGCTGAGGGGAGTGTGTGTCCAGCCCGTCTGGAGGAGGCAGGTCGACAGAGATGAATGGAGAAGAGAAAGCATAAAGTGAGAAAGAGGGAAATACACTACATAAACTGGAAGAAAAAAAATGTGAAAAGCTGAAAAGTGAATCACCGAAATAACATCAATGGTATAAATACAGTTTGGCATCGCTCTTTGTGTTTGATCATGAAAAAATGGGCCAAATCTGCTCAGAATAGTTAAATAAGCATCTGTTAAAAAGCGTCAAAATGTTCGAGCTGTGAGATGAAGAAAAGATGCTGCAATGGCACCAGAAACGCCTACGATTACAGTATTCGAGCCTGTAGTTTAACAACATATTTGTAGTTTAAAAGGATGATGATAAACTAAAGAGTCCTGACCTGAAAGGACGTCGTTACTGATCCAGTTAGCTGTGCATTATGAGTCAACAACAAATGCAATAACCATCCCCCACTTCTAATTCTGATTTATCAAAAAAATTAAATAAACTTTCACTGATTTGTCCGTCATTACTGAAGTAAAACAAGCAGTCACTGGAGAGAGAAAGACACTGAGAGGATGGATGCATTATTATTCATAAACCTGTTGAAATCAATCTTCTCCCGACAGTAGCCGTTTCTAAAAACTGTTTAAAATTATTCTGGTTCACTGTCTAAAAACAAAAGTAATCCTGTATTCTTATGCTTTCAAAGACTGTTTTATAAGTTGTAACGTTTCCTAACAAAAAGCTTACCATAAAGATCAACATTATTCTGAACTTAAGACATAAAACAGGAAATGTGGAAAAAGAAAACAATGCAATAACTATGTTCCAATTGCTCTTCTATGTACATTTTCACCATAACATGATTCATCTGTGAAATAAAAAATTCTTCCTCAGAAAGAAGGAAATAAACTGTCTGTGCTCCAGAGTTATAACGCCTCATAATTTATTATAAAACCATACGTCATAATAGGTGAACTTCCAGATTGGGTCAGATGTGTTATTGGTTCATCTTTTTACAAAATCAAATCAATTCTAGATGAAAAATCTGAATTTAAGCTGGGAGATGCAGGCTGCAGCTTAAACACAAGCACACATACAATAACCCAACTGTACACAACATTAATCTCACCTCTCTGTCAGTGGGAGAGGGCGAGCCATCGTGGTGGTGAGAGGGGGTCTGGTTGCTGCGCTGGCCTCCACTGCCCATCTAATAACACAAATATAATTTAATATATAAATATTAATAATAATTAGTGATGCACCGATATCAATATCAGGCCAATACAATACCAGTATCGGTAAAAGTTAACAGATACCAATGCAGTTGTCTGAAAGTGGCTTCACTACAACTTGTCACTTTACCTAATATTTTCTTTTTGTGATAATTTCCATTAATAAATTTTATTTATCTACCTCACAGTATTTTCCTGTTGACCGCAGAGAAGAAAATAAAACCTGTATTCCAATTCATTGCATTTTTTTGTGTGGTAGAAGTATCGGTAATCGGTATCAGCGTGTACTCAGATCCAAGTATCGGTATCTTATCAGTTTGGAAAAAAATGGTATCAGTGCATCCCTAATAATAATTAAAAAAAAACAGCAAGTGTTCCCTGTTTCAGTAATTATGTAAGATTTTTAGAAATCCTTAAAAGTCACTGTGATATAATGTAGGCAATACGTAATGTTTTTGCTAAGCCAACCCTCCGTTCTGTAGAGCCCAGGCCCCCACAATGCGGGTGATAAATTGAAGCAAACGCGGAAATGAAATAAATTGCAGTTCCACCCTCATCCACTGGGGACTGGTGTCAGAAGCGAGCAAATCCTCATTGACTCCCATGTTAAAAAAAACAATTTCACAGCAGAAATAAACATGTTTACAGCCTGGTACCAACACATGTTTTTTGTTTAAATTATCTAGTTTACACTCATGACAACTCTGAGGGGGGTGAATTTTTTTCTCACTCTTCTGTTTAAGTGTATTAAAAGCCAAAAATTCTGAATAATTAATGAGCATCCGACCCACGTGACCGCAGAGCTAGCTCCGGGGAAAGGCCTCAGCCTGAGCCTCGGCCTCGCCTGAAAACAGTTCGGTCATTTTCAGTCTCTCAACTTAGACCATTAGTTGTAGCATTTGTGTATTCTTTTTTGGATATTATTTGTGCAATTGTTGGACAAAATGACTTGCTGTGGCATTAATTGCACTAATAGAGCGTCCAAGGAGTCTCCACTTCATTTTTTTCGGTAAGTAAAATTTATGTGTTTTAGGTCACTGCCGCTCTTGCACTAGCTGAGCTTAGATTTTGACATGTACCGTTAAACCATGAAATTTAAATGTAACAGGGTAAAACCCAGTGCATTTAACATAATGCTGCACTTTAGAAAATGGGTTGAAATATAACATGTTGGTGGAGCTGGGTTCCGACTATCGGCTTGTGGAGCTCTCGGGAGACCTCGGTTTTCCACCCGGTTCTTCCCTCCCCGCAGGTCGGCGCATCTCTGTCTGATCGCGGCTTCTGTCTGCTGCGCGGGCTGCCGGCTTGTGGAGGTCTCGGGAGACCTCTGTGTTCCACCCGGTTTTACCCAGCGGTCAGCCCGGCGTATGTCTGACTCAGAGGCTCTGATGTTGTGCACAGTTAACTGCGGTTATAGCTAGGATGCTACCTCCGTTAGCTTAGCTCCCACCTCCGCGTTAGCTTTGGGTTAGCTTCAGGTTAGCTTGTAGCTAGTTCGACCGGGTGTCGTCAGTTGATCCCAGCCTTACAGCCCCACCCTCAGCTCCACCTCTCTTCCCTTTTGTGGAAGACGGAACCTGTGACACGGTCAAAATGGCGGTGGTGGCCACCTCCCATTTTTCTTCAAAAACGTGTTACTGGAGCCTATGAAAACCCATTGTCCAATATTTATATGTTGATGGTAGAGCCCCATGCAATTTATATTGGCTGTTGCTTAGCATTAGCCAGTGGCTTTAGGAATCTGATTATGAACAGATGTCAACTGAGCATACGTATGCATTTCCAAAAGTACCTAAACTGTTGGAGAGTTGGCAACATTTCTTATGAGCAGTTAAGTGTTTTATATAAACAGCATAGCACAAAAATAATAACTGTAATGCAATGTGTTTGAGCCCAGCTAAAGGTGCGCATTCACAAATGAGAAGCAACCATAATCACAGAAGCAGGCCGAGCAGCTTGAAGGTGCAACACATTTTTCCACTTCTAGATGGTGACCTCTGACCACAAAAACACTTCAGATTGCTGCTTTACTACAGAACAATAATACTGTGGTTTGTTCCAAATTTGGAAAGACTAGAAATTTATCAAGTTAAAAATAAATAAATAAAAACTATTGGTTGATTACTGGAATTGAGTAATATTTAATATGATCAGGTTTTTGCCCTATCTGAAATTCAGAAATCAAAGGGCAAGAGAAAATATCTCATGTTTCCCCTGCCCACAATCTTATCATTGCTAAATGCAAGTCTTCCATTAGAAAAATGTTACTAACATCATCTTAGTTTAAATTTTTTTTAAAACTAGGTGGAAAAAAATCCGGATCAGACAAAATCAGAGTTGTAAAAAAATTAAAAAATAATCCGTATCAGTCCGCAAAACCTAAATCGGTGCATCGCCATAGTGGTAGAGGCAGGCTGAACTTTCACATAAACTCTAACCCTAAACCTTTCACTTAGCACAACAGGACGTGCGAGAGTCCAAAAGCTGCCAGCTGACTTGCAATTGGAATAAAATAAACGAAGACCGGTATTCTGACTTGGACAAACTTTAAAGGTCACTCCCTGCTACGTGTTCTTCCACCAGGTACAACAAGAATTACCAGTTCCAACTTTTTTTCTCTTTGAACTCAAATAATTTACATCTACCCAGCTAACTGAACGGAAACAAGTACTTCAGGTTGTCAAACTGACAAGAAATAAGCGTTTAGACGATAAAACATTACCGGACATTCGTTTCAAACTCTAAGCAGCTAGCTTTAAGCTGCAAGGTAAACAGATGTTAGCTTAGTTTAGCTAGCTCTGAGCTCCATAGAAACAAACCTGGGCCTGCTGAGCTGACTGCGCATTCCTCTGTGGCGACTGCTCCTCGTTTATCTTCTGCTTTAGCTTTTTAAACATTTTATCACACCGACGTCGCTACCAGCAGGACAGAAGAGGCTTACTATCCGTCAGGACAGTATCTGGTTTTATATTTCGCCAAACATTCAGAGCCAGACTTCCTTTCTCGCTTGTGTTTTCCAGCAGGTGACAAATCTCTCTGCGCATGTGCGGCCAACGTGGAGGAAAACGCAGACGTCAGAGTAAGGCCAGGTTAGAATGAAAGTGCCACAGCGCCCTCCGTGGATGATATGAAGCACTGCAGCCATTCAGTTTTTTCTAAGAAAAACGAAGCAGCTTTTAACCTTTAACATTGTTTCAAAATCATTAAAAGCTACGTTTCTAGTACAGTTTCGAAAGTTTATTAGGTGTTATGTATTTTATTACAACTAAATTAATATGTAATGTATAAACATAATTATCTTTATATAAAATGTTGTTTTGCAATAAAACTGACATTTCTGTGATGGTAATTTAATAATTGCAAATTCAATATTTTACTCTGGGTTAAAAATGTTGAAAACTGTCCATAAAATGTATTTCACAAAAATGTCTTCTACAGAGCTAATATAGTGGTTTGTTTGTTTTGGCTTTATTTGAAAAGAAAAAAAGTGAGTCTTATTTATGTTTACTGTCTAAAAGGTACTGTGCAGGTGCAAGTGTTTCTTACTGTTGTTTGTTTATTATGGGCAGAAGAGGGCACTGTTTAAACATGTTCAGCACGATTACGCCACAGGCTGGTTTGTCTTGTATTTACTAATGAGTTTTAAGGCATATATATATATATATATATATATATATATATATATATATATATATATATATATATATATATATGTGTGTGTATATGTGTGTGTATATATATATATATATATATATATATATATATATATATATATATTTTTTTTTTTTTTTTTTTTTTTTTTTGTGGGGAGCAGAGCAGCAAAATGTTCCAAGGGAAATATGTGGTGACAGCATGCACAGTTTCTACCTTGGCATTACCCTGTGTAATAATTAATGTCTCTCTGCTGCAATGCCTGCTCCAGTGCCAGTCTTTCAAGTGCAGAGCCCAAAGGTTTGCACCTAGTAACCTTGATCTCTCTCTTCCCTTTTGCAGTTTTTTCTTGAAAGAGAGAGTGAGAGACCAGGAGGGAAAGAGAGAGGGAGAGAATGAGAAATAATTTCAGCTGCAGCACTGCAGTTAATTTCACAGGGGTTCATATTTTTAATGACATTAATTGTCATCATGCTGTCACACTGATTTAGATTAAGAAAAATCACATGCATAAATAGTTGGATTTGCTTTTGATAAATCACCTAAATTCTCCCAAATGATTAAGAGCAACTCTTACTTTACAAATAATAAACAAACGATCCGATTAAAGCTGCACTAAACCAGTTTTCACTGAGTGGTAATTATGTAAAAACACACTGAATTGATTTTCTGCTGCACATTTGTTTCATGAAAGTTTTTATATACTGGAATTTATCAATAAAGTGCCACACATTACACACGTGCCATGTACTTTGATGTGTCATGATACTATAGGGCCGCATAATAAAAATAGATGAGTGTACATTTGCATTATCTGAGTCATTGTGTCCTTGGGTAATACAAAAATAGCAAAAGACAGAAGTTTATCGAAAAGATCACACTGTAGACATGAGTCGTCTTTTGAATTTGCAATCAGTGAAGCCATGTGCAGATCTCCAAAGCACCCATCACTCAGAATTGTCTTGTTCTTGTAAGAAAGAACTAATTCTTGTAATCTGGAGCCGTGAAGCCATTAACACAGAAAAATGAATGTGTGTTTTGCATTTTTTTTAGCATTCTGACTTAAGTGCCTTCGCCTCAGTTGGGTGACTCAGCACCCACCCGTCAGATCAGAGTTGATCTTAGATGGGTGGCTGGCACAGTGATGCAAACCATGGGTGGTTAACAGCAAAGTGATGCAGCTGCACCACTCCCTGCAGAAGTTAATGCTTCACCCCGAGGCATTCAGCTCAGAGTATAGAAGTTACTGAAAGTCTACTAACAGGGTTTTTACCAATGTTGTGTTGTACCACACATCTTACATGGTTCACGAGTTCTTTGGAGAGCAAAAACAGTGTTGTCTTCAATTGTGTTCTCGCTACCTTTGCAAACCGCTTTAGTGCAGGATTAGCACATAGTTATTATAAATCACACTGATGAAAAAGAAAAAAGCCATGCTTGCACAATTGTTCACCAGCTAAATATATATATTTTTTTCTTTATTGGGAGTAATAAGCTGTTAGCTACCTTTTCTAATCATCCAGTGAAAATGTATAATGGGGATGCATATTTCCAGTGAAGTACTTGGCACAGAGCTGCCAAAAGTATTCACATTCTTCACCCAAGTAGCAGTATATACTACTAAGAATTCAGCAGGATGGCTGGGTGGGGAGATGTGCCCACTTGTTGGGATATGGTCTGGGGGCCCTGGTCCATGCTGTAGCATGATAGGCTGCCTGCTGCATCGGGTTCCGTCCGGGGTTGTGGGGGGCCTTCCTTTGCATGGTTCTTTTCACTCGCTCTGAGTTGGCTTGCTTCCCCTGTGCTCGGTGGCCCCTCATGGGGATGACTCGCATCGGTGGGGATGATGGTCTGCCTGGGGCTGCAGGCTTGAAGCCCCCAAGTTGGATCCCTTTGACTGGTGGCTGGTGTCCAGTCATCCTCTGGCTGGCTCCCCTTCTTTCCTGGGCTTGGGTCTGCATTTGCTGACTGGTGTCTGTCCTTTGGGGGCTGTCAGCTTCTGGGGTATGGCCCCCTGGTTCTGGTGGGACCTGGACTGTCGTGGGGGTTAATCAGTATTTACTCTAGTGAGGTAAAGAAAACCAGCATTTCTATTTAAAGAACAAGTTACCGCCTACCAGAGTCTTACTCCACCCATATTTTTAGTTAGAAAAATTTGCCACAAGGAGGCGTTGCCTGGCAGATCGAGAGGGCGGCAGTGAGTGACACAGCCTGCTTATATTAATACCAAAATAATGACTACACAGCACTAGTAGACTCTCAATTGTAGTTTGTCAGCAAGAAACAAGCTGATTTGGGGTAACTTGCTCTTTATGTAAGGTAACAAAGTAGTTTTACCCTTTTGACTTTGCATCATTTAACATCTGGTTCCAAACACTCACAAAGTGCGCAAAGACCAAATCAAAATGACGACATCTAAGCCGATGTTAAGGGAGCAAACCTTAGACGATAATTAGATTTTTGGACAGCAGGTCTGAAGGGGACAGAAGCATTCTGTATGCGTATATATATATATATATATATATATATATATATATATATATATATATATATATATATATATATATATATAAATATATATATATATATGTGTGTGTGTGTGTGTGTGTGTGTGTGTGTGTGTGTGTATATGCATGAAGATGTAACAGAATTGCTTTTCAGATTCATCGTTTCCAATGTGAGTTTCAGAGAACAGCTACAAAGCAAAATGTGATTTTTCTACCTCATCATGAGTTTTGACAGTTATTTTTGTGCTGTCGTGTCGAGGTGATTAGGCCCAAACTGCTTAATGCCCAGTCGACTAAAACCACTCCACACATAATTGTCTCTGGAGGGAACCACAGTGATTAAAAATGTATGCACATCTTCCCTGAGTTGCCTTGTCTTCTCAAAGCTTCTTCCTTCTCTCATTTTTCCAAAATAGGTAAGTAAATAAATTTGTAGCAATCAAAACATATTAATTATGACCAATAAGATGTGATGATTGCATATAAATATGAAATATCAATCTGATTGATCTTTGAATGTTTAATCAGAAGATTCAAGGCTTCTTTGCTTCTTCAGGGACCGTAAACACACTTTGTGTTAATTCAGACAGAGTCAGTATATAGTTTATAAAACAAATTTATTTCTTTTTCCTAAACTAACAATTTATACATGACAAGATATGAATACTGGGATGCGGTGTGGTGGGTGTGAGGTGTTGCGATGGAAGCTAGATGTTGTGGCAATGTTGTGTTTCTTTGTATCTGAGAGAAATTGTGAAATCTGGGTGTAAAAGAATTTGTTGTTGGTTAAAAACTAGATAATTGTTTATTTATAAACCTCATCAGACTCCAGAATGCAGGCTTACGATACCCTTGTATGAGTTGCTCCCGGCGGTCTGGAGGGGTGCTGTCAGAGTGGTGAGGTCACCGGACATCGAAACCACAATACTCAGAGATTAGTAGCTTCCTCTGAGTTCAGCTTCCCCGGCCTTGAGATGCAACCCGGGGTCTGCAGGTTAGGTGTCCAAGGTGGATGTCTGAGAGTTGAAGTAGCTCTGAATAGAGGTGTTGTGTCTGTAATCACTTGCAGCAAAAGGTTTTTGACTCACCCCGGGTTTCCACGGGAGCCGTCAGCAGCACGTTACTGCAGCAGCACGTCTAGCTGCTGCTTGGCCCTTCCCACGAGACGCGAAGCAGCAGGGGAGCAGCTGTCACCGACCGAGCACGAAGTCACACGAGTGACTTCGTCAGTAAACACAACAACAAGCAGGAGAAATTTACAATATGGTTTGTGTTTTATGTTCTGTCCGTTTTATAATCGCCAATACGGACCTGAAAAACAAAGGAGACCGCTAGCTAGGTGATAACTTCTCACGGGGCGCACAGTTAGTAACCTTTTTTAAAAGTAAAGCAACCGGAAGGCAGTACGTTCTTTATTCTGAAAATCTCGGGAGCTTCTCTCCATTTCCGCGTCCGATTTCCTGTCTTTCCTTCCCCAAAAATGTCGAACTTGACCCGTTTCAGAGGCGTCGCGCGTAGAAAATAGAACCGGCGCGTAAAGGCCGCGACATGCTGCTCCTGAGACGCGGCCGACTCGCGCTGCTGACGGCTCCGGTGGAAAAGGTTCTGTTGACCACAGCGGTTCCTATCAGCAGCTATGACGTGCTGCTGCAGTAACGTGCTGCTGACGGCTCCCGTGGAAAGCCGGGGTTAAGGTCAAAGGAGTTTGTTTCGAAAGAGATGCTTCTTTACCGATTTGTCCGAATCGGGGGTCAGCTGGAAACTGAATTAATCTGGAAGTAATTCTTGTTTTAATTAAACTACTTTGTTATGATTTCTGGCGAAGTTTGGCAAATAAGAATTTGACACGTTTCTGAGTATTTACCAACATCCCTCAGAAAGCCATGCCTTCTTGCAGATGTTTTTAACACAGTGAATAAGAATGTTCAAACTCTTATTGTGATGTGTGTAAACAATGTGTGTAAACAATGATTAACTTGTTAAATCAAACACATGGTGATTTGTGATATAAATGGAACATTGTAAGAACAATATTCATTTCAAATTCATTGATTTAAGCACAGATTATTCAAACATTTCGTTTAAGCATCTTGTTCGTTCATCACATATGATTATTTAACTTATAACTATAAAATCATGGAGTCTTCACTTATTCAGAGTGAAGAATGTTGACGTCTGGCTTTCACAGGGAGTGAAGGAGCCTTGGAAGAGAATGTTTATTTGAATGATTTGTCTTCATGGTGTAGTGGAGGCAAATTGATGATTTTATCTGTTATGACCAGGAAGATGTAATATTCTATATAAATCTAAAATATTAACCTGCAAGGTCTTTATTGTAATTATTCAGAAGATCTGGGTTCTTTGCTTTTTCAGTGATCAACCACACTTCGTGTTACTTCAAGAAAGAGTCAAGTTTATAAAAGTAAGAATTTATTTAACAAACAATTTAAAACATGACTAATGAATTAAGCATTTACTCTGAGTGAATGTAACTAAATGTGCTGTGAATGCGATGTCAGTCAGAGCTTCCTTATCAAAATAGGCTGAGTTCTGGTGAAAAGAATTTGGTTTGCTCTAAGCCAGGGGCGCGTTAGGCCCGGCTACTTGGGCTCAAGCCCCGAATGTTTTATGAAAAGCCCCGGATCTCAAACGTGGAAGTAACATGCAGTACCAAAGTCCAACAGAGAGGGAGCAGCTAGCAGTAGTTTTTATACAGCCTGCCTGAGCCTCCACCACTGAAGAAGAAGGCCTTCAGCAGCCAGCTTCTTCTACACTCTCTGCCTGAAACACCTGAGTGAAGATGGACATAAGGACGTTTTTTAGATAAAGTACCGCGACAGAACCCCAGCTTTGATGAGACTGGTGTTGACTCAGGTTTGTGAGTCTTATTTGAAAATATTTGTTGTGCTGCTGGTTTGTCTAAAGTTAGCTCATCAGGTAAAGTTGATGGAGAAAGAAAGGGAATATTTACTATCATCTCACACTAAACACTAACAGGAACAACACTCTGCCCTGAATATGCTTAATATGTAGCTTCAGATTAAAAATTATGCGGTACAAGACAAATGTATATGATGTTGACTAGTGCGTGTCAGGTGTGTGTGTGCGCGCGTGTGTGCGTGCGTGTGTGTTAAGCCCCGGATCTTCTTCAGTTCTAAATCCGCCCCTGCTCTGAGCTATAAAATGGTTATCATCAGAAGAACATTCAGACGCAATCTGTCATGTCTACTTCACCCGTTTCGTAGAGACCCTCTTAGTGGATCCGAAAGTCACAGGGGTCGGCTGACCGCTGGCACCGGAGGGCTGTAGAATACTGTGGTACCGACTCTTCAGTCCAGAGATGTCTCGGGTCACAACAGCTGGATGGAACCGTGCGTCATGTGGACTCTTAGGAGTCTAACAATATCTGCTTTGTTTCTGCAGGAACTGTTTGTTCATCAGCTTCGCAGGTGCAAAAAGGTTTTGACGGCGTGTCAAAATCTTTGATGGTTGAAGAGGTTTTGCTTCAGGTGGCCGGTCTGAGCGATTCTCTAGAACTGTCGAATCTCTCAGAATGCTCTAGTTTTAAGGTTTAGCTGTTATTATTTGGACAGCCATCAGAGGCTGACAGGTTTGAGAGATGTTACCAAGACAACTCAGAAACACGCCTTCTTGATACAGGATGTTCTGACTCGGTTAATACTATGTGTGTCAGGGTTTAACTTAACCGTACTTGTTATTGTGTGAGTGCAGGTGTTAGGATCTTGTAGTCAAAACAGGTTGAACCCATAGCAGGTTCTAGTGGACACCATAATATAACATCTCTTCAGTGTGCACAGACTAATTAAGCATTTCATTATACTATATAATGATTGTAAGTAGCAATAAACAAACATTTATTTAATGATTTATGACTGATTCTAGCTGGAGTTCTTCTTTCTTCTGGATCCAGACAGATGGGACCTTGGGGAAAGAAAGTTATTGTTTATCTTTCAGACTTGTGAATCCCAGCTGAAGTGAAGGCAGACTCATTTTAAGGGAACACATGCAATCAAGGGCGTCAGTTTGTTTTCAGAATTGCTGGGGACAATAACCATACACTTGAGTGGGGTTTAAAAATTGCCGGGGACAATATAGGCTAGCACAGGGGTCGGCGGCTCTGTAGCCGCATGCGGCTCTTCCATCCATCTGATGCGGCTCTCTGTGCTCTTAAAATAATGAATGGATATTTAAATAAAAAGCTTTATATTTTACTGCATTAATTTTACACCTGTATGCTAATTCTAAATGTAAAGATTGTCTGCGTAAACCTGAACAGGTCCAACCCGGTCTTACTGTGAGACCGGGTTGACGCGTCACGCTTGTGCGTAATCATATCGGCGCTTCCTGAGCTGGAGGATGTCAGATTCTGGGATTCTCCTCAGACAGGTTCCTGGATGCGTCGCCACATTGGAGACAGGAACAAGCACTATTCAGCCAAAGTTTCATAATCAGGGAACATTTTCTAAGTGACAAGTCTCTGAGAGACAGGGTTTGGAAAACACTCGCTTCAGTGGGAGGAACCTTCCACATGCGCTCTGGTTCTGAGAGCCTGGATTTGTATTCTGAACAGTCTAAACATGTTTTTAAAAGACACGTATGACAAAAGTGGCACCTGCTCAGTAAAACCACCAACAGGGTGAAAAATATCAAAATATTGTAGGCAGAGACGGGCTACAACTTCTGGATCATCTTTATATAAATCGTTTTGATTATCTTCTTATGAAAGATAACTTTGACGTACACGAGCGACCAGGCGCGTTGCAAGATTTTCAAAAGTGTGGGAGATGTTGTCTGTGCCTAAAATAATTTGATGTTATTCACCTTGTTAGTTTAATTTCCATAATAGCTGAGCAGGTGCGAATTTTAGACGCGTCACGCATGTCTCCGTTTTAAACATGTTTAAACTGTTCAGAATACAAATCCAGGCTCTGTCTCGTTAGATTGGTGTAACTAATGTTTGTACTGAATGAAACTTTACATTAAACCATGTTGAAAAGAAAAGGATCAGATTAAATCTTTCCCCTCATTTACAGTCACGACGTACAGCGCAGTGCGCGTGGCTCTGGGGTTAATCAAGTTTAGTTGTTTCTCTTTGCAACAATCTTCACAAGAAGGCAAAACAGTTAAATGGCAGGTTACAGATATTTCCATTTGACTGTATTTTGATGGATAAACTCAAGGATGCTGGCTGTTTTGAAAGAATTTGTCATGTTGGGTTGAAGTCTTTTGACCCACGACATGCAGAATCACACACAGGCAGAAGGTGAGTAAAATTATTTATTAAAGTTGGATGAGTGATGCAGATGTTGAATGGGATTCGGGAGGTTCTGATGAAGTTCTGCAGCAGAAAACCAGAGTGAGTAGTTGCAGGACAACGGGCATAAAGGTAATGAGATTTTGTCTTACGGTTTCCAGTTAGTTAGAGAGAGTTTTGAGAGGAGGGCACGTCAGGGCTGGCTGAGTTGGTCGGGCGAGAGGCAGAGGAAATGGCTGGGAGCTGAGCACCGGAGTCCAGGTTGTACTGATGGCAGGTGGGGGTTGGAGAGCAGGCGGTCAGGGGCGAGTGACGGGCTGGTGAGCAGGATGATCCGGTGAGTTTCTTGCTTGGTGGTGGAAGTTGGCAGATGAATGGAAGGTACCTGAGGAGGTCAAAGGTAACAGGGCAGATTAACTTGATCGAAGCGAGGTAAACAGGAAATACAAGACAGGCAAGGTTCTGGCGAGAATACTACCCAATACTGAGTAATCATCCAGCGCTGATGTGTTGTCCCAACACTCCTTAAATTCCCTGACCACTGATGAGGAGATCAACAACAGCTGCTCTCCGGACACACCCACCTGCACACAGAGAAACTCAAACAGGTGTTAGCTCAGCACAGACCATGACAGAATTACCCCGACGCACACTGATGCGCATGGATGAGCTTGGAAAAATGTTCTTTTTATGAAATTATGAAACTTTGGCTGAACAGCGCTTTTTCCCGTCTCTAATATGGAGACGCATGACGCATCCAGTCTGAGGCAGAATAGCCTCTTCAGCTCAGAAAGCACCTGTAGAGACATTTGATCACGCACAAAGTTTATGTGGAGCAGAAGCGGTCGGGCCACGGCAGGTGAAACGTTCCTAGCCTACATGAAGTGAAACTGTTTAATTGTAACATTAATATGTTACTGGACACGCTGGTCTGGTTGGTTAGACCAGTGTTTGAAGTGGAAAACACACACACACACACACACACACACACACACACACACACACACACACACACACACACACACACACACACACACACACACACACACACACACACACACACACACCAATTAAAATAATGCTGATAGCATGGACTAGAAGACAGGTGATGGTTTTATTTAAATGATGATCAGGCTGCTGTAAAATGTAATCTCCATCCACATCCAGACAGAATTATCCTCTATTCTATTTGCTCTGCTCTTCTCTGGGCTGATGTAGCTGACGGTGCATGTGGCGCGCCTAACGGCTGTGGTGCACATTTTACGCATTTGGAGAGGTGGACTGGATGCTTTGCTTTTACTGGAAGATGGTCCACTTAACGCACGGGTGTAGACTACATATTAATGACAAATGAATGAAAATTAAATTGGGAGTTTTTACTTCATATTTTAGAAATAAAAATGACAGGGTAAAACATTCATGACGTATTTTTAAACGAAATTTTCTAGCGCGACCTGCCTGCTTCACTAAGTCACTGCTTATTAAGGTCCGTCCAAAATTACCGTGGCCCACCCAAAAATGGAAACCTGGCGCCGCGCCTATTATAAACCTCTGCAAATTGTTGTTCTTCACTTTATCAAACTCAGACTTTGTACAGCTAATGTCAAGATGTAAAATTATGAATTCAGTCGAGCTCTTCCGTCCCTTCCTCTCCTGCTCTCCTGGAAACCCGACATCGGCTGTCAGAAGCGGGAGGTGAAGAAGGAGATGAGGCAAACGGAGTGAGTGCGACCTATAGAAACCAGACTGGTGTGGAGGTGAGCAAAACAGCTGGAAAAGTGTGGGTGTTGAATCCCCCACGGGTGCGATGCCCATGCGAGCGACCGGTACCTGCTGCTGTCACCTGGTTGTGAGCAGCCCTCTGCTGTCTGAGGGTAGGCCTCGCCCACAACGCCGCGGCTGCTGCGGTGTTTTCTTTACTGTGGGAAACGGGTAATAATGGCTCTTTGATGGGAACAGGTTGCCGACCCCTGGTATAAGATCTGAGCTGGTAAAACAAAAATCCTCATCAGCAGGCTTTTTTGAAAGTGGGGGGGGACACAGCTGCCAATCACAAATTTTGCCGGGGACATGTCCCCGGCGTCCCCGGTTAAAATGACGCCTATGTATGCAATGCTGTGTCTCCTTTCTGACCAGATGTTGAATAGATGCTGAAAGGTCAAACAGTGCCTAAACTGGCCATTGATGGAAGCTACAGTGGAATGTAAACAAGTGCTGAGCAGAACCTTCTGGGTTTAGAAGGCCAAATAGAAAGTTGATTTATTTCTGTAGAAGAAAGGTTATATGGTGGTCAGTATGTAGGTGAAAATAGACCCCTTTGGACATAAAATCAAATCTCTCACAATGCAGATTAGATTTTGGCCAAGTCTGTTCCTTCCATCTGAGAGGTGGTCATCTATTATTGGCAGATACCAGGTTCAGTACCTTCTTTGTTTTTTTCTTTTAATGTTCTTCAACTTTTTCCACAAAAGCGTTTAACAATAGATTAGCGGTCACCTTTTTCTCACAGGTCGATGATTTTTTTAAAGCATTTTTCGCTGGGCGCCCGTGTTTCGGTTAAAGATGAAGCTGCTTGTTTTGGGGAATATGCATGTTTTCCTATTTTGAGACGAGCTTGTGAATTCATCAGCTTGAATGTCATAAATCAGTCGTTTAATGAAATTTAAAATTCTCCTTGTGATTGCAACAGCTCTTTTAAATAATCATTGATGAATAAATGATGGTAGACTGACCAACTCTCGCTTCTTTCCCATCTCCCACGGTGTCATCATCTGGTTGTTTTGTGCTCATACATCCTGTTCTCCACGAGAGCGTGCCAGCTCTTAGAGCCTGTTTCAAAGGCATTTTCTGGGCATGTGTTTGTCACTGACATATGGATGGGGATAGCAAAGTTAAGAACATCTATTTCCATGATCATGATCATCTGACTGACCGGAGTTAAAAATGTCATGCTTATGCCAGTTATGCTAAAGAAAAGAAAGTTATTTAAAACAGTCAATCATTTTCTTTGCATTAGCAGTTTTATTATCATAAAAATTAGATTTCACATTATTACATTATTTCATATGCTAATTCACATGTACAGTATTATTAAAATGTAGTTCAATTCAAATTCTAATTCAAAGATAATTTATTAATCCCAGAGGGAAATTAGAGCCCTGAAGATTTAAATGAGTTATATTATGACTTTTTTATAGTTATAATAGTTTTATTGTGATACAAAACATGTTTGTGTGAAGTTTTTTGGACAAAATCTGTCTCACATAGAGCGATTTCAGCAGTTTAATTCTTGACAGTTTCCAGTGTTGGGCAAGTTACTTCAAAAGTGTAATGCATTATTTATTACTTGTTACCCTCATTTTAAAGTAATTCATTACATTATAATATTACTGATTTTAAATTGTAAGGCATTACACTACTTTTGCATTACTCTAAGTTACTTTCACCAAAACAACTTCAATATGAATCTGGTAATCTGACCCTCAGTGAGCTCATGACATATATGTGGAAAGTGATGTGGTATCTGAGCTAGGGTTGCTGTTAAAAACAGTCAGATATAATAACAGTGCTTTAAAATGACTGTTTATTAAATAAAAGCAACAACAATCTGTACTCTCAGCACGCTGCCATCTTATATTAACTGAGCAGGGAGTGAGGTGGTGGGAGCTCCAAGTCCATATTTGCCTTGGTCCCCAAATGCCTTGATACGGCCCTGGATGTGGGACTGACTTTTTTCACAGAAGCGTCCCAAAATGATCTCCTAATTCATGGATGTTCTGCCTCCTGATCACATGACGTGCGATCTACTTGGATGAAGATGAGCTTTACAGACGTATTGTTTATTCGCCCGGTACGGGGGCTCGTGACAACGCACGCCCATTGATGACTTTATGGCAGCGAGTGGTTGAATTTAAAATGAAGACTTTTGTCATCAACTGCAGTAAATGAGTTAACATCTGGTGTAAAACTAAGACCAGCAGTCAAACATGGCAGTGGGAGTGTGATAGCCTGAGGGTGATTTGCAACTTCAGGAGTTGGACCACTTGCTCTAATTGATGGAACCATAAATTCTACTTTCTTGCAGAATTTCCTAGAGAATTCCAACCATTGACCTTAAAGGGGCATTATGGAAGTTTGACAGCCAAAACATGTATAGAAATAATAAATTTCTTCTTCATACATTCTCCTGCAATGCCCTGGTCCTGTAGAATGAGCCCTGGCATTTTTACTGTGATTGCCTGTTTTTCTGTAAAATCACAGAAAAAGAGAGCTGCTCGGGTCGAGCAGGCTGCTTCATGCGCGTTCACGCTCAGGCATATAGCCCGTATCTATCCGTAGCTTTAGCAGCAGAGAGAGAGGCAGTTCCACTTTGTCGCTGTTCCTAACTTCTAGTAACAAAGCTAGCTACATTTCTGAGGACTCTTAGCTACTTTCTGTATAACTTTCTTCGAGATATTTCCTGCAAATTAGCAACAAAATAGCCATTTTTGCTCCAAACCGTTCTTTGAACGTTGTTTCAGCTATTAGCAAGGCTATAAATGTTATGGATGCAAAAGACATCAATTGCACTTTAGCTCACTTATTTAGACATCTGACTCTCATGCAGGAGACCCGGGGTTCGATTCTGGATGTGAACATAGTTTATTTAGAGTTTCTTTTTTACATTAATGGTATATTTTTTTACAGTAAGATGCCCACATTTTTATTTGAGACTCGCTGAACGGCATTTCATTCACAGATAAAAAAAGACGTGGGTTCAACTGTCATTTTGGAACAATTTTTCAAGAGCATGCAGGAGGACTGACCCGTCTTAAACATTTGTCAGCTGTGCTGAAGAGAAAGGTACAGAACCACATTATTTAATTAATTAGCTGCGTGTTCTCCTGTCCTCTGTCCTCCGGGCCACACACACACACACGGGACTGTCTCAGCTGTTATTTTCATTAAGGAGTGTGCACATACAGCATGCGCGCCTCGTGCACGAGCCTACTATTGAAGCTGCCATTACGCTTTTGACCTGAGGGGGCAATCGCGAGCATAAAAAATTCTAAACTCCGTAAAGTCCCTTTAAAGGCATACTATGCAACTTAAAAAAATTCTTGAGCCAGTATGTGTTAAAATACCCTTTTACAGGTTAATGAACTGTCACCCAGACCCAACTGCTCTCTGTGGCAGAATACCACACTTGCAACTTCAGAGTTTCCGGTCCGGTGCCTGTTGGACCCAGTAAAGTGTAGCTGACTTTCCTGGCACTGGAGTCTGCTTCCAGCACATTTCCAGCATGTTTTAGATAAGGAACACAGCGGATTTGATGATTTAGTGATAAATCGCTCCTGTAAAAACTAATGAAGACTGAGAAGATAGTTTAGCAGTTGTTAAATAGACAAAGTGAGAAGATAAGTTTCTCATTTGGTTGCAACAACGGACACTAGGGGGTGCTAAAAGCAAGCCAAAACTGCCTATCCTTTCAAACAGGTGACTCATACATGATAACCCTTCTATGTGGTTGAATTGAAACAATCCTGCAAAAAAGAAGAAAAAAGTATCATTTCTATAGCGCCTCTCAAGATAAAATCACGAGGCACTTTACAAAAACAAAAAAAGTAAAAATATAAAAAATAATTAAAAAAATGATTAAAAATATATTTTAAATGAGCAAAAAAATTGACAATTGTGATTAAAAATGTAAAGAAAGAGAGAGAGAGAGAATAGGAAAGAGGTGTCACGGTGAGAGCAGGAGTTTAGGACCCAAGATGCAGAATCCCCAGAACGACTCAAGGCAGGAGAGGTTTAAGAGAATACTTCCTTTATTTTATTTTAAAGGCAGATGCGCCAAACCCGACTTAATATCAAACGAATGAACGAATGAACAAACACACAAACACAAACAAAAACAAAAAAACAAAAAAAAAAACATACTAAAACAAACAAAAACAAACTAGCAAAAACAAACAGACAAAAATAACAAACAAAAACAAACAACAAAACAAAACAAACAGACAAAAACCAAATAAAAACCAAACAAAAACAAACAAACAAAACAAAAACAATCCGTGTATCATTCGTTCTTTCTATTTTCGATTGAAAACAAACAATCGAAAAAGGAAAAATGGATTTGTTTTTTTGTTTTTTGTTTTACAAACGGATTTAAAAAAAGAAAAAAAGTCGTGTTTTTCGTATTTTCTATTCTAGTCTCTGATCAAATATGAGATATGGAAAAATGGCCGCTGGACCGAATTTGATTTTAATATTTCGTTAATAAACGGGTTACGTGACCCGGAAGTTTTTTTTCTTGCTAGTGTTCGAAACGTTAACGTTAGCTTCAGTCCTCGTCAGATTCACCGACCAGCAAACCAACCAACATGGACAGTTATGTGTTGTTCAAAGGAACAAAACGGCTGACTCTAAAGGAAGAAGACATGACGACCGAAAAGATTAGCAGAATCTTCCAGGTAGCCTTTTATTCTAAAACGCGTTTTACTGACGTTGCTGTGCAGAGAACATTTTAAAATACTTTTTACTTATTTCAAAGGTTCATTGCACCAGTCTGTATATTACTGATGACAGCAGTGTAGCCATTTTTCCTGGTAATGACGGACGCTTCAGTACATTGGACCTCTTAGTGAGAGGGCATTACGAAGTTCATGGAGAAGGCATGGAGGAGTCATCAAGCGTGCCTGCATCCTACAACCCCACTTGCTTCTCCTTCCACCGACCACAGAGTACTGCTGGAGCTTCCACGTCGTCTGCAAGACCATCTCCTAGAGTGACTGTTGCAAAAACGTTCCAAAGGTAACCAGATTTATGAAACTGAACACACTGGATTAAGGGCATTAGGATGTGTGCATTTTTGGATTGCTGAACTACATTAGTATATTTTTTACAAATGTGACTGCTGCATGTGACACTGAAAACTAATTTGTAGAATGTTTTGTAAATGTAGTTACAGAGGTGTAAGCATTCAAACCCACTGCCGTGTATTATTACTACTTAAGTCTCTCTCACACACACACACACACACACACACACACACACACACACACACACACACACACACACACACACACACACACACACACACACACACACACACACACACACACACACACACACACAAAATATGTTCTCCACATCACTCCCTCTCTGCCACCACCTCCTGCCCTGAGGAGATCAGGGCGTGGATGAATCAAAATTTTCTGCAGCTGAATGGCTCTAAAACAGAAGCCATTCAAATCGGAACACCCCACCAACTCTGCTCTTCTCCTGTTACATCTGTTTCATTCATTGGCAATACTATTCCCCTCTCTCCCTCTGTTACTAACCTTGGGGTCAAGTTTGACCCAGAACTCTCTTTTGACAACCATGTCACCTCAATTTGCAAAACCTAATTTTTCCATCACCGTAACATTTCCAAACTGCATTGCTCTCTTTCCCTTTCAGCCGCAGAGATGATTGTCCACGCCTTTGTCTCCTCCAGGGTGAACTATTGTAACACACTTCTGTTGGGAATACCTGGCAGGAGCCTCCAAAAGCTCCAGTTTGTCCAGAATAGTGCTGCCAGGGTCCTAATGGGGGTGCAGAAACATGAGCATATTACCCCCATCCTCCACTGGCCCCCTGTACACCTTCGTATAGAATACAAGATCCTCCTGCACACCCACCACTGTCTGCACAGTGCGGCCCCCATATATCTCACTCATCTTCTTTCCCCACACACAGCTACCCGGACCAGAGCAGGCCAACGGCACCTCTCGGTTGCGCCCAGGACACGGCTTAAGACCATGAGCGACAGAACTTTTACAGCATCTGCTCCGTGTCTGTGGAACACTCTTCCTGAACACCTCAGAGCCCCCCTGACCGTCGATGTTTTTAAAAGGGAACTGACAACCTTCCTTTTTAGAAAAGCGTATTTTTAAGTGTCTGTGAACTTTTTTTGTTGTTGTTGTTTTAATTAGTTTTTATCTGTTACTTGTTTGATCTTTGTAGCACTGTGAGATTTGATGTCCAATGTATAGTGCGTTATAAATAAAAATTATTATTATTAATATTAATATTTTTATTATTCTGTCTCTATTTCAGGATTATATGAGTAATAAAATTATTGTCATTATCAGGACTATCTTCATCGCTGAACTTGTTGATGGCAGATTGGAAACAAGCAAGACCCTGACGGTGCGTTTCTCTGAGTTTGAAGCTTCTGTAGTGGGCATCACCAGAAAAGTCAACGAGGCCCTTGAACAAGAGGAGTTAATTATCCTTACTGATGGTCAGGGAAACAAAATCTTGGAAACGGAAGGAACCAGAGGTAAATGAACATTTTAAACCTCCTAGTAAAAAAAACCCCACTAATTTCTGTGAAGAAAAAATTTAATGTGTTGTGAACTGAATCGACCATTTTACTTACAGGATCAGCATTTTGGAAGCAAAATGCAAGGAAAGTCTTGGCTGTGAGAGAGGAAGACTTCTTGCAGTTACAAGGAAGTAAAAAGAGGAAGCTGAGGTATTTACACAGGAATTTCATTTGGTGTGAATTTAGACTGCACATTTTGTAAGTAAGTTTCTTCTTTGTGAAAATGGTTTTGCCAAAATAGTTCATCTCTGGAAGTTCATGCACAAGTTTGGATTACTGTGGTTCATTTGGTGGGGCGACAGTGGCACAGGAGTTAATAGCTCGCCCCGTTATCGGAAGGTTGCAGGTTCTAGCCCCGCTCAGTCTGTCGCTGTTGTCATGTCCTAGGGCAAAACACTGAACCCTGCTGGTGGTGGTCTTATGGACTGGTGGCGCCAGTGCTCAGCAGCCTTGCCTCTGTAGTGCGCCCAAGGGCAGCTGTAGCTACATCGTAGCTCATCCCCACCAGCGTGTGAATGTTTGTGTGAATGGGTGGATGATTGTGTTGTAAAGCGCCTTGGCGGGTTCCAGGACTCTTAGAAGGCGCTATATCAAATTAGCTAGTTAGGTTGACAGATCAATGGTATTTACAACAGCCAGACTTTTAAACTCTGAATTTAAAATATTGGCTGCATCATAACAATATGACTAACACAGTTATTCTACTTTTAAACCACCAAATAGTTCCTGAGTGCAGCTGCAGCTCACCACTCCCCACGGGGATGGGTCAAATGCAGAAATTTCATTTCAGTGTTGGACTGTAACTTTACAAGTATGTTATTGAGAACAAGTAGGTTATAATGTATGTTTATCTTGCTTTTCAGCCGGCGAGATGATAATGGCCTTGATGCTGTGTACGATCAAATTGAGGAGGTCATTTTGGCAGCACAGGGGCTTCGAGAAGTGTCGACTACTATCCGGGAACTGATGGAGCTGGCTAATTCCAACCGCAGCACAGCAGTGTCCCTGAGAGCAGCCGATACAGCAGCTGTTAAAGATGCCTTTGCCTGTGTTGTCTGCAAAGGTAATTAACAAAAAAAAAAAAAAAGGATTTTGTCTTTTGTTTGCAGATTTCAGGGTTACTTCCATACTATCTGCTGCTTATTGAGCACTTAGAGCACAGTGTCCTGCCATTAAAAAACGAATTGTATTTATTGTGTTTTACAACTGTTCTAACCAAATTTGCAGGCCCTGTGGTTGAGCCCATTGTTGCAACATGCTGCCAAAGCCTTATTGGCTGCCTGACCTGCGCTGAAGAGTGGAAGAAAAATTCTGCGTTTTGCCCAAAATGTCGAGCAGATGAGTTTGGCATCAACACAGTAAGAGTCACTGGACTCTCTGATGCCCTGGCTGCATTGGGAAATGCACTCTGGCAGTAATATTGAGCTTAAAGCATTATTTTAAGCAATTCTTTGTTCCCTGTTTCACTGAATGTTGTTCATTAATACATGGAAAGCACTTTTAACTTGAACTATGAACGATTTGCTTGGTGACTTTGTTTTTACCTCATTTTTTCCAAGCTAAATGACCTCGTTTGCACTATCTTACATAATGATTGTATTGAAAGTTCTCATATATTTTTATAATTGCAATTGTCTGGGAATTGTTTCTACAATAAAGACTTGTTTACCTGTTTGGTATGTTCCAAATTAATCATCAAGCACATGACATTTCTGTTCTAAGGCTCATGCTCAAATAAGAATTAGACCAAAATAGTATGTGTGGTAAAGAGGTAAAGGGGGGGTGGGGGGTGGGGGGGTTACCTTAGTGATGCCAGACAGTTAACATTAATGTTTATTAGCTCATTTCAAATAACTTAAAGCTTTGGAAGAAATGTAAAACTGTTCCATACATCCTGATTTTTCAGTTGTAAAAATTTATTTTTGAAAAAATGGTCAATTAATTGAGTTACTGGACGACACCAGAAGTTGCAAGAAAGCAGTGCTAATACATTTTCTCAGACATATCTTTCAGTCACATTCATTAAGGAGATCAATGCATCCTGGAAAGGAGTATGGTCACCATTAACCACGTGATTAAAAAGAAGAGACATGTCAGGGTAGTCAATTGCAAAGTCCTGCTCTGCATGGATTCTGTCCTCTTCAGATGAAAACGGGTCTGTTCCAAAAGTAGACACCCAAGTAAGTGAGGATCCCAAGTCCTGCTCATACATGTTTGCAACAACAGATGCACATGGCAGCAGCTCCTCAGAGACTTCAGTAAGACAGCGGTCTTCTGACAGTTCATTGGGTATCCCATGGCCTAAAAAACAGATTCAAGCAAATTTAGGTTGGATGTACCTGGAATGAAAAAGATCAATATACCTCTAATGTTGCACAGTAAATTTGCTTTGCTGTTGTAACAAAATGTCCCCACAAAGGGACAGTGTGGAAAGTTTATATTCTATTGTATCTTAAAGAGTTGTAAATACAAAGTTAAAGATACCTGGGATCCTGTGTGCATTCCATGACTGAACAACTCCGTTAAGTCCTATTTGGCTTACTTGACATGTCAAATTTGATATGCAGAATCTAGTCAGGTTGTCCTCCAGGCTCACAGCTTCCTGGTCCAGCAGGTGAACCAAAGCCTGTTTCAGGGGGTAGTTAACACGATTGTTCACCTCTGGCCACAACCTTTCCACTCGAAGGTTCTGTTGATTACAAATTCAAATCAAGTATTCAAAAAAACTGCAATTTTAACAAGAGAAAATGTAACTGTTATTCTTTTTTTCAGAATCATAATTATTTGTCATGCAAATTTACAAGCTCAACTCCACTTTTACACACACACACACACACACACACACACACACACACACACACACACACACACACACACACACACACACACACACACACAAGAGAGACATAATAAGATACCTTTCGTCAAACTTTTTGACAGGTCTATTGTTCTTTGACCTTTTAGACCTTTCAGTCCTATTGTTCATTTTGACCCTTGACCTTGCCCCCCTTTCCTATCATTAATCAAATGGACAGGTGTATTGTTCAATCTTTGCCCCCCCTTCCGTATCATTAATCAAATGGACATGTGTATTGTTGATCGTCCAGATGGCCTAGACCCCCCACACCGCATCATCAATGGCGTATTGTTGAGCGTCCAGATGTCCATGATCCCCCACGTCATAGGCTAATGTGTGTAATGGCGCGTGAAGTTTCTTATTGTGTTACCCCAGTGGTTCCCACAGCCCCCTCCCTTCTGAGTGTAATCCTATAGTGGATAACTCTTTAAAAGCTCAGATCTGTCCGAATGGTGAAAAGCCGAGCTCTAAGAAAAAATGATGAACCACGAGGAGATGCATGAAGCACCAAGCTGCGAGGAAGAGGAATGTCTTACCTCTCAGATATGTTCATCACCTAAATTCAACACACAGAAAGTTTTGTCATCTAAATTGTACTGCAAATGCAGAGAAGCAAGAAAAAGAAGGCCAGCCTCACCAGTGAGCAGAACCACATCAGTCTGACGCTGCAGCCATTATAATGCATTTACCAGCCCTTACTGGCACACCATATCAGTCTAACCTCATGGACTTTTTATATCAAACATGACATGGCTCACTGACAGTGGATGAGTGCGGCCTAACTGTTGTGAATGACAGCCCCACACGCTGGTCAAGTACTTATGAAATGGTTGCAGATCTCCTCAAAGTTAAAGAATCTGACTGTAGAATGGGGTGGGTCTGCTTGCTTGCTCTCGAGACTCAGCCATCTGGCAGATGTTCACAAAGTGCTTTTCTCCCAAATATTAGATATTTGGATTTTGTATGTTCAGTCTTAAACTTTGTGTTTAAATGTGTAAATATTTACATGCAGCTCACTGACACTTTTTGACCAGAACTAAAACTATTGTGTTAAACTCTATGTCCAGCAGCACATCAAATTAATGGCTGTAAGCACACACACACACACACACACACACACACACACACACACACACACACACACACACACACACACACACACACACACACACACACACACACACACACTTCTCTAAGAAGTAAAAAGGATTACATTCAAACATTTGTCTTTGACTAAACCATTCAAACATTTCTCTCACTTCAGAAAAGCAATGGTTTGCCATCCTAAACCATTTATGGTTCTATTGTAAAGCACCCTGCATACTCAAGCCTATAAGAATAAAAGTTGATCCTTACCTCAGCGTGACGCTTTTAGTCGACAACTCACAAAGCAAATGACTCTGTATTGTTCTGCAGGTGGGTTTGTTTGAAAGAGTGGCGGGAAGTTGGTTCAACAAAGATCTGTTGAGCTTTCTTAAAGCTCATTCTAAACAATTTTGCACGGCCAGCGACTTCTGACAAAGCAATTGACTTCCTTTTTTTGCAGGTGGCAGGAAAGTTTTAAAACAAAGAACTGGCTGAACCAAGTCATCACGGAAACAACACGCAAAAGCAATTGACTTCCTTTTTTTTGCAGGTGGCGGGAAAGTTTTAAAACAAGGAACTGGCTGAACCAAGTCGTCACGGAAACAATTCACAAAAGCAAATGACTTGCTATTGTTTCAAAGAGCTATTTAGGTGAACAGCATCTTTGGTTCGACATCATCAGCAGTGAAAGCTTAACCATCGCCTCCTGCCTTTAGTGTCACATTTTGTGACTTTTTGTTTTCACTGTCACACACACACACACACACACACACACACACACACACACACACACACACACACACACACACACACACACACACACACACACACACACACACACACATTGCTTCCTGCCTCAGAGAAAAGATTTGATCCTTTTTTGTAGGACCTATAACAGCTGAAATAAATAAAAAGCTGTTTATGAGGTTTGTTTTTTGGGAGGGGTGGATTAGTAAAGACTCAGAGCAGACGTACCTCTGGTCAAACCTTTAATGTCATACCTCTCAGAATAGTTAAACTAAGGCACATGCATGTCGTAAACGGATTTACACACGAGTGAAGGAGCTGGTACATTTTATACATTATTAAGGAAACATAAGCGATTTCAGGAAGAAATGTCCGGTACAAAACCGGTCCGGTATTATTTTTTGGATCGTAAAGGTTTTTTTATTTATGCTCCGGGGAGTTTTGAAGAAGCAATGGATACGAGTTAAACACACACACACACACACACACACACACACACACACACACACACACACACACACACACACACACAACTCTAAACACCCATTCAGACATTTATCTACCTATACAACAAAGCAAATGACTATGTATTGTTTATAAACATTTTTTTTTTCGACCAATCGCAACCGTTTTCTATTCAAGATTTTTTTAAACAGCTGTATAAAATGTAAAACGCATTTTCGGAGTCGTGATTTGAGGTGTAACAAGCTAAGATGACGGGTAAGTTTTTAACTTAAGACGCAAATCTTTTTTTCTCTCTCTGGTTTAACATCTTTATTTTCAGACGCTATTGTCATATCGGACGGCGAGTGGGAAGAAATTCCTATTGAGGAATTAACTTGTAAAACTCCGGTACCTTTTCACCTGGATGATTTGTCTAAAATTAATCGTGCGGTCGACAATCTGAGTGAGTGGATTTTATAAATATATACGTAACGTTCTTTTCTTCAGCTGAGAAATATCTCATTTTACAGAAAAGGAGGGGGTTCAACCTTACCCCAGAAGTGATAACTTTTACCCAACCACGCCTCCATCCACCAGCCGAACCGTCTTACATTCGTATCAGCCCAGCCAGACCGTCAGATCACACGCGAATGCGAACGCGAAAGCTGTTCGTTACAGGACCATCACACCACAAACGATCCTCGAAGCTGGTAAGTGATTACAAAATAGCGATTAATAAGTCAGAGATGTGTCGTTCATATTTATCGTTTTTATTCTCCAGAGAAACGGCCGACGGCCTACGCACCCCCAATATCTCACCCCCCACCACCTCCAACCCCTTCTCATGCGCAGACGGATGGTAACGATAAAAAACAACTGATTAATAAGTCAAAGATGACTCGTTCACATTTACCATTGTTTTTTATCCTTTCAGAACAACATCCGCCAGCCGCTTCAATATCTCCGCCCACACCACCTCATCCTCCTCCTCCTCCCCCTTCTCCTGCGCAGGGTAAGAGATATATAAAAAGGTGGTTATTTACTTCAAAGATGATTCGTTCATATTTTTCCTTGTTTTTATTCTTTCAGAACAATCCGACAGCGACTCTGAAACTGCTGAACGTGCTCCTGAGCAGCCAGCCGGTAAGCTGTTTCACAAAAAGCTCCGCAGAGTATATTAAATTTTGAAGTAAAAAAGATGATGTTTTTTATCCTTTCAGAACAACCCACGACCGACGAAGAGAACGCCCCACCTCCTGCACCTGTACAGAGTAAGTTAAATTTATATATATAATTTATTAAAAGCTCGTTCATTTTATTTATTTTTATTTATTTTTTCATCAGAAAAACGGTTGAAGAAGAAGAAGCGGGGCATATTTACGCCACTGCAGAGATCAAACAGGATGAAGCTTGGCTACCTGCTCCTGCAAGTGAACTCCGGCCTGGTGAATGTGGTCCAGCAAGTTCTGGCTCTGTAAAAGGACGACGCAGATTTTTTTTCTTCATTTTTAGTAGGTTTTTAATGTCTTTTGTATCATGAGTGAAAATTGGTTTGATGACCTTTCAGATTTGTTTGAAGTAGATGATGAATTAAACGGATTTGTTAGATCGAATTTTAGCCAGCCAAAATCCCTCAGTGGAGGAGGCCGAAGAAATTCTATTAAATTCTGATAATTTGGTGTTAACTGACTGGTTTGATGTAAGCGGACTGAGTGAAGTAGATGAATTAGCTTCAGATAGTGAGATTTTAGCATCCCAAGCCGTTTCAAACGAGGTCGATCAAATACTAGCAAATTCAGATGAGCCTTCATCAGAAGCAATAAACGAAATTTTCAGACAAATAGAACACCGGCAGCGCGTAAACGAGATCGATCAAATACTAGCAAATTCAGATGAGCCATCTCCACAAGCTGTAGATGAAATTTTGAGACAAATAGAACACCGGCAGATCGGAGGGAGCGTAAACGCAGCTTTTAACCAGCGTGAAATTAGAGAGAGAGTGTCTTTTCAAGCAATCAACGACCCAGCCGAGTTTTATATTAATCTGATGGAAATATTAAACAGGTTTGCTGAAAGAGGAAGCCAGATTGCGCGTCCCAACGATAGAGTCCAGTTTGAAATTAATACTTTGCACACGACGCACCACGTTAATTTTAATTATGACGGATCAAATATGTTAAATCAGCTTCAGTATTTACTGGATCTGTTAGTCCAATCAAATGAAGCATTAGAGGCCGACAACGAATTTAATTTCAGACTGCAAGTGATAAATAATCCTTCCGGCGGTGGGAAACGAAAAATCGAAACCATTCTGGATCACGAATTAGTCAATAAAAAACGAAACCATCTCATTTGCCCTCCAGAGGCCAATCAGCCGTTGTGTTTTGCGCTAAGCATAGCCGGACTGTTAAATCCCTCAGCGAGAGATACAGAATTATTGAATGTGGCTAAAAATATTCATCAACAGGCAGGGCTTCAGGAGCAATCAACCGTTTCATTTAGCGACGTGATTCGATTTGAAAATATTGTTCAAAGAAAAATAATCATTTTTTACAGATCCGACAGAATCATTTCTAAATTTGAAACAGATTTTAGCGATCGGTCAAATCCGTTGTTCATTTTGCTACAGAATCAACATTATTACGGCATAAAAAATATTAAAGGTTTCTTAGGAGCCAAATATTTTTGTTCATGGTGCTTTTCTCCTTATAATAACATGAACGGACATCATTGTAAATGGTTCTGTCGCGTGTGTAATACCGATTTATGCAAACGAACAGAAACGTCTCTCATCACATGTTCTGATTGTAATCGAATATGCCAAAATGTAATATGTTTTCAAACTCACAAAACACCTGTTTTAAGGCCTCAAGCAAACAGGTTAGTTTCTCCTTGCGAAATGTTTAAAAAATGCACCATATGTAAACAAACTTATTACATCGCCATGGGTGGAAATGGTTCACAGCACGTTTGCTCAGCGACCAAATGCATCGTTTGCAAACAGTCGGTGGTCACGGATGATCATCGCTGTTTTATTCAGCTTGAAAAAAAAGATGACGGTTTAACGGAAAAGGTTATTTATTACGACACTGAAACGTTTACGGATCAGAACGGTGTGCATACACCTTTTTTAATCTGTGCAAAATCCGATTCAGGCGACGTTTGGGAGAAATTTGGTTTAGATTGCATTAAAGATTTTATTATGCAGATGCGTCGTCCTAAATTCAGCAATTATACATTTGTTGCACACAATGCGCGTGAATTTGATGCTTATATAATTTTGAGAGCTATGTGTCAATAAAAAATTGTTCCCAAAAATATACTCATGCAAGGCTGTAAAATCCTGAGTTTTCACGATCCAGACTTCGGGCTGAGATTCATAGACTCCTTAAGTTTTCTCATGATGAAATTAGCCAACCTTCCAGCTGCTTTGGGCTTTACAGATAAAACTAAAGGTTATTTTCCTCACAGATTTTCATCGCTTGAACATCTGAATTATAAAGGACCTTATCCAGATGTCAGCCATTATGGGTTTGAACAAATGTCTCCGGAGCATAAAAAAATATTTTTAGAATGGTACACCGATGTGTCTAAACAGCAGCTGTTTGATTTCAGAAAGGAGGCCGTGTTTTATTGTAGAAACGATGTGGAAATTCTGCGTAAAGCATGCGGTATTTTCAGAGAGGAGTTTTTTAATGAAACAGGTATCGACCCGCTGAAATCTGTCACGATCGCTTCAGCTTGCATGCGCGTGTTTAGATCAAAATTCCTAAAACCAGACACATTGGCCATTCCTTGTCCGCTCGGCTATCGACCGCAACAAAAACCATTTTCAAGTTCAAGCATCGTGTGGCTGGAATGGGTTTCACGCAGTCAAAATGTAGACATTCAACACGCTTTAACGCCTTTGGGGGAGTATAAAGTGGGAGATTTTTATCTCGACGGATATGCTGTGATTTCAGGCGTCGAACAAGGGTTTGAGTATATGGGTTGTTTTTTTCCACGGCTGTCCAAAATGTTTCTTACAGTCATCCATATGTCCTCTGAGAAAAATCACTTTTGGTGAAATTTATGACAAAACCGTCAAAAAGCTTCAGTCGTTGGAAACTGTGCATCGATTAAAAATGAAAGTCATTTGGGAACATGATTGGCAGGAGATGGTAAAAACTGATCCGGACGTGAAACAGTTTGTCTCAAGATTTGACCCACCGCCAGCTCCTCTCTCACCTCGTGAAGCCCTGTATGGAGGCAGAACTTGTCCGGTTCGGCTGAGGCATTCGGCTCAGAGCGGTGAAAAAATCCACTATGTGGATTTTACGAGTCTGTACCCTTATGTAAACGCCACACAGACTTATCCCATAGGCCATCCCAAAATTCATGTTAAAAATTTCAGAGATCCGAGTCACTATTTTGGCTTGATTAAAGCTGTCGTTTTGCCACCCAGAAAACAGTTTTTCCCTGTTCTGCCTTTTAAAACATCCAAAGGTAAACTTGTTTTTACACTATGTCGTACATGCGCTGAAATGAATAATCAATCTGATTCTTGTTCACACAGCGCGTCTCAACGTGCTTTGACGGGCGTTTGGGTGAGTGTAGAGTTCAATTACGCGTTGCAGTCAGGCTACCGTCTGGTGAAAATGATTGAAGTCTGGGATTTTGAGAAAAGCTGTAAAGATGTGTTTGCAGGTTACATTAACACGTTTTTGAAGCAGAAACAACAAGCGTCTGGTTTTCCTGAAGGATTGATTGACGATGAGTCGAAAAGAAAATACATTCAGGACTATGAGCTTCATCAGGGAATACAATTAGATGAGTCTAAGATTCAGCACAATCCTGCTAAGCGTGCCATTTCAAAATTATGTCTCAATTCACTCTGGGGAAAGTTTGGCCAAAGAGATGATCTTGTACAAACCATATTTGTTCAAAAACCTGATGAATTTTTTGTCATTCTGTTTTCAGGGAAATACAAAGTTAAATTCTTCAGCTTTGTCACTTCAGGAGCCGTTCTGGTGCAGCACAGTTTGACAGAAAAATGCCTAACGACTCCTGGCAGAAGCAACAACATATTTATCGCAGCTTTCACCACAATTTTTGCCAGATTGAAATTATTAAATGCGTTGAACAAACTGGGAAATCGCGTCATTTATTACGATACAGATTCTATAATTTATTCTGTCAAAGAGAATGAGTGTGTTTTACCAACAGGACCGCTGCTGGGGGATTTAACCGATGAACTGCACGGCGATTCCATCACGGAATTTGTTTCAGCCGGTCCAAAAACGTATGCTTACAAAACCCGGGACCGCCAGCAGGTGGTGATAAAGGCTAAGGGTATCACACAGTCATTCATTTCATCTGATCACATCAATTTTGACAGCTTGGCGCTGCTGGTGGAGGGCTACGTCGCTGGAGAAAGGGGGAGATTTTTGCAAACTCGGCAGGAGATCGTCAAGAGGGATAAAAAAGGCCTCACTCTCTCGAATGTTTCATTTGTGAAAAGGTTTCGTGTGATTTTTGATAAGCGGAGGTTATTTGCTGACGGCAGTACAGAACCATTTGGGTATTAAAAATGGAAACTGATTTTGACGCTAGACTAAAATCTCCATTCAGTGCACAAATTGCTGGTCCGTCAGGCTGTGGAAAAACCTTTTTTGTAAAAAGTATTTTGGAAAATTGTATGCAATGTTTAACTGAAATGCCAAAAAACATCGTGTGGTTTTTTACATCTTATCAACCTATGTATGATGATCTTTGTAATAAAAGTATTAGATTCATTCAAGGTCTCCCGCTTTCATTCGAGGATGATGATTTATTTCCATCGGGTCAAAACCACTTGGTGATCTTGGATGACATGATGTCTCAAACGTCCAGCCATCCTGGAGTGCTAAAATTATTTACCCAGCTGAGACATCACAGAAATATGAGTGTCATTTTAATCACTCAAAATGTTTTTCATCAAGGAAAACATAGTCGTTCCATCAGCTTAAACACCAATTATTTGATTTTGTTTAAAAACCCTCGAGACAAATTGCAAATCAATGTTTTAGCAAATCAAATATATCCTACCCAAAAAAGATATTTCATGGAGAGTTTTCAAGACGCTACGTCAGAACCGTACGGTTATTTAATTGTGGATTTAAAAGCGGAAACGCCAGAATCTTTCCGTCTCCGTACGAGTTTACTTCCGGGTCAGCTCACTGCGGTGTATTTGTCTAAAACAGAGCCATGTCAGCCCGGATAAAACGCAACGCCAAGATTCTACGTGCTTTGTCATGTATGAAGCCTCGCCAACGTCAGGAGTTTTTAAAAGGGTGCTCCGAGGACGTTCTGAAGGCTTTGTGCGAGATAGCTTTAAACGTGATCAAAGGAAATATACGTCTGTCACCGCGTCAATTTCAAAAGTTGTCTAAAAGCAGAACGGTGCTCAGGCAGTTGACTCATAACAAAACTAGCCTTTTAAAAAAAAAGAAGCTTTTAGTCGGCCAGAAAGGCGGATTTCTACCCATACTCTTAGCAGCCGCTGTGCCTTTGATAGGTGAACTGATAGGTGGCTTAATAAGGAAATAAACAATGGCTTCTCAAAAAATGTTTATGGTGACCCCCCAACAATTACGTCAGCTTGTTAAACCTACGATACGGGACGTGGCTGAAGAGAATCTTGACTCTGAAATGAAATTAATTATGCAGGAGACGGGATTAACGCCGTATGAGAAAATTAAAAAATACAATGCGCTGCTACAGCGTTATTTAAAGTTGTTGAGAAGCGGATTACACGAAAGTGCACCTCCCACTGAACCGCCCACTGTGACGGCTGAGCCTACGTCAGCTGTAGAAACAGCAGCTGACACACTCATTAATGAAACGCTACAGAATCTTCCTGTACGCGGAAGAAAAAACGCCGAGTACCTGCTGAAAATGACACGATTAAACTGGACTCCGACGGGGGAATTTAAATATAAAGGCGATGTGCAGAAAGGATCACACATCCTTGACTTGATTAAAAGCATCAGCAACCCGTTAAAAAAACATCCACAATCAGAACCGACGGGTTGGACTCCTTTCCTAAAAACTCTAGTAGAAAAAAATGTGCCCTTATCTATCGTGTCCAATCCGCTAGCGAAACGTCAGATTACGCAACTCAGGAACGGAGGGGTTGTGCTTCCGGATTCTGAAGACGGTGTTTTGAAGAAAAAAAAGAAAAAAACGAGGAGAAATATCATTTTATCACCAAGCTGGAGCGATGTCCCCACTATGAAGAAATGGATCAGCTTTACACCTTAACTCTCTTGTTTGTTCAATAAAACTTTATTCAAAACAAATTTCACAGTCCGTGACATTCTTTAAACATTTCAAGAGTACAATTCACCTGTGTGAAGTATACATCATGACGTTTGATGCAATTTGAAAAATTTTTAACAAAATGATAAACCATAGCATCATTTTTATCTACATTTTTATGATATTTAGACAGAATTTGTTTCAGAGAAAGTCCACAAGCCTTATGACACAGGAAAAAAAACACAATGCTGGCCACAACGGTCGGATGCAAAACTCTGTAGCTGACGATCCTGATATTGTATTCGTGAACAACGTTCTGTTAGAAAATTCAGGATGTTTTCAGGGTAATATTTAAATTCAGGCGATAGACCGTAAGAGTCAAAAAATGTCCCGAGGCCATTTTGTTCCACAGCTAGCGCCAACCAGTGTTCACCGGGTAAATGGACAGGATGAGTGTTTACCACAAAGTAGGCCGGTAGTCGAATGTTTTTTGGGACGGTAGACAGCTGATCAGACGCGTACACGCCACCAAAATAATCTCCCAGCAGGTTCGATAATATGCCGTCCAATTCGTGATTATCCATTAATAATAATCCACCAATACCTCTCTCTTTGAGTTTATCTCCAGAATGGAGTCGTAACACGCATACACAATGAGTGTAGCCGTGGCTCTCAGAGGTTCTCCAAAGCGCATCTCCATCCTCAGGTTGCCGGTGGAAACGGTTGAAAGCGCCTCCGAGTCATCCGCTGTGTTCAGATTAAAGACAAAGAGTGTATACCCCTGTTGATATTCCAACCTATTAATCGATAGAGGCAAACCTTTCAATTGTCTTGAAGTGGCTGTAAACAGATTATAAAATTCTCTGACCGATGTTCCCTGGTAAAAAGTAGGTTGAAAGGCTTTCGATGGAATCTGTTTTCCGTCTCTGGACAACGCCAGATATTCCACATTCATGTGGCGAAAATTAAAAGGCGAAAGATCTCTACGTCCTGTGTAAGCCTCGTGATCCACTAATCCTAAGACGATATATTTAGGAATGGCGCCGAGAAAGAGGTTCTCCAGATTACATATCCTCGAATTTTGTGGAATGGAATAAGTTTTGACGGTCACGCGTGAGAGCGGGTACATGGCGTTTGCTTTTAGTAAAGCAGACTCGTGACCCAAACGTACGGCGGGTGAAATATTAACTTTCTTCACAAAAAGCGATGCACCCAGCAGTTTCAGCTTGTAGGTGGAATCACGCGCCCCCATCAGGCAAAAAGCATCACACGCGCGTGTCAGTTTAATTCTGAGATCGACAGAATTTAAAAGAAGTCTTTCACAGAAAAATATATCAGAATGCAGGGGTCCTATCAGATCCACTTCTCTGGAGTTTTCTGTAAAAGTCGCTCGTTGATTAAGGCCTAAATTGCGTCCGTTAATTACAACGGTGGAATCGTGCGCACCTGCGGTGTCTTTGAAGAACAATCCCACGCTGAATTGAGAATTCAAACTCGCTTCAGAAAAGTTCAGCAGGGTTTCGATGATCGCTCTGTAGGGGTGCGTGGCGCTGGACTGTGAAATCAGACGATCGCCGAGAACCACGTCACATTGTGAGAAAATCGTGTTTATCGGGTAATTAATCAGACCGGTGGCAGCACCATCATCTAGCGGGCTGCCGTCATCGTTTGTAATTTTCACCCGCAAAAATAGAAGAGTGTCGTTTAAATCCAAATATTTTTCTCCATCTCCGGGGACAAAAAATTCTACAGGCCCGCCGTCCGTCAGGGCCGCTATGGGTAAAATTTCGCTGTAGATCTTATCTTCGATAGACAACTGAGTCATGGGTACGGTGAAGAGATCCAGTTCACTCAGCGTACATTCTGACGATTTGCTGTGGAGCAGTGACATGATTAAAAAATATCAGAGCCCGTCTGACGAGACTTATTCCTCTTTTGCTTGCTTTTTGTAACTGGAGCTTTGATGCGCCGGTCGCTTCGTGATGTAGATGTCTTTAAACGCCTGCCGGGGGGTCTTTTGCGAACACGCCTCGACAGAACCATGAGGCCTGACCCCTCTTGGGCATTAGGGTAATTGATTTTACCGACGGCTCTCGTCAACACATCTGACACGATTCCTGTAGCGGCCTTTTTGAGATGCGGTTTAGCCAGAGCAAATCCTTTTTTAACAAAAGGTGAAATGAATCGAAACAGTCTTGAAAATATCGATCCAAAGCCACGTCCGTACATATAAGGAACACCGCTAAAACCTGGTAAACCATGACCGGCCTGAGTGACGTAATAATTGATAAAACGGTTGGGATCGTTTCTCTGCAGGTGATAAATCATGTTTGCAAGACGTACGAGCGTAACTGACTCTCTCACCCTGTTTCACGAGCGTTATATTATTGTGTTTCTCTGATGTGCGGCCTGAAATGAAGCCTCACCGTTGTTTTTCCGTATAAGAAGTGAATCGGCTCATTCTGATCAGATTTTATTTCGATATGAATGCTTTCTATATGATTCGTAGAAACGCTGATGTAATCCACAGGATTAAACACATGAGTGACCGTGTGACCGAAGGTCCCTTCAACTTTCACCGTACGTAATAAAGGCGCAAAGACGTCGCCGACCAACTGCTCGGTCACGACATCCGTGTAGCAGTAAAATTGATATAGACCGCCTGTTAAATCGGGTGGGTGAGGCGCCGATTTGATCGGTTCATCGAGGCCTGAAGTACCTTCAGGCGTCAACCACTCACCCGCGTTGAAACCTAACAGATAGGCCAGAGGCGCTAAAAATCTAAATTCTATTTCATCGCCGATCTGATATTTGAGAATGGGGTCGGGGAATCTGTGAATGAGATAGAAATCAGGATCAATCTTTCTCATAGCAGTCTCACATTCCATTCTAAGTGTTTGGATAGCTTTATAATATCCGGGAGTAATCGGAGCTCTGTTGATTTTCTTAGGTTCTTTCACTCGTCGCCATTCAACAAACGCACGATCGTTCGGTAAATTAAACCACGAGTGCACGTAAGTGATTTCAGACAGTCCCACTTGCCACCTGCCATTGAGATTGATGTGACGGGCTAGATCGGTTCTGTAACTGGCAATCGTGTTATTTTTAAACACTTCGTTACTGGCGTTAGAGGGCAATGTGATATAAAAACCCTCCTCTTGTCTCAGATCCATTTTTTTATTGTATCTGTTTTTTAAACGTCGTGCAGGTCTGAGGCTTTAATCCAACTGGAAAATTTTTGAGGCCAGCCAAGCCATTTAACAAAAACTTGCTTCTGGCCTCTGTAAGTTCTGCGCTTTAAAATTTTTTCAACGTGGAAGGATCGTTCGGTCGATAAGTTTACTTTCTGCAATTCGGGTTCATAAAATGACCCTTCAATTTTTTCCCCATCAAAATCTTTGAGTTTATAAACCGGCGGTGCTCGATGAAGACACTGGTCCACTGTGAACAGCTCGTGCGTGAAACTCTGCTCATATTTTTTATCAAAAACACCTCTGAGTTTGGAAATTCTCACAACGTCACCCCTGTTAAACTTCATTTTCTTTGCAGGCTTCGGTGCGGTGGTCCCGTAAAGGTTGCGAAACACTTGCCATTGATTTTCCGTGTTAACTTCAAAGGGGGCCATTTTGATAGAAGTGTGGTAGCTATGATTATAACCTTTCACCAAATCTTGAATCACATCTATGTAGCGATGGGTGTTTTTGGCTGTGAAATATCTCCACATTCTACCTTTTAGAGTCCTGTTAAATCTCTCCACAACGCTGGCCTTTACGCTGCTGGCTGTGGCAAAATGCACAATTTCGTGTTTCTTCATGAGGGCTTCAAATTTCTTATTAAAAAATTCTTTACCGGAATCCGTTTGCAATTTTTTAGGGACACCGCTGTCTTTCAAAACTGAAGCAAAAGCTTCTGTAACATCTTTCCCCGATTTGTTTTTCAGGGCTCGTACATAGGCTTTCTTTGAAAATACATCTATGACGGTTAATAGGTAATTAAAGCCGTCGTTTGATTTTGACAAGGCCTGCATGTCGCATAAGTCAGCTTGAAACTGTTTTAGCGGCCCTGAGACAAAAACCTTATTTCTCGGAAAATGAACTCTTGCAGGTTTGTGAAGTGTATAGGCGTCTTGTTCTGAGAGAAAATCGCGAGCCTTATCCGATGAAACTTTCTCCCCAATATCTTGTTGTAAACCGGTTCTAAACCTTTCCACACCACCGTAACTACCCTGATGTTCTGGTGTAAAATAAACCTTTTTCATTACCTCCTCCATCTCTGATGAATGGTTGGCAAAAATGATGCATAATTGTTTTCATTAGTTCTTTTTATTTCATAAATTGTACACACAATCTAATCAGAACTAAAATCTAATGACGCTACCGTCAGAAATAAAATCTAATCATACTGTAAAAAACAGCAGTCATCAAATATAATCACACAGTCTAATCATACTGTAAAAACAGCAGTCATCAAATAAAATCACACAGTCTAATCATACTGTAAAAAACAGCCGTCAAATATAATCTAAACACTAGTCAGAACTAAAAACAGCCGTCAAATATAATGAATAAAATCACACAGTCTAATCATACTGTCGTCAAATATAATCTAAACACTAGTCAGAACTAAAATCTAATCATACTGTCGTCAAATATAATAATAAAGTTGTAGAAGAGACCATCCGCAGCTCGCTCACTCCATCACCACCCCGGACAGCGCGTCCAGGTCAGCTTTGGACAGGAAAAATGTCTTTGTGAATGGGCATCACAGCCCTGAATCCGTGCAGCTGCGTCACAGCCATGGTGAACAGAATCTCAGTGTCCAGAGGCTGGAAGCCGTGCAGACTGAGAAAACTTTGAAGAGCCGGAATCAGTTTAGGTGTTAAAACCCTGCGAATAATGTCCGTAAAGTGAAAATTGTAAAATAATTCATTTTCAGCTACGTAAAGACATTCGTGTTGCCGTTGACTGGGGTGATCGATCTTGCATCCGTGGCAGATGGTTGGTAAGTGAGCTTTGATCGCCATGTTGACCAAGTGAAGAAGACCCATTTTCACACGGTCTACTTTGTCTTCTGAAAACACCCAGTCAGGCAGACGGTGAGGCTCCTCATCGGTGCTCTGGATGTCGAGGGGTTGCACATCCTCCTCCTCCTCATGACCTGGCGGCGGGTCAGGGTTTGATGTCACCAAAGGTGGATCAGCCCCATCGACCCATGGCCTGAATGGTACGTTCTCCGGAACCTCCATGATGGTGGGGAGTCGTGGTAGGTTATCCTCTGGAAAACACGGTGGTGCCGATGCGGGCCTTGGACTGCCGTTGTATCTCGGCGGTGGTGGTGATGGTAGCGATCTGGACCTCGGACTGGTGTTGTATCTCGGTGGTGATGAATCCGTTAGTACCCAGCTCTTTACCACCGAAAGGAGGAACCTGCACTCTGCAGATGTAGAATGTAGATTTGCGGGGAGCTCCAATTCCAGCCGGCATCTGATGTATAGCGATGGATTTTTCACAAAGCATGGTTTTTGACAGCGGCGTATCCACGCTCTCTTCTTTCACTTTTTGAGTTGAAGTTGAAGCGTCAGATGTAGTAGGCACCTCTTCATCGCGGCTTGGTGCTTCATGCATCTCCTCGTGGTTCATCATTTTTTCTTAGAGCTCGGCTTTTCACCATTCGGACAGATCTGAGCTTTTAAAGAGTTATCCACTATAGGATTACACTCAGAAGGGAGGGGGCTGTGGGAACCACTGGGGTAACACAATAAGAAACTTCACGCGCCATTACACACATTAGCCTATGACGTGGGGGATCATGGACATCTGGACGCTCAACAATACGCCATTGATGATGCGGCGTGGGGGGTCTAGGCCATCTGGACGATCAACAATACACATGTCCATTTGATTAATGATACGGAAGGGGGGGCAAAGATTGAACAATACACCTGTCCATTTGATTAATGATAGGAAAGGGGGGCAAGGTCAAGGGTCAAAATGAACAATAGGACTGAAAGGTCTAAAAGGTCAAAGAACAATAGACCTGTCAAAAAGTTTGACGAAAGGTATCTTATTATGTCTCTCACACACAAATCAAGGTATGATTTTTATGTAGGAAAATGCACGTTTGAAGGAATAAATGTACAAAAGTGTGCATTTAAACTAAAGACCTTATATAAATAGCAGTCACAGTATGTAGTAGTCTACTGTAGTAAGATTAACTGTGAGTTGCTAATTTGCATTTCAATAATACTAAAATCTCACCCTTGTTGATGTGGTTTGGAGGTATGGTGGCCTGCTGAGGTTGCGCCTATGTTGCGACAGTTTTTCTTGCATGTAAAGACACAGATAAAACTCTCTGCCATGGTCAACCCTGACTTGATCCCACATACCATGGTTCATGACTGCAGGTCTGGAATAAACAATGTTTACATGACTGAACTGAAATTTACAGACTCAAAACAAAGATGTCGATATTGAAAAGACAATACAGAAGAGTAAGAAATTATTAATTGTTCCACTGGTAGCTATGAATATATTTACCTGTATATTTCCTCATAAATGACAAGGTTGTTTTTTACTGGCATGGTGGAATTTGCAACAATCTTGCTGCTGTAGCCATCAACGGCCAACACGTGCGTCACACCAAACATCACCAGCTTTTCATTTTGGTCCAGGTGTAGTTTATGACCCATATATTCGGCATGATAGGGAACTGGATTCAAATTTCGAGCACCCTATGTGAAAAAATAGTTTCAATTAATGCTAACTCCCATATTTTCCATATTAGCTAACAATCTTCATGAAATTTTTTTAAATAATCAATGTTTACATTTACAAACAACACTTGTTTAGAAACTGTTGTACAGGAAATAGTTATAACATTGCAATTTTTTTGTTCACCCTTGGATTGAGCACAGTTGTATAATTTATACCAGCAAAACTCGAAAGCAGTACCAGTATTACAATTTTCCACATAAGAAAAAAAACATTGGATTTTTTTCTTCTTTAAAAATCAAAATTGTGGTTTTTCTAAAATAACAAATAGCTTATTTTTGGCCTTTGTGCACTGTATGTAGGCGGGGCAGTCTGACTTTCATCCAAGTTTTCCATTTTTTCATAATACTCTTTTTATTGTCATGAATCTAAGAAAATTTTCATTTTTTTATTTAATGTTTCCCCAATCCTCTTTCAGATATTTATCAAAATATATAAATGGTCTCTTTTCAGAAGGTCTTGTAACTGTTTCAGCTCCAAACCAGTTTCGGTGGACTGGATGGGGGAATGCCTATTTGGATTGTAGGTTGCAGACCTCTAATTTACATGTTGTTTTCAAACCCACAGACATATATACATAGATGCCCCGTGGACTGGAGCAGCCGTAGTGGCCTGCTGCCATTTTTGATGGGCCTCCATTCACCCTCAGTGCATTCATTTCTACTGAGGAAGGTGCTTAAAACAGCTAAAAAACACATTATATAATGTTTTTTCACAAAATCAGACACATGATATGGCATGATAATTAAAATATAAATATACTTAAAATTATTTAAATAAAATCCTATCAGGTAGGCTAGAAAAGTCACTAGTAATCCCACATGACCCTTTTTCTATTGTACGCCAGTTGCTGTAACCGTAGGTGGCACAGAAACAGGCCTAGTTGCTCGCTCTAATATGACATGAATATGATAAATAGACTTTGGAGAGTGATGAGACCCGTCCAATATGGCAGCAACGCTGTTTTGCTCTCCAGCACCCAATGGGGCGTTCATTTCAAGTTAATGTTATTAGTCAGTCTCAGTACTTAATTTAGTATGTAATTTTACAGCCACGTTTCAATTTTCTGTCAACTGCATTAATTTAAGTATCATACCTCACGCCGGAATTCATGGTAGGGCTGATGGAGCTCCCTTAGGATTCTTCCAACCCGAACTTCTCCTGCATGCAGCCCCATTGATGACAGATAGCCAGTCATGAACTTACGGCCATATGAGGGTCCAGTCTGTCAGGAAATTATACATTTAACTGAATGTTTTGGTAAATAAACAGTAGAAATCTGATAATAAACTTACTTCGTAAATCGATCCAGCCACAGCTCGCTCTAATGCCTGGTCCGACACTTGTCTTTTTCTCTTTAGCTCATGCCGAGCACAGAATCTTCTGACGCTCATTTCTGAGCACGGTAGGATGTTCATCTGCTGCAGCGTGTGGGCGATTTGTACGTGTGTCAAACCGGTGTTGAATAAACTCGTAATCAAATTAGTGTGTGTTTCTAGTGCTGCCATGTTGACGATGTCACCAAAATAGGGTACCCGCACTTTTCTACTCAACTTCCGGGTCACGTAATCCCAAATGATGAAATATTAAAATCAAAATCGGTCCTGCGGCCGTTTTTCCATTTCTCATATTTGATCCGAGACTAAAATAGAAAATACGAAAAATACGACTTTTTTTCTTTTTTTAAATCCGTTTGTAAAACAAAAAACAAAAAAACAAATCCATTTCTCCTTTTTCGATTGTTTGTTTTCAATCGAAAATAGAAAGAACGAATGATACACAGATTAAAAACAAACACAAAAATGTTACAAAACAAACCAAACAAAAAGAGACAAAACAAACACAAACAAACAAAACAAAAACAAACCAAACAAAAAGAGACCAAACAAAAACAAACAAAAATCTTCATTTTTAAAAACGTTAAAATGTTCATTAAAACATTACATTGTTCATTAAAACGTTGAAATGTTCATTAAAATGTTTAAAGATTCATTAAAACGTTAAATGTTCATTTTTTGAAACAAGCAGTCTCCTTCTGATATCATAAAGAAACAAGCAGTCTCCTTCTGACATCATAAAGAAACAAGCAGTCTCCTTCTGACATCATAAAGAAACAAGAAGTCTCTGTCAGGATCTGGGGTGAGTCTGCACATTCAACTAATTACCACCAAGTCGTTGCAGGTGAGCGGTGCCGGAGAGTGGCCAGCTGCGGTGTGTTTCCCATCACCTGCCAGGGTTTATAAGGAGCTGGGAGATCACTTCAACTCGCTGGAAGATTACTCAACTTGGGTAGTTCTGTCTTGCCTTTTAGTACAAGCTACAGTTCTTGTCACAGTTTATAGATCGCTACAGTTATTGTTATCTCAGTCCTAGTAGCTACAGATGGTGTTTGTGCTCTTAATGAGCGTAGTAATCATTCGCCCTGCTTTCCTCAGGATCATCTTCAGACCTGCCTCATCCAACCTCAGCCATAATCTGGAACCGTGCTACAGATCTCCCTCCTCCTGGTGGACCCCACCGCTCTCCTCCGCTCACCTCTTGGATCACGCCTCAGTACCAACACCTCTGCCACAGCTGAACCCAGATCTGCCCAGACATCAAAGCCAGCTTCCTACAGTAAGACTCCTCCGAAGATTTTATTCCACTTCAGCCACAAGATCCTCACCTCTGTCTATCCTACAGACCCCGGCCACCGGAAAGAGTGCTCTGCGCCTTTGCTACCCATCTCCACATTTTGTGGTGCCTCTTTAGTTCAGTTAAAAGAAATAAAATTGTATCTTATTTTTTCCTACCTCTGTCTCCGAATCATTCTGCATGTCTTGGGTCAGGAAACTCCCCTCAGTCATGTCAGTCTCCTTCTGATATCATGTAGAAACAAGATATATATGTCTGATATATATCAGAATATATATATGCTTGTTGAATATAAATCTTCATTAAAACGTTTAAATGTTCGTTTTTAAAAACGTTAAAATCTTCATTTTTAAAAACGTTAAAATGTTCATTAAAACACTAAATTGTTCATTAAAACGTTAAAATGTTCATTAAAATGTTTAAATGTTCATTAAAACGTTAAATTCTACATTAAACGTTTAAATATTCATTTTTAAAAAACATTTAAAGGTTCATTAAAACGTTAAATGTTCATTTTTTGAAACAAGCAGTCTCCTTCTGATATCATGTAGAAACAAGCAGTCTCCTTCTGATATCATAAGGAAACAAGCAGGCTCCTTCTGATATCATGTAGAAACAAGCAGTCTCCTTCTGATATCATGTAGAAACAAGCAGTCTCCTGATATCATGTAGAAACAAGCAATCTCCTGATATCATGTAGAAACAAGCAGTCTCCTTCTGACATCATGTAGAAACAAGCAGTCTCCTTCTGACATCATAAAGAAACAAGCAATCTCCTTCTGATATCATGTAGAAACAGGCAGTCTCCTTCTGATATCATGTAGAAACAAGCAGTCTCCTTCTGATATCATAAGGAAACAACCAGTCTCTTTCTAATATCATGTAGAAACAACCAGTCTCTTTCTGACATCATACAGAAACAACCAGTCTCTTTCTGACATCATAAAGAAACAAGCAATCTCCTTCTGATATCATGTAGAAACAAGCAGTCTCCTTCTGATATCATGTAGAAACAAGCAGTCTCCTTCTGATATCATGTAGAAACAAGCAGTGTCCTTCTGATATCATGTAGAAACAAGCAGTCTCCTTCTGACATAAAGAAACAAGCAGTCTCTTAAGGCAAGCCAAATGAGCATTTATTCTGATATCAGGATATCAGCCAGAATTGTCATGAACATGTAAGTCATTTCTGTCCACTAGTTAACTAGTTAGACATGTTTGTGTCAACTAGTTAAATAGTGACAGCCTAAATGTCAACTAGTTAACTAGTAAGGCCTAAATTCTCTCTAGTTAACTAGGTAAAATGTTTCATATCTTACTAGTTAACTAGTATTGCTCAGTGTGTTCACTAGTTAACTAGTGGACAAATCAATGTCCACTAGTTAACTAGTTAAAACACATTTAGTTTTTACTAGTCAACTAGTAAGGTACAAAAACTCGTACTAGCTGACTACTGAATGTAAAAATCCCACTTGTTAACTTTGCCCAATTTGGCCAGCCGCTTGAGCTGCATACCAGTCAGCTAGTTGAAGGTATTTGTGTCTCACTAGTTAACTAGTCAGGGTCAAAATGAGCCCACCAGTTAACTAGTGGGAGACGGCAATGTTCACTAGTTAACTAGTGAACACATTTTGGCTTCACTAGTTAATTAGGTGACACAAAAAATGGCTCACTAGTTAACTAGTAAAGGCCAAAATGCATACCAGTCAGCTAGTTGAAGGTTTTTGTGTCTCACTAGTTAACTAGTGATGGCCAAAATGTGCACACCAGTTAACTAGTGACAGAAGAAATGCCCACTAGTTGACAAGTGAACACATTTTGGCTTCCTAGTTAACTAGGTGACACAAAAATGGCTCACTAGTTAACTAGTAAGGGCTAAAATGCATACCAGTCAGCTAGTTGAAGGTTTTTGTGTCTCACTAGTTAACTAGTGACAGTTCAAAGTGTCCACATGTTCACTAGTGAAGGCAAAACTCCTAACTAGTTAACTAGTTGGAGTAGGTCAGTGCCACTAGTTAACTAGTGAACCATTAATGGCTCACTAGCTAGCTAGTTGATTGTAGCAGGGTCACTAGTTACCTAGTTGATGCATCCATTGTCCAAACTAGTTAACTAGTGAGGACATAAATGTATACTAGTAAACTAGTTCAAGCCTACATTCACACTAGCTAGCTAGTTGCACAGAATTCTAATTAGGAGGCGGAGAATTTCTCAAATTGAGGCTTTCTATTGGCTCACTATGTTAAAATAAAATATGACAACCAATCACAGTGCGGAATTTTGCAAAATCCCACCCCAAACATTTGCATGCTGCACACAAGTTAACATGCTGGCCAGAGGAACCTCAGCTAGTGAACTAGTGGCTTCAGTGTGACACTTACATGTAAACTTGTGAAGGCGGAACTGCTCACTAGTTAACTAGTGAGGGTACAAATGTCCACTAGTTAACTAGTGAGGTGCAAAATAAGTGTCACTAGTTCACTAGTGGGCCCCAAAACGCCCACAAGTTAACTAGTAAGGTGTGGATATGCTCACTAGTGAGGTGCAGATTTGCTCACTAGTTAACTAGTGCACCCTTAAGCGCCCACTAGTTAACTAGTAAGGTGCAAAAAGCATCACTAGTTAACTTGTAAAGTGCAGATATGCTCACTAGTTAACTAGTGGGCCCCAAAACACAAACTAGTTAACTAGTAGGGTGCGGATTTGCTCACTAGTTAACTAGTGAGGTGCAGATATGCTCACTAGTTAACTAGTGACGTGCAGATTTGTTTACTAGTTAACTAGTGAGGCGCAGATATGCTCACTAGTTAACTAGTGAGGTGCGGATTTGCTCACTAGTTAACTAGTGAAGTGCGGATTTGCTCACTAGTTAACTAGTGAGGTGCAGATTTGCTCACTAGTTAACTAGTGAGGTGCGGATTTGCTCACTAGTTAACTAGTGAGGTGCGGATTTGCTCACTAGTTAACTAGTGAGGTGCAGATATGCTCACTAGTTAACTAGTGAGCATATCTGCACCTCACTAGTACCTCACTAGTTAACTAGTGAGCATATCTGCACCTCACTAGTTAACTAGTGAGGTGCGGATTTGCTCACTAGTTAACTAGTTACATCTAAAAACACATACAAGCTGACCATTTTTGTCCACTAGTTAACTAGTGGAACAATTGAAATTTCACCAGTTTACATGTGTGGCAGTGCAGCAGCTCACTAGTTAACTAGTGCCTGAAACACAAATTATGCATATTCTAATGAGAAGGCGGGCAGAAGACTCCTGTTGGGTATAAGAATCCCACCCAGTCTAAAATGTATGTGCTGTGGCCTCACAATCACATACTGATGGGTGCCCCTGAGTGCCAAGGCTTGCACTCATTAGTCATGGTTTGACACCTACTGGTTGGTCATTGCCGCGGGTTCGAATCCCGCAGATGGCATTCTGCAATTGCAGTAACATTATTTATTTTCTCTTTGTGTTGTAATGTTCAAAGTTTTATTGTTTTACTGCTTTAATTCCCCCCTCCCAAATCAAGTAAAGCACCTCGTTTGGTGTCGTGTAAGGGAGATCAGTTGGCGAGTTCAAGTCCCATTGAGGAGAATTGGAATTTAGTGTGCCAGTTATCTATTTTATTGTAGTTCATTTTTGTTTGGTATTGAAAGTTTGGTATTGAAAAAGGCTATATTAAAAATTAATATTGATATATATATCCATCCATCCATCCATCCATCCATCCATCTTCCCAAGAAATAGATCAAATGACACTGAGGGAAAAAACTGTGGTTATTTTGGAGAGGGTGCTCGCTGCAGAACCACAAAGGCGGAGCTGCACCCCGCCCATTCACGCAAACTCAGCCTAGCCCACTGACTTCCGTTTTTGTTTTCAACTTTATCGCA